AAGCAAGCTCTGAAGGTCCAACTGCAGGGCAATGTCGCCATTCAGGAACTTGGTATGCACCGGCTGCAAATCTTCCTTGGACAGAGCGTGACCCAAAGCCTGCTCCTTTGCCCAGCACCAAAATGCGGACAGTGCGCTGTGCTCTTCCAGCCTGCTCTTGTCAAGTGGCCTTCTGGCTGCCGGACTCTTGTTCAGCTGCTGCTGGTTCAGGCTATCTACCCAGGCATTGAAGGATGTCTCAGTCACATTGAGCACATTTTGCCAATCAGGCTTCGTAGTTCGCGGGGCGAAACCAGGCATGAGCTTCTTGTTGCAAAAGCTATCCTCATTCCACCAAACCCGCTTGGATCCCACTTTGGACAGCAAATCCAACATATTGGTGACGCCAGTCTTACACGGGGCTTGGAGCAAGTTCAGGGCCGCCATGCGCTTGTTGCCAGTCACCGAAGCTTTCCCAGTAGCCTTGGCGTTGAAACGCTCCAACACTTCTGACGGTTGGTAGCTGCCACCGGCCTCCAATTTCTTGAGCTTGCGCACCCAAGTCATGATGTCATGGGGGGCCCGGATTCGTCCTCGATTCGAAGCATGTGCGTTGGCAATCGCCACTGAGGCCAAATCGGCATGAGATTCAAAAAGCACATGAATCATTTGGATCGAGTGGAACAGATCAGGGAACATTTCCGCCAAATCCACATCCTCCTCCACGATGATCGCCAAAAGCAGCAACAAAGTGGAACATCGTGCCATGCCCTTCACATAGCGGACCTTGAAGCTCTGCTGGCTTGCTTCGCGATCTGCGGGCGTGGTCCACAGCAACAATGGCTGCGCTTCGGTCAAGAATCCATGGACCAAAAACTCTTCTGCCAGCTCGCAACACACAGATCCAAAAGGATATCCCTTAGTGCTTGCAGCAACCTCATGCGACAACATGGTAATGTGGACCAAGGCTTTCTCGCGCTTGCCAAGCAAGGACGGCTGCACGTAGTCGATGGAATCCATCCAGGGACACATCTTGAGAAGCACCTCATCTAATCTCTCCCTATTCAGGCTCTGCTCCAAAAACTGGACAGGGCCACCGGCCTTCTCACAGTTCGAGGCAAAGATCTCGAGCAACGTCTGCTTCAGCAAGTTTCGGTCCGTGATGCCAGCTGTGCGTGGGCCCGGCTGGACCGTTTTCAATCCCAAGTCTTCCTGACTACCTTCCTCGCTTTTGACCATGTCTTCTTCCTTGAGAACCTCGTTCTTGACGTCCTCGACGTTCATGGCAGGCAACAAAATCGCAAATCGGACGTGAAGGCTGTGATTAGCCAAAACTGGCCCGTTCATGGAATGATGGGATGATGTCTTGATGGTCAATAAGAGTTCATTCAACAGTGTACTATATTGTATGATCTAATTCATTTGATCTAATTCTATAATTGCGGGGAGAAGCACAATGATAGACCAGAGGAGCAAATGATGCATCCTGCAAATGAGGAGCCATAATTTTTAGGCATCCTGCAACTGCGATTGACATGTTTGATTCTAGGAGCACACAAGGCATCCTGCAAAAAATGAAAGGAGCAAAAGTGCATCCTGCAGACAAGCTGGTCACGCCACGCAGCTCCTTTTCACAGACATCGGAAGAAGCAGCCATCAGCGATTTACGCAGCGATTCCAGTGCCAGAGCCGCCCATAGGGCCAGGGCCTGAGCTTGGCATTAATGTTATTAAGTGCTCCCTGGAAAATCTGGGAAAAAAGGTTGACAACTATGATGGAGGAAGTAGAAATAAAATGGGAGCAAAGACTTAAATTTAGTCCCCGGGGCCATCTTCATCGTCATCACGACGCGGTGGCGGCTTTGGACGCACGCCTTCCGGGTGACGTTCTGCATACCACTCCTTTCGCTTTTTGCCCTTGCTTCCTCGTCGTCTTTTTTTCCGGGACCTGGACCTGGAGGGAGAAGAAGGAGCCGCCCGAGGATCAGGATGCAGGCCTGGGCGCAAAGTCATTGGCAGGTTTATACATTAATGCCATATCATTACTTCGCATGTGGCCAAACGCAGTCACTCAAAGAAAAAATCAAGTCTTAAAAAAATAAAGGTTGACCGTTGACCAGCTACTGCCCGCAGAAGGGCTTCCCATGGACCCGCCGCTAGAACGGCGCTCCCTGTACCGGGCCACTCGAATCGGATCCACAGGAGCAGGCAAAGACCTTGAAGGTGGCCGGCTCGGTGGCCTTGGTGGTGGTGGTCCACTCGGTGACCGAGGCCGACGGCTAGCAGCTGCGCTGCTGGCTTTGCTAGTCACACCCGGCGAATCATCACCGGGGCGCAATGCTTCCACTCCTGGTCCAGCGGCCTTGGGTTCAGCACCGTCAGCAGCAGGGGTTGGCTCGGTGGCTTCTGTCGCAGCAGGCATGGCCGCAGCAGCAGCCTCAGAAGGCGGGCTAGGTACAGGCGGCCTTGGAGCTGGTGTTTCTGCAACAGTGACAGGCGGTCTCATGAGGAGCTCAGGTCTTGGCATCATCATTGGGGGAGCCATAGGAGGCGTGGCAATGGGAAAACGAGGGGCAGGACACGGTGTGGTTGGAGCAGCATCGTCTGGCGGTTCCTCGATGATTGGAGTGATCACCGGCCCACGAGGACCAGTGGGAGGAGGTGGCGCAATCGCACCAGCAACAGGGCGCATCATTGCAGGATGCCAAACCATTCCTGGATGCCACGGCAAGCCCATTCCGCTTGCTGCCGGTGGCGCCATCATTCCACCAGGCGCCATCATTCCAGGCAGGAGCCCACCCTGCCCCATCATCATGGGGTGTGCCGCCATAGCTTGCATTATAGAGGCCGTGGCTGCATTCCTTTCATCCTGCTCCAACACCTCTAACAACGAATTTGCCAAGTGGCGCAGCGCCCGGCGGTCACCCGCCATGGCCCCGAGTGGTGCAGGAAGTTAAAGCAGCTGTGTCTGTCACATTTGAACATCGTTTGAACTTGTGATTTATTTCTCAGTTTTGAACTTTTGAACTTGCTGCTTTTGAACTTGCTGCCATGTTTCGTCATGAGCCCCCCCTAAAAAATTCAGCAGAGAGCAAAACATTGCATTCACTGTCACATGCCACATGCATGGCTTCTCTGGAAGAAAACAATTGGGGAAATCATTAGAAGGGGATATATATATATATAATCACGCTTGACTTTGTTTTTCCTTGTTTTGGTCGGTTATTAGAACACTACTTAGTGGAACACATGCTATTAATTGCGTGCAGTATGAAATTCTCGGCATATTTTTAATGTCAAATTCTTTGGTGTTTTTTTTTCCAAATTGGGAAAACCTGCATCTTTTTTTCCATAGCTGGATCACTGGAATCAGCTTCTGCATAACTTTTTATGCAACTGTAAGAAAAAAATCTTTTTGAGGTGGACGTTTTGAAGAGTACAGGTTCTATTTATTTCTCTCCCTGGCTATCATTTGGCACTACCACGGCAAGCAGAACATTCTTCACAATCTATGGAGGTCCCCAGCGCAGAGAAATACTTTTTCTATGGGGGATTAAAATAGCGCTAAACAAGAATTTGCCGCGAAGTAAGCTACAAAAAAAACGTATACGACTTCACAGCATTTCGTCAGAAATGCTGCGATCTCAATTTGCTTGCAAGCATTTACCGCGAAGTCACCTACAAAAAAGTAGTGGACTTCACAGCAGGAGCTCGTTTTTAATTAGAGATCACAGCATTTCGTCAGAAATGCCGCGATCTCAGGTACGGAAAAAACGTAGTCGACTTCACAGCAATTATCCATCTTCGCGTCTTCGCGTGCTTAATTAAAAATCAAACAAACTCCCTATTATAGCAGGCCCAAAGCTCCAATCCAGCAGAGACTGATTTTTATTGTTACAAACCATGAAGCTGCAGCAAGGCACCTGAAGGTAGCCTCTGGACGCTCCAATCTATTGACTGAGAACCGCTCAGCAAATATCTTTCTGCTGCCGCTAAAGAAGTATTGATGACTGCGGTCAATTTTTGCTTTCAACTTATGGAATAGTGCCATGAGAGCGCTTTGCAAAAAGGACAGCTAGAAGATTTCCTTGGGAAAAACTTGAAGTTAAAACACTTGTCTGGACGAGAAAATTTACCGGAGTCTTTTTTTGGGTCCAAGTAGCTTTGAGAAATGCCAAGTTGCAGTGCAATCTCTTTTCCGGCCAGGTGGTCCCAAACAGACACAGGCAAAGCAAAGGAAGAGTAGACAAATGAATGAAAGAAAAGTTTGGTTCATATTTCTTCAGTGAAATTGGCTGGAGCCACTGAAGCTGCTGAATGTCTCTTGGACCGGACATGCTCTGATGAATCAAAAGAATCGAATGACAAATGCGCTTGTATTACTAAGCCCACTTCCAGATATATTTGGGTGCAAAAGATGCTTCCTCTCTTAGCAGTTGCAAAGTATATTTGAAGCAGTATGGCCAGTGCACCCCGCCATGAATAACATACACTTACACATGTTTTTAGCATTAACTTATTATTTTGTTAGGTAGTAGCCAGTGCCGGAAGCCAGACACTGGATTGTATTACCCAGTGCCGGAGGCCAGACACTGAGTATATCCTATGACTTATCAATTATATATTTTGAAATGAACAAATGCAATGAAGTATGGGATTTGGCTAGTTCATCAATCCACTTAATAACAATCCAGTGCCGGAAGCCAGGCACTGGATTGTATTACCCAGCGCCGGAGGCCAGACACTGAGTATTTACTATGACTTGTCAAGTATAGCATTAGCAGACCAAGTTGTACCAAATAGGTCAACAAATCAACATGTGGTTTTTGATTTTGAAATTTTCATCCCCATCAAATGTCCCGGCATCATGAAAAAATGTAACATCAGACCAGCAGTCTATCATATGTGTGTTCGGATTATCCCAGACAAATTCATTTACTTCCAGAGAAGCTGGAGAGACACTCAACATGCAGCTGCTGTGAGAAATCCAAGGAGCCATCTTAAGGACGGCATCCTGCATATTTACAAAAGAAGCTCAAAGGCATCCTGCAAAAAGGAGCTCTTCTTAAGGAAGGCGTCCTGTGAATTTAGCCCTGGCTAGGAGCTTCTGAAACGCGTCCTGCAAGGTAAAAGCATCATTTTTTCTTTCGGACCAGGTGCAATGAAACCCTCAGTCCACAATCTGTACACCAATTGCGGCCTGGACGCCAGAAAGCAAGGCGTCAACCATTTGGGGAGGATACGTTTCACAGAACGATGAAATCTGGATGCCTCCCTCAGCACCCTGGATCTGTCGGTGGGGCTCTTCACAAAGACAGAACTGGTTGTTGAAGATAGCATCGACTTCAGGGATGTTGTGGACCAATCGTGTCCTTTTCCTGATAGGTTCTTGGGTGTACGGGCAACGCAGCCCAAATCTGCACTGATCGAAACGGGAAAGGAAAACTCCTGGCTGGGTGCTAAGTGCAGCCAGACAATCTTCTTCCCAGGAACTGGCGCCATCTGGATGTTCCAGAATGAAGTGCCGGTCATGTTGCCTTTGGTGATTGGCAAGCTCGGCGCTGAAGGACAAAAGTCGGCCAGCTTCAAGCCGCCTGCTTTGATACCTTGTCTCCCCCATCGATTTCCTGCCCCACAATTGCATCAACTGGCTGTACAATGTGCAGGGAGGCGAGAGCATCAACACCTTAGGCTCATACAGGTTGACATGAGCCCAGACTGTCGCCCTGCCATTCACACCAGCCAGATCCATCTCTGAATCATCTTTCCAATCAAAGGATTGACCTCCGATCAAATGGAAAGCAGCACACCGCGGGACAAGCCGCGGGCGACTAAAGACTTCGGAGATGTCAACTTGGTCATCCGAGTGGATGATTTGCATGACCGCATCCACATCCTCAATGTGGTCACTCATGGCACCGAATTGAATAAGTCGCCGCCCTGGCTGCGGGTCCGGGAAGCTAATATTTTAAGCCTGAACCATTAATGCAGGCATTTTGTTTTGTTTGGCTTTCAAACGCACAGGCCAGTGAAGACGAATCTGTTTCAGTCACTGGCAAGCAAATCTGACTGATCAGTGGCGAAGCTCCATTTTTAAGCTTTCGGTTGGTCATGTCTGGCTGAATCAGCATGAGAGCCGGGTCTCAAGAATGAAAACAGGTTCATACAGTTTGATATGACCACCCAATCACTGTCGTTTAGGTTAATGGACACTATTTCCATTGAGGCCTTCCCCCTTTGCTTCTTCCAAAAGTCATGGATTCAAGGATTAGGTCACAGAACAAATGATGGCGTTTCCATCACACGCTCGAGGGCAAGAATCAAGCACCAGCCATACATAGGGGAAAACAATGGCGTCATGAGCGTGACTACTTTTAAAAGCATTCCATCATAGACTCCGGCCTTGCTTGACCAAAACTACCGCGACCCCACTCAGTCCTTCTTGACCCAAACGCCTTTGCTGGTTTCGACCAGGCCTGCCTTTGGACGGCAGGTGGTACAGCCAAATGCGTCCTGCTTACACTTTCCACATCCCAGCGCTACACCTTCAGGAACAGAGATCCGGCGGCGCTTGCCACCAACGACGACACCAGGCACTGCAGCAGATGGTTGTGCCTCATCAGGTTGACCAGCTGATCCAATAGCTTCCGAAGCAGCAGCAGGCCGCCGCATACCTCGGCCGCGCCCTCGTCCTTTAGGCGATGCCTTGGCTGTTGCCTTTGCTTTGGGCTGAACCGGCACGGCTACAGGCGCAGCTGGGGCGGCAGCAACGTGCTGTCCTGGAGGAGCTCCTTTTTCCAACACAGCATGGCCCTGCGGCGCTCCTTGGACAGCAGAGGATTCATCGATTCGACGAGGCTGCAACTGCCCAGCATCTTTCAATACCTTCAGACCCAAGGGCTGTGTGAAAACAAAGGCAAATGACAGTTGGTCATCCAAATCAACGTCAGGCCCAGGCTTCGCAGCCGTATCCATGCCTGCAAACACGAACTGAATGTCCGGGCACTTCCATGACAGAGATTTCTTTGCCTTGTTGTTTTCGACCTTAGCTCTTGTGAGAGTCTTTATCGGAAAAAGTCTTGCTTTGAGCAAACATTAGGTTTCAAAATCGTCAAATCCAAATTCATTATCCAGCAGACCTATAACAGTAAACAACTCGGGATGGAACATCTATTATATGGGGAAGCAAACATTTAATATCGGAAACAATTATATCATAGGGGGAAACCAAAAAAACAAACCTAAATATTTTTTCGAACCTTAACAGGGAAACAACAAATAATATGGCCTCCCGTGCTTTCTTAGGGAAGGTCGCTTGTGCCCCACTAGACGCATTAGCCCATCGCTCTAGTGTCATGTGTTGCCCTCCGTCAACGCGTTGGCCCCAAGGCAAACCAACACTGCAAGTTTCAATCTAGAAACTGTCTTACCACAGTGTTGGCGCGACTCTCTTCCCTAAGAGCCCCACTCCCGGCCACCGGAGTGACTCACCTTTTAACCCAGGAGGGAAGGTGAGTTTCGGTAGGGCGAAAGCAAAAACAAAAACAGTGAGTTCTTAAATGTCACGTCCAGAATCCAAGGTCTGCAAATATTCACATGCACACTGGTAGCCCCATTCCTTCATCAGCGCTGCGGTCTTGAGAAATTCTTGGCTTTGCCGGATGGAGAATGGCACCCTTGGAACGGGGTCACTTTGAGGCCTCGGTGGCAACTTCTGGACATGCTCAAACGCGATGAACATCAACGGGCTTTGGCTCAAGGATCGGCTTGCCATGTACAGCTTTGGAAGAAGAATGACATCTCTGCCATGCGGATCCAAATGCTTCAGCCAGTCTGGCGTTTCAATTTGTTCCTGCCAATCCTTCGGCAACATGTCTCGGCGAACCAGCTTCCAGCAATGAATGGCTTCCATGTTGTTCTTGGTGGCTGCAGCGGTTTGATTGAGGCCACTCATTTTCGCACCCAGAGGATGCAGCCACGCTCGAAAGTTTTCTGCCCCATGCAAGAGCTCAACGTGGTAACCAGGCAAGGTCTGCAGAATCTGGTGCCGAAAGGATTCAGGATCCTCCAAGACTTTGGCTCTATTCAAGGAAACAGCCACCTGCGAAAAGGCAGCATCTTGCCGGTTATGCGTGTGGCCAACCCGGCCCTGAGCCATGGTCACAGAGTTGACATGCCCCAAAGCAACTTGCACTGCCATGAACTTGACCAGGGTGTTGTTCTTGGATTCGGAGCTGGCGTTGTCACTGACGCATCTCCAGTGCGCCGGCATCGACAATCCACGTTCACGAAGGCGCTCACTCACAACCTGATCTGCATGGCTCAAGGATCTGAAGAATGTTTATATATTAATATATATTATGTATTAACTAGGAAGGCGGAAGAAATGCACAGTCACAAATTATTGCGCCACATTAAACAAAAACGGAATGTTAGAATTTAAAGCAAGCAGCTTCCAAGGCTCTGGCCGTGACCGTGGTTTGAACATCTCCACCCTTACCAACATCCATATCTGCAAGAAACAAGAACTTGCCAACGCCATCGACTGTCACGCCATGGCATGATATCTGAGGTCGCCAGCTGTCCTGCAGCGTCTTGGCCATTTCAAAGTTCCTCGGAACTTTGAACTTCGCCTGATCCATTCCGTCCTGTGTCCAATTCAGCAGGCTCCTTTCATACACATAGCCCTTGGCGCCGGGGACCGTGGAGTTCCAACCCATCTGTTCTGCGATGGTATCGGCTTGTCGATCGTCCATGACACTCGCAACATGCTGGCTGTGTGCCTCGGAGATTTGTTTTGCCTGGGTCTCACAGACAGCCTTGCTTCTCATCATCTTCAACTTCTCGCATGTCGTGCATTTCCCATGGTGTTGGGAATCAGCTATCTTGAGCTTGGTCTTCCACTCAGACTCATCATAGTAGCGCTTGAAGCTGGTGCGATGGCAGGGCTTCTCACTCCAATTTGCATACATCTCATAGAATTCCTGCCAAGACATATGCGGCAAGTAGCGCTTGCCATCCACTGTCAAAGCGGAATCTGGACCAAGGTCTTCTGCCTTCACATCATCGAGGCGCAAAGTCTTCTGACTGTCCTCCTCGCAATCCTCCAGCTCTTCCTCAACACAAATTTGCACAGCACGAGGAGTCTCCGAATCTGCTCCGAGCTCAGTGGGGATGTGCATGGCGTAGTTGGACCAGGCGTGGTAGAAAAACTTGGAGACATCTTGCTGCTCGGGTGTCATCTTTGTCAGGTTGGCGTGGCAATGGAGCCCACGTTTCCTGGCATCAGGCGGAGGACCATCAAGGTGAACAGTTTTGAGGAACTGCTTCACTGTGGTATGCCCCACGCAGCAAGCCTTCTGAAAGATCCTCCGGCACACAGGTGTGTCCATCAGCTGGTACCCGCGCTCCACCTTCTTGTAGACACGCAGCTCACGCAACATGAGCCAAACCCTTTTCCGGTGCAGCTCCCGGTCAAGCTTCTGCAAGCTTTCGCGTGTGACTTTGCAAAAGTTCAGCAAATCACTGCCGGGCTTGACGCACGCAGTCTTGCAACTGCAAATCCAAGACGTTTCTACCTCAGCATCACTCCCAGAGTCGTCTTGGGAGGGTAGACTAACCACAGATTCACCCTCACTGGGGAGGTCAATGTCCATGGCATTGGCGCGCCGCAAAGCCATCCTTGTGATGCTTGACTTTTTTGAAACCAGACCGCTGCGAAAATGGATCTTGGTTTTATGTCTGCTGGTCTTGACCAAACAAATGACTTTGACAGTAACCGTCAGACTGAAAATTAGTCATGCTTCGGCTGTCATGAGGAGCTTGAAGCTTCCTGCAAGTAAATCAGACAGGACTGAGGAGCATACAGCTTCCTGCAAATACAGTAAGTAGAAGAGCCTCCGAGAGGCTTCCTGCAACATGAGACATCATTGATACAGCCATGCATTTGAAACCTATCTAAGGACCAGGATGTTGTGAATTTCCTTCAATCAGGAGGATGATCCAAAAAGATGTCAAACAGTATCCAAATGAACATCATCAACGGATCGCCTTTTTTCATAATTATGCCGGAAGTGGTCGTTGCTTCTTATTCATTGCAATTCCAAGCGATGTTGCCAATCGAAAAATGGATTATCTTTCCGAAGCTTTGATGAACAGACACGACACTCACCGATAGGAATAGTTCATGAGTCTGGCAACGCGCCCGTGCCACTAGAAGCAGCGCATCCACAGCTAGGCGCCAGCGGCTATCATATTTGGAAAAGATTATTGTAATTCAAAGCCAAATCAAATACATTGCCAGTTGCTTTGCATTATCTTGCCCATGGTTAGTTGAGGCTAGACATTACAGACCACAGCCAGTTCACACGCCCAGCGCCAAAAACCACACCGAATTCTTCAGACATTAAATAATATCTTGCATCAGGGCTTTAAAAAAAAATCCGGCAAAATGGATGGGAACGGCCATGAGCAGTTCACGGCACGACAAGTATTTATGATTCAATTATCCTGGTGCCGTTTCCAAACCACATAGTATCAAGACAGGTTGGTGGCATGAAGGCCCACAAATTCACATTCATTAATCCAGACTCTTGCCGATGCAACTTCCTCACGATTTAACTAGATGAAAGTCATCGGTCATGACATAAGGTGATTTCTTTTCTGAATCCCCCGGAACTGCAAGACAAAACATATAATGTACAAATGCTTCATAAACAAACTTAATACTAAGACACGACAGGCGGTCAAAATGGTGAAAGGCGCAGCAACTAGGAAGCAGCTTGATTGCCAATGCCTCGCATGTCTTCCTGACTCAAGCAACTTCATGACAAGTAAGAAATCACTCCTTCTTTTCATCACAGGAGGCATTGGAATCTCAACCAAAAAAGGCTGAATCACAAAAGTTTCAACCGAGACCATGATTGCTCACCGCAGGTCCAAACAAGAAGCCAGCTGACTGCCAGAAGAACAATAGGTGTCCGTGAGTACAAATCTCAGAATTTCCCTCTAAGAAAGGAGACCAAGGCGTCCTGAAAAAAAAAAGGAGCCAAAGGCATCCTGCAAAAGGAGCTCAAGGCATCCTGCAAACGGAAAGTGAAGGAGCCAAAGGCATCCTGCAAACGGAAAGCTGAAGGAGCCAACGGCATCCTGCAAAGACATGCACGACGGAGCGGCTGTTCAACATGCGACTTTCCATGTTTACTATCGAATCAGCCAGCGCAAGTTTGAGATTCACTAATAGATTTTTTTTGCTGCCAAGGCTGTGTATACGCAAAAATTATTTGGTTTTACTCTTGATGAATCAAACAATTTCTTGATGAGCGTTTGCGAACATAATTAGGATTGCCACCCGGTGCCATGGTTTTTTTACCTTTTCAAAACCCATGAGCTGCACTAATCGCCGTTTTTAACGTTTTGTTAAAACCCAGTGGCCTAGCTCAAAAACCCATATCCTCCGCACATCCTTTTGATGCAGCCACTCCAATACGATTTACGAGATCCAGCTGCAAAAGACAATAGTATTACGAATGCAGCCACAGCACGAAGCAACCTTGACGCAGCCATTACAATGCGATCTGCAGAGACTGAGTTGCAAAACACAATAGAACTACGCACAACGGCGTCGGAAATTGTAGCTCCAAAACCGGATCTCGACGCCAGAGCGAAAAAAAGACGATTTTGAAGCACTTTTTAAAAGAATTTTTAGAAGGAAATTCACTAGCGCCAAAATGGAGAAAATCTGCCAACAAATCACTGTGGCAGCCTTCATGCAGCCACTCCAATACGATTTACGAAGTCCAGCTGCAAAAGACAATAGTATTACCAATGCAGCCACAGCACGAAGGAACCTTGACGCAACCATTTACAGGGAGGGAACGATCCTAGACTTGCAAATCACAATGGAATTCCATCGGCAACTCATCCACCAGCACCACTTGCAATCCCATTTACAGTGAGGGAACGATCCTAGAGTTGCAAATCACAATGGAATTCCATCAGAAACTCATCCACCAGCACCACTTGCAATGCCATTTACATTGCGAGAACGATCCTACAGTTGCAAATCACAATGGAATTCCATCTGCAACTCATCCACCAGCACCACTTGCAATCCCATTTACAGTGAGGGAACGATTCTAGAGTTGCAAATCACAATGGAATTCCATCGGCAACTCATCCACCAGCGCCACTTGCAATCCCATTTACATTGCGGGAACGATCCTACAGTTGCAAATCACAATGGAATTCTGTCGACCGCACATAGACGAAACACAGTTGAAACCCCATTTGCAATGCGGAACCGATCCGAGACCGATCCGACCATGATCCGATCATGATCCGACCACACACGAGACCGTCTCGCACCCGTCGCACCGCAGAGGTAGATCATCGAGGTTCGGGGACACACTTTGTATGGAAAAACATAGGGTTTCGTGCATCTGCTATCTCTCAAAAACGCATTTCGTGCGAGACTTCCTCCAAAACTCCATCGGCAACTCCTCCACCAGCACCACTTGCAATGCCATTCTAACTCTTTCTTTGACTAACTCTTTCCCTGACATTCTAAAAGTTACAATTAACTCTGTCCCTAACTAACTCTTTCCCTCACTAACTCTTCATTTGACTAGCTCTTTCCCTGACAGTCTAAAAGTTACAATCCCTGATGAACTCTTTCCCTAACTAACTCTTTCCCTCACTAACTCTTTCTTTGACTAACTCTTTCCCTGATGAACTCTTTCTCTAACTAACTCTTTCTCTCACTAACTCTTTCTCTCACTAACTCTTTCTTTGACTAACTCTTTCCCTGATGAACTCTTTCTCTCACTAACTCTTTCTTTGACTAACTCTTTCCCTGATGAACTCTTTCTCTAACTAACTCTTTCTCTCACTAACTCTTTCTCTCACTAACTCTTTCTTTGACTAACTCTTTCCCTGATGAACTCTTTCTCTCACTAACTCTTTCTTTGACTAACTCTTTCCCTGATGAACTCTTTCTCTAACTAACTCTTTCTTTGACTAACTCTTTCCCTGATGAACTCTTTCTCTCTAACTCTTTCTCTCACTAACTCTTTCTTTGACTAACTCTTTCCCTGATGAACTCTTTCTCTCACTAACTCTTTCTTTGACTAACTCTTTCCCTGATGAACTCTTTCTCTAACTAACTCTTTCTCTCACTAACTCTTTCTTTGACTAACTCTTTCCCTGATGAACTCTTTCTCTCACTAACTCTTTCTTTGACTAACTCTTTCCCTGATGAACTCTTTCTCTAACTAACTCTTTCTCTCACTAACTCTTTCTCTCACTAACTCTTTCTTTGACTAACTCTTTCCCTAACTCTTTCTCTCACTAACTCTTTCTTCACTAACTCTGAACTAACTCTTTCCCTGATGACCTCTTTCTCTTTCAACTAACTCTTTCTCACTAACTGACTAACTCTTTCCCTGATGAACTCTTTCTCTAACTAACTCTTTCTCTCACTAACTCTTTCTCTCACTAACTCTTTCTTTGACTAACTCTTTCCCTGATGAACTCTTTCTCTCACTAACTCTTTCTTTGACTAACTCTTTCCCTGATGAACTCTTTCTCTAACTAACTCTTTCTCTCACTAACTCTTTCTCTCACTAACTCTTTCTTTGACTAACTCTTTCCCTGATGAACTCTTTCTCTCACTAACTCTTTCTTTGACTAACTCTTTCCCTGATGAACTCTTTCTCTAACTAACTCTTTCTCTCACTAACTCTTTCTCTCACTAACTCTTTCTTTGACTAACTCTTTCCCTGATGAACTCTTTCTCTAACTAACTCTTTCTTTGACTAACTCTTTCCCTGATGAACTCTTTCTCTAACTAACTCTTTCTCTCACTAACTCTTTCTCTCACTAACTCTTTCCCTGACATTCTAAAAGTCCGTAACACGGAAGTTTCTCCCCCTAAACTTCCTTTGATAATAGTAGAACCTGATACCATCTGGTTATTTAACTGTAGCCATGGAAAATCACCATGCTATTAATAGGTAAACCATCTATTTCTATGGGCCATCGAAAAACCATGGCGAACTGTTAGTCATAACCAGAGGGTCTCAAGTGTCAAACCAGTGGTCGACCTCCAGAAGCTGCATCACAGGGTATCACCTCGTTTGCCTTGACCGTTGGATCATGGCTGTGGCACCTTGGCACAACGCCGCAAGCAGGCCGTCACCTGGCTCGCCGCCGTAAAAAGTCAGGTCACAAAGATCCCCAGTCAGTGGATCTGAAATTGGACATTCATCATGTAAAATCCATTAAAATCCATGAGCATCTATGAAATGTTATATGATGTTATATGACATCCATCAAACTCCAGTAGAATCCATTACAATCCACAAAAATGATTCTTAAACATTGACCAACCCTCTGTGGAACGCCCAATCCCAGCCTCACGACACTGCTGTGCAGTGACCCTCACCAGCTGCCGACGCTGTCGCAGTTGACGCCCAAGCAGCGTCACGGCGGTGCGCTCCTGTCGAACGAACTTTCCCAGGAGTGGAACAATTCAATGAAATATACATATGAGGTTTCCTAAAATGGAGGTACCCCGAAATCATCCAAGTCATTAAAGCGTTTTAGTATTGAAACCCATGGTTTTGGGGATCCCTCAGTTTAAGAAACCCCCAAATGGATTCAAAATGGACTATGCATGGGTAATGATTTTATGAATCAGGAAATATTAGGAAAGAATTAAATGGACAACATAAACGGATGATTGAATGAACTGGACTATAAATGGAATGATAGCTGAATAATTCAATGAACCATATGTTGTAAATGGATTATGAGAGGAATTTGATGGTCAAGATTTTGATCTTGTTATCTTCATCAGAATTATCTTCCCCAGCATCATGAATAAAGTCAATCAAACGGAGAAATTGATTAATCCTTATATCTTAGTGTTTTCATTTATTCATGTGGTATACTGATTAGTCAGTACCCCCCAATTGTTTTTGGGGGAAACGCGAAAACAATCAGTAGCCAAAAGGAGTAAATCCGCCGACCCCTGCCGACAGCAGGGGGAGCGCGTCAGAGGAGGAATTACCAGCAGCAAGGGCCAAGAAGTCATTACAAGCAGCAAGGGCAAGAAGCAAGAAAACATGAAAGAAGAAGCAAGAAGCAAGAAGCAATTACAGGCAACAAGCGGCAAGAAGCAAGAAACAAGAAGCCAGGAAGCAACAAGCGGCTGGAAGACAGGTCAGAGAAGTCATTACAAACAGCAAGGGCAAGAAGGAAGAAAACAAGAAAGAAGAAGCAAGAAGCAAGAAGCAATTACAGGCAACAAGCGGCAAGAAGCAAGAAACAAGAAGCCAGGAAGCAACAAGCGGCTGGAAGACAGGTCAGAGAAGCAAGAAACAACAAGCCAGGAAGCAACAAGCGGCTGGAAGACAGGTCAGAGAAGCAAGAAACAAGAAGCCAGGAAGCAACAAGCGGCTGGAAGACAGGTCAGAGAGCTAGTTTTCTTGTCGATTCAGAAAGCAACGTTAGGCAGGCGGCTGGAAGACAGGTCAGAGAAGCAAGAAACAAGAAGCCAGGAAGCAACAAGCGGCTGGAAGACAGGTCAGAGAGCTAGTTTTCTTGTCGATTCAGAAAGCAACGTTAGGCAGGCGGCTGGAAGACAGCTCAGAGAGCTAGTTTTCTTGTAGGTTGAGAAAGCAACGTTAGGCAGTGGGAGCCGTTGCCCGGAGGCTCGGTCCGTCCTTCAGGGCCCTGCTGTTTTGCTGTGGCGGAGGCGCCGTTTGTGAGCCTTGACGGCTGGAAGAGAGCTAGTTTGGGAGCCGTTGCCCGGAGGCTCGGTCCGTCCTTCAGGGCCCTGCTGTTTTGCTGTGGCGAGGGCGCCGTTTGTGAGCCTTGACGGCTGGAAGAGAGCTAGTTTTCTTGTAGGTTCAGCAACGTTAGGCAGTGGGAGCCGTTGCCCGGAGGCTCGGTCCGTCCTTCAGGGCCCTGCTGTTTGCTGTGGCGGAGGCGCCGTTTGTGAGCCTTGACGGCTGGAAGAGAGCTAGTTTGCAACGTTAGGCAGTGGGAGCCGTTGCCCGGAGGCTCGGTCCGTCCTTCAGGGCGCTGCTGTTTTGCTGTGGCGAGGGCGCCGTTTGTGAGCCTTGACGGCTGGAAGAGAGCTAGTTTTCTTGTCGGTTCAGAAAGCAACGTTAGGCACTGGGAGCCGTTGCCCGGAGGCTCGGTCCGTCCTTCAGGGCCCTGCTGTTTGGGCGTGGCGGAGGCGCCGTTTGTGAGCTTTGACGGCTGGAAGAGAGCTAGTTTGGGAGCCGTTGCCCGGAGGCTCGGTCCGTCCTTCAGGGCGCTGCTGTTTTGCTGTGGCCAGGGCGCCGTTTGTGAGCGTTGACGGCTGGAAGAGAGCTAGTTTTCTTGTCGGTTCAGAAAGCAACGTTAGGCGCTGGGAGCCGTTGCCCGGAGGCTCGGTCCGTCCTTCAGGGCCCTGCTGTTTGGGCGTGGCGGAGGCGCCGTTTGTGAGCCTTGACGGCTGGAAGAGAGCTAGTTTGGGAGCCGTTGCCCGGAGGCTCGGTCCGTCCTTCAGGGCCTTGCTGTTTTGCTGTGGCGAGGGCGCCGTTTGTGAGCCTTGACGGCTGGAAGAGAGCTAGTTTTCTTGTAGGTTCAGAAAGCAACGTTAGGCAGTGGGAGCCGTTGCCCGGAGGCTCGGTCCGTCCTTCAGGCCCCTGCTGTTTGGGCGTGGCGGAGGCGCCGTTTGTGAGCCTTGACGGCTGGAAGAGAGCTAGTTTGGGAGCCGTTGCCCGGAGGCTCGGTCCGTCCTTCAGGGCCCTGCTGTTTTGCTGTGGCGAGGCTGCCGTTTGTGAGCCTTGACGGCTGGAAGAGAGCTAGTTTTCTTGTAGGTTCTAGGTTCAGAAGGCAACGTTAGGCACTGGGAGCCGTTGCCCGGAGGCTCGGTCCGTCCTTCAGGGCCCTGCTGTTTTGCTGTGGCGAGGGCGCCGTTTGTGAGCCTTGACGGCTGGAAGAGAGCTAGTTTTCTTGTCGGTTCAGAAAGCAACGTTAGGCAGTGGGAGCCGTTGCCCGGAGGCTCGGTCCGTCCTTCAGGGCCCTGCTGTTTGGGCGTGGCGGAGGCGCCGTTTGTGAGCCTTGACGGCTGGAAGAGAGCTAGTTTGGGAGCCGTTGCCCGGAGGCTCGGTCCGTCCTTCAGGGCCCTGCTGTTTTGCTGTGGCGAGGGCGCCGTTTGTGAGCCTTGACGGCTGGAAGAGAGCTAGTTTTCTTGTAGCTTCAGAAAGCAACGTTAGTAACGTTAAGCAGTGGGAGCCGTTGCCCGGAGGCTCGGTCCGTCCTTCAGGGCCCTGCTGTTTTGCTGTGGCGAGGGTGCCGTTTGTGAGCCGTGACGGCTGGAAGAGAGCTAGTTTTCTTGTAGGTTCAGAAAGCAACGTTAGGCAGTGGGAGCCGTTGCCCGGAGGCTCGGTCCGTCCTTCAGGGCCCTGCTGTTTTGCTCAATGGGAGATATGCCCAGGGGTCGGCGGCAGGGGGCGGAGCCCTTTAATTAAGATAAATTAAGTCTAACAAATGAAATTGGGACATGAAATATATCAAATTCTTAATGGAATGGATTCATATTTGAGATTATCTACATCATCATTTCTCATAGATAATCTAATCAAACTGGGGCTAGTCACATAGATTAAAATCTATCTTCCCAAAGTGTGTCATTCCTGGTAATCATCATTATGCACTCATCCCAAAATGGGGTTCCTCCATACCTATCACAATCACAACCATATTATATAGTTGCAATGATACTCATCCAGTAAAACTGGGAATCTGAAAATGTAGAGTCATTCTATTGTACATAATCCAGCTCACATACATATTTTCTAACATACAATATATATAAAAATATAACAATATATATATAAATATAACAATATATAACATATATATAACATATATATATAACATATACATATATGTATATATAACGTATATATATATATACATGTTAACATAGCTATTCCTTGCAGATTTTCTATCGATTTTCTACGGTTGACCTGTAAGAACCTGTAGCCGCTGTCGCCGGGCGAAGCCAGGTGCTTCGCCGTTCAGAAAGGCTCGTCCTTCTGCAGCGACTCCTGCAGCAAGTTGAAGAGTTCCTGCAGGCGTCGGTACAAGGGGATAGGAATTCGATAGGTGGGAAATACCGGTTTATCCGGGTTTAATTTGTTTAATACCTGGAACTGTCCTGGAACCATTGGGTTTTCTTGTTTTTTGAATGGTTTTTCCTAAAACGCACATCTCAAACACTCCTGACAACCACATCCCGCCTGCTCAGTGACTGTCTCTGGCGCTGCACTCTCGGAACTGCTTGGCTCTTGCCAAAGCAAAGCCTCCTCCCAAGCCGTGGCCGGACCATTAATCAGTCCACAACGGAATCCGCAATATGAAGCAATATCCACTGATCATCACTGATCCACAACCATTTGGACCAAAGAATGTCTCAAAAAACTGTCTATTGTAGTGCAGGCTATCACATAAAACCAGCAAATCATCACTTCAGCATCCTCCCCACTTGCAGGTCAAATTTCTGATTTTCTAGATTCTATCCCGTATATAACTTCCTATGTCCTATATAGCCTTTTTTCCAAATCCTTCCCTGCAAACAATTGCAAACCTAACTCAACCTATGCCCCCCTCGCTGCAACTCTGTCCTGCAGCAGCTGGATCTTCAGCTGTCGTGACAGCTCAGTCCCTCGTCGTGCTGGCGCCAAAGCCGCCAGCAAGGCACCATCTGCTGTACCTGGGTTGTATTTGATAGCTTTAACCATCAACAAATTGGATTTCAGGGGGTCTGATGGCATCTACTTGGATTTAATCTGATGTTTGGTAACCGTTCCACAACGGAAACTGTCTATGAACAGTTCCAAACCAGTGGATGCTTGCGCGGTGGGCTGGAGTGGGGCAGGACAGTTTGTCAGATTGTATTCTTCACTAGCAGCTGTCCCGTCCATAGTACAATCACGTTTTGCTAGAGTCGTGTTGCAGTTCGAAAAAACGACGGAAGCTTTGCCACAAGATGCCACAAGAAGTATTACTCATCACATCACATCACATCACATCTTCGATCTCGGTGTCCGCACCAACTCCATGACCTGCCATTGCCGAATTCTGAATCGCTGCTGCTGGAGACATGACTTGCGGTCAATCAATGTATCATGACGAGTCTACACACTTGAAAGACCATGTTTGATGCAGACTCTTTGGCTTCGGAGTAACTACCGGAACAACCAGAGGCGGCCACCACAAAGCGCTCGAGGTTCACGCAAGAGCCTCATTGGAACCACAGGTGTCACTGATTCGATCTTCCAGTGGTTATAATTAAATATAGCTATTGGCTTTAATGAATGATATTCCACAATGGAGCTTTATAATGGTATTTATTTATAATGGTTAAATATAATGAATGATATTCATTGATATTCCACAATGTTCCATTGGTATTCCTCAATGGGGCTTTCACCTGGTCATCTCTGCCTTCGTGTTTGAAATCAGATCCATTGGTTACCCTGGAGCTTCCTCCCATGAAAACAGACCACGAGCTGCATCAACTGGATCTATGTTTAAAAATCAATAGGGTACCCCATGGTAACCCCTATGGTACCCAAAAATCAAGGTCGAACCTCATTTTCCTCATCTGAATCGTTTTTTCATGGCCAGATTGAACAAATGGTGAAGAGTTGGGCTGCCCTGCTGTCGAAGCAAGATGAGGGCCTCCTCTCGTCGATTGAGGGTTCCTGGGCTCAGCAGAGCTCGGCCCAATCATCTGATTACCCGAAAATCCAATGGTTTAGAAACTTGGTTTCCCCATGTTTCCCATTGTTTCCCCATCAGAATGACTATTTGATGTTCTGAATGGGGCTATACCCGATGTTCAAACATCCCCAGGGTAGCCATTCAAGTGTCCAAGGATCGGATTTCGGGTACCTGTATCCAGTGCAAATCCTCCCTCATATGCTTCAATATTCCATGGTATTCCATGCTAAATATCATCCATCCACAAGCCATCCACTCAAACGATGATAATTCCGTGCCATCCCAAAATCACCGGAGTCCATCACCAAGATTTAGGAGGATAGTTTCCCCAGAAAACTCAATATTTGGTTTTGAAGAAACAGGTTATCCATCCATGTTCACCAAGAAATTAAGTAAATGAGCATGCATGGGTAAAATTTGATCAAATCCCAACAATTGGATGCTGATATAATACATTTTCATGACCAAAGTCTGCCTGTTTTCTGGGATTGAAATTTTTGAAGTGTCAATTAAATGATGATCAAGTCATCACTAATTCTACCTAGACCCAAGTACCCACAAAAATCGGTTAAAAAAATAAAAATAAATAAATTAATTATGGATATTTATGGGGTCATCATGGGTTATTTATCCAATTTTTATGGCTACCTGGCAGGTAACCATCAGACCCAGCCACGGTCGCTGTGGCGTTTCGTCTCGCTGAGCCGCAGGGGCCGAGCACGGGCTCCGCCGGCTCCGCCCGTGCCGGTCTCCTAGACCGGCAACTTTTTGGTGGATGAGTCGTGTGGGGCCCTTTTTGTGGGGGAATCAATTCAATGTGAATATCTTAAATCATCTTAAATCATTCCAAAAAGTGCTAGTAGGTTGGAGTTCATGTGGCATATGTGGCTTAATCAATGTGAATCTTCCCCAAAATATGGAAAAATCAAAAGAAAAATACATGAATATGAATAAAGAACAGGTCACAAGCCAATTCGCATTTCGAGGTTCCTGGCCTGTCCAAAAAAAAAGGCATATAACTATAGACATACCAAATAGCATTGAAGTAAGCACATTATTGCCAGCAGTTTCTGTCAAATGCGCATTGCCACGTCGATTCATCTTCGGAAACTCCAGGTGGGTTTAAATGTGTAAAGGATATAGGGTACCCTCTGGTAAATTAACATAGCCATTGAAAATGGCCATTTATAGTGGATTTACCCATAAAAAATGGTGATTTTCCATAGCTATGTTAGTTTACCAGAGGGTATCCCAAATCCATGGGCTCATTATCTTCCCTATTAGAATGATGGGTAAAGCATGGTGAAGCCGGAGGGGTTTCCAGCTGCAGTTTCCTCCTCTCCCGGTGGTGAAGCCCGATGCGTTGCTGGTGACCCGCGCTTTAACCAACAAACCTGGCGTTACTTCGTGGTTGTGAGGCCCAAATTCGACAACTACCACGAAGCACCAATTATATAACATACTACCGCAAATAATACTGTGTAGTATTATTATATGGTGTATCTATATATATATATTAATATATATTAATATATATATATTAAATATATATATATATTATTGTATATACGTACACATAGATAGTGAATTTGATTGCAGAAATAAGGAAGTCATTTTGTGAAAGAACTGGTCAACCATCCACAAATTTGTGGTGACCAGGTCAGCTGTACCTTGAATCAAGGCCAGCTGTTGAAAGCTCGCATGATGGGCCCCTACTATGAAGTCTATGAAGTATATCAATTGTGGTTCATATTAATAGATCTTAATAGTAGATATAGTGTGAAATACTATTGATTACATTTTAGTATGTCATAGTCCCAATCGAATCTTAGTTGACTCCAGCTATGGTATGTACAAAAGACCATGATATCCCATGATATCCCATGATATCCCATGATATCCCATGATATCCCATGATATCCGATATCCCATGACACTATCTGCTAGATTCTGCTAGGTAGCCCTCATTTTTCTGTACCAGCCATGACTTTCAGCGTGGATTTTTGGCTGAGATCCAAACCACAGCAGATGTGGAACCAGAGGAAGACGGCCTGAAGCCAGCATGGATCTACTTGAGGCCAAATGGCAACCACCTGCCCCAAAAAAAACATATTTTTTTAAAAAAAAAGAAAATGATTGAAGGTGAAAATGACCGAAGAAATCCAGTGAAATCCATTGGTTGACTATGATTTTCCCATAATTTCCCCATTGAAGCCCAACATCCCCATGCCCCGCCTTCGACCAAGCAATCGCACTTTATCAGGGCTCATGGACAGTATCTCGGCCACATCTTCAGCCGAGGTGCTCAAACCTGAGCCACGGCCGACAAAAAATGACATTCCCCGTGTATCTGTTATATTGTTGATATCATTTAATCATATCCATCATTGGTATTTTGCTTGTATCATCTAGTATCATAATTCACTATAGGTCATTATACTGTACAACAAATGCATGTGACTGTCTTGTTCCATAACTTTGTGGATTATCACAAGAATTCCCAGCTGGTCTTAGCGGGAACTGAAGGAGTTCTGATGAGAAGTTCAACAGCCACCAGCAACAACAACTGAGCGGTTGCCGAAACCCCGATGATTTGTTTCTATTCCGTCTTCCCTTTCGCCATCTCTTTCGCGAACCTTTCGCGCTGTGGCGTTTTTCTTTCGCGTTGTTCAACAGTTACTGAGTTTTTGACTGGTGCCAAGTGCAATGAGTTCGCTTGCCCGGCAAACAACACCTACAGATGCGTTTGTGGAAGGTGGTGTTGAGGAGATAATCCATACAGCCATACTGTATACAGCCCATGTGATGGATGAGCACATTTTGATTGCGAAGATGGTATATTTACTCGAGGCCTGCCGTGGGAGAGGCTCTGGTAATAATGATATTGCAAGGTTGACACGGACTATAAACATCCGGTGTTCCAATATTACAGACCTTCAAACTCCATGTAAGGAGCCCATCCTAGCATTAAATTGATGTGTTGATGAAGTGGTTTGCGCCTGCCTTCCCACCAGAAGGCAGCAAACCTGCTGATACAAAGTTGTACACCTCCGAAACCCACCCCCCTTGCTGGGTTGAGTCCAGCATCAGCCCCTCCGAGGCTCCAAACAAGAGGGTGGCTCCTAGACACAGCGGTGGACGTGCGCTCGTTGCTATGGTGCTGGAGGATGCTGGAGGGTTGGGTGCCTACAGAAAACTGATCCACAAGGCTCGACACTTCAGCACCAGAGGTTAAATCATGACAATGATGTTCAAATATGTTCAATATTGTTAGATGAGTATGGGTCAAACTTTAAGACAATGGCATCCAACAGAATTCAGTCATTTTAAACCGGCTGCGGTGCTCCTCGTGCGACTGCGCTGCGGATGCTTGAGCCATCCCACGCTTCGCGAGGGCTTGGGTCCTCAGTGCCGGGGAAAGTCCGATGAACCGCATGGTGCTTGGGAAGCGTTGGAAAACCCTGTGCGAAACACGGTCATCTTCCCCAAGAAAGATGGAAAGTACTTCTCTGTACTTCAAAATACTTAAGGCATATTTGATCAGCAATGATCATCAGAAACAAAAGCCATCTCCTCAAATGTGAGCATACACTTACCCAAGTTGAGACCCGAGCAAGGTCCGTAAAGGCTTCGTTTCGCTTTCGTCTCCTGCTGCGCAAACGCATAAGCTAAGTCAGATTAGCTGCGTTGCTACTGTCTTTCTTGTCTCTGGACGCCTGCTCGGGTGACTGCAGATGTGAGTAGCCTCAGATTCAAACGACTGTTGAAAGTGTCTGGAAGTCTTTTGAGTATTTGTGGAGTATCAGTCTGAAACATCCAGTTTAAGACTTTACGACTTTGGACTCAATCAGTGAGTGAATTCAAACATATTCAAACGCTGTTCGTGGAGTCTAAGATGCCAGCTGTGCCAAAGATCTTAAAGAATAGGTTGTCTCTGTCACCTTGGAATCATGGGACTGCTTATGGTTTTATGGAAAGTCACCAGTTTGTAGTTGATTCACCTATCCAATATGAAGTGTCCATTGTTATTTTTTCAAACATTTTCAAACTGATAATAAACTCATTCAAAATGACCATGATGATCCCCAATTCCCATCACTTCCCCACATCGATCTAAGTGATTGGATGCATTTTGGATAATTGCTGCTCAGCTCAGCGCATTGAGCACCGGGAAGACTTCAGCAAGTCCAAGGCCTGACAGAGGCGCAAATTCATCTCGCAGCCCTCTTCACCAACTTGGATGTGCCGAAATGTGCCGAAATGTGCCGAACCAAACTGCTGAATTTTGATGTGTCTCCACGTTTCTCCAATTATAATATAGTTTTTGGATTTGACGCAGAAAACTTCGGCGTAAAATCAATGGTATTCATGATTGAATTCAATAGTATTCAATAGTACCCAAGCCCAAGCACGGCAGAACCAAGCGGAATCCGATGGCACCTAATCCCAAACTCGGTTTCAACAGGGCTGGTGCCTCGGTCCGTCCAGCCCTTGGGGTCAAAGATGTGGGCCCATGTGGGTCCAATAGACCCATAGAATCCCACAGATATTTAGTCATTTTGTGTGATGCTTCTCCCTTGAGCCTTGAACCATCTCCTTTTGTGCAATACTTTTGGATCTACCACATCGCCGGCCAAAAGCGTTGCACGCAGCTTTCATCAAGGCTCTGACCAGCCAATGAGTCAACAGAAGGGTGGCCAGCAGGTCCTGTGAGTAGTAACTATGGAGAAAAAAGCCATCGGAATTGGCACATTTTGAGACACAAACTTCATCCTTCCCATTGATTTGGCAAACTGTCCAAGTTGGGCCATGATGGGCCCCCCCGCTCCCAGCTTAAGCAGATTACAATCCCAGTCCACTCCTCGTTATGTTGACAGAGACGTAACCATAGGTACTCCATCAATATCTGGATTTGCCCAAAAAATGAACAAGTAGACATGGAATGACATGGATAGGGGGGAAAAAACATGGGAAACTCATGATGATCAACAAATAAAAAAACATGGGGGGTAGCAGGTCCTCGCCCTGCTCACCAAAGCTTGCCAGCGATGCAGCAAGGCGGCACAACATAGGCCTCGGAGTCCAGGGATTCCATAGTAAATGGGGTTCGTCTCAAGGTTTGGAACCCCCAAAGTTGATACGACTAGTTGATCAGTTTATCATGTTTTATCTTACGAATTCAACATATTTCAAAATAATTCAAATAACAATTTTGAGACGCATCCAAAATGTCTCGGTTCATCATCACAAACCATTCAATCACTGTAGCACCTTTAAACTGAGCAGCCCCCAAATCAGCGTCGAACAAATGTACATTGCCTGGATGTTTCTGATTATTTATCTAGGGCTTTGAAAAACCACTCCTCCGTGGCTGAGTTTGGGGTCACCACCCATCCTCCACAGCATCTGTGACACCGGACGGTGCAGCATCAGCTGCGTCCACCAGAGATTCAACCTGGTGCGGGGAGCTAACCCTATTCGACAAAATGGGCATCAATGTGACCATGGGTGATGTTGTGATGAGCCACCAGAATCATAAGAACAATAGCTGTGCACAGGGAAAATCCATAAATATATCCATAAATATCCATGAATATCCATAAATATCCATAAATATCCTTATATAATATCCATAAATATCCATAAGGTATCAACAGAATCATCCAGGAACACCTGCTATACTCAGCCAGTCTCTCCTAGTTATTTCACAAAAAAAAACACCAAGATCCCCCACCAGAGACGAGGCGATGCTGTCGATGTCTGCTGTTGGACCTGTGGCATTTGAGGTAGAGAATTCCGCTGTCCAAAGGATTGCAACATGGCTATGAGTCAAAACCCTGGTACCTAGTGAACCTCAAAATAGCTGGTAAATGGATGTTCATCCCATTAAAATTTTATCATAATGTATCTATAGGTATTGACCCATACATCACCAGCCTGGCGCACAGTTGGTGGTGTTGGCTCTTCGCACCATCTGCTCCTGGCCAGAAGGCGAGAGGGGTAAGTTGCAAAAGGACAGGGACCAATTCAAGTCTTCAGGAGAATTTCCTATGGAATTTGGGGTATAAATCCCAAGCTGAAGGCAATGTCTTCAGGGTTCTCCCAATAGGAACCCCCCATTTTTCGTCATATTTTTCGGTGCATCTGACCTGGCGAGTCCATCTGGGCCTTGGTTTTCATTCAAAACATGGGGGATGTCAGATAGCCATCTTACGGGGGAAAACTGAGGATCTCTGGGAAACAACGCACATTGAGGCTGGGACGAATCGCTCTGATCAGCCAGTTCCTGGGTTGTATGATTACCATCAATCATCAATCAATGATTCTTTTAATTACTAACTGTTGGGATTTCCTGTCAATTTCCGATTATTCAACTCTGGAGAAAGGGGTTGTCGGGTCTGGGTCCAGTCCCCTCTGCCCTCTAGCCTTAGACAAAAAAAAAAGAATTTATCTGGACTTCAAACTACTGTAATTTTGGGGGATCAAGAGTTTTTGCCATGTCAAGCGACTGGGTGATCCAAGTTGGGGTTCTAATTAGTTTAAGTCCTTCGCCTTTGTCTCACCCGACAATGCCGCGAGAACGAGTTGCTGCTGTTCGACTTCATTCAAAAACTAGGTTTCAACGCCTGTAAGACGCCGTGTCCGTGATGACTTCAGACAATCACAGGATAATGGTGGAATTGTCCAAAACTGTAGTCATTTGCACGTGTTTGTTTTTCTTCAATAAAATTGTGGTTAAAATTCCATGGAAACGTCGCCTCACCATTGGAAAATCTAGTGTTTTACCACAACAAAACTGTAATTTTGTGTCCCACGAGCTTCGTGGAAAAGTTCTTTTTTTTGCAAGAGAACGTCCAGCAGCGTAGCATGAGAGAACGTCCAGCAGCAAAGCATGACGTATGTGTGGAAGTGCAAGAGAACGTCCGGCAGCGCAGCATGACGCAGGTGTGGAAGTGCAAGAGAACGTCCAGCAGCGTAGCATGACGTACGTGTGGAAGTGCAAGAAAACGTACCCTGTAGTTGAAGTCGCAACGTTACCCCACCCCACCCCACCCCCACCCCCCCACCTCCAAAATATGAACACGCGCATGGCCTCTTACTGGCGTTGACACCAAAAACTACAGTGTGTTTCAATTAGGTTCATCATCCCCAGTACATTTGGAACGTCAAAGTTAGAATGAAATCAACAACTAAATCATCATTGACCAACATCAAATACACATAATATATATAATACATATCATATAATATATAATATATATAATATATAATATATAATCTATAATCTATAATCTATAATATATAATATATAATATAATATATAATATAATATATAATATATAATATATAATATATAATATATAATATATAATATATAATATATATATAATATATATCATATAGAACGTATATAATATAAACAATGTAAATAATAAATATAATATATATGTTATATTTATCATATATTATATTTATTGTATATATAATATATCATATATACCATATATATATATCATATATATCATATATAATATGTAATCTGTCAAGTATATTATACATGCATGATATATATATATATACACATATGTAAACATACAACAAAATTGTACAATTATGAAATGACACCATCATCCTGGAACACATAGAATATGTCTTTCACAAGACATTCCCATATTTTAATATATTGCAATGATGCACTCTATCTGCTCCAGGATCATCGAAAAACATGATCATACCACCTGGTTTTTACATGGCAGGGAAAGAAAAACAACGCCATTGCTTTAATAGGTAAATCAACTATTTCTATGTGCCATTTTCAATAGCAAACTGTTAAATTACCAGAGCGTAAACTATAAACCCTCCATTTGAGCAGTGTTCAAAATCCCTCTATCATTTTAATCCTGGTTGGTTAAGAACGGGATTCCCCCGACACATCATCAAATTACCAGAGGGTAAATCCCATTATCATCCCATTCATTATTCACCATTGTTGACCCATTGTTAAAGCATGCAAAATCACCATTCAATCCACCATTTGTAGTGGTTACCCTCTGGTAAACTAACATAACTATGGAAAATCACCATTTTTCAGGGGAAAAATCACTATAAATGGTGATTTTCCATAGTTATGTTAAATTACCAGAGGGTAAACCCTCCATTTGAGTTCAAGCATCCACCTCCTTGCCAGCCGGCCATGCCGTTGTCGCTGCCAACTGAGCATCCCGAAAGGAGATCTGGTGGCCATAGAAATCAGGATTTGAACTGGGAAAAAGGAAATGAACCAGGCAAAATTGGGATTTTACCTAGGAAATTCGTGCATGTTAGAAGGAAACATTGGGAGCTAATGAGGATATAACCAACTATATGATACAAGTATTTGGGTGTGTCTGAAAATGGGTAAGACCCTAAATAATCGATGGAACATATAATCAAGGAACGTGAAACACCATTGGGTTTTAGACGTTTGGATGTCCTTTGTTTTCGGACAAGTGATGATCACTGCGGATATTGATCCCGTTCTGCAGAAATGGAACACCAATTTCTAAAAATAGCATGTAAAGCAAGCAATCTACAAGTCATTGTGATGAGCCAATTTGAAACCACCAAAGCAGAATATAGTCAGAACACTTGCTTGTCACAATGGAAATAGCTTGGCTATAATCACTGCCACAGAAAATTCTATAAACCATTGGTGAGTCTGTGAATTATATCAATATCCCCATATGTTTGGTGGTTTTTTGAGCCCGTAAAAACCACCTATAAATAAATGATCAATGATAGTTCAATTGCATTCAATCACCATCATGAAATTCCCATGAAACCCCCTATAAATGATGCTTAAATCCCCGGGAAATCCCCATTAAACTGCCTTGGGTGAAGCTGGCGACAGCTGAGGTAAACTTTCCTCAGGCCTTTGGGCGGTCCCCGGTCCGGCGGCACGAGGTGAAAACCCCGGTAGACACGTGCTGAAGATCCAGCACGTGTTGAATATGTATATCTCTATTATACATATTATACACATTATATATATAATACCTATTATATAATCATACATATTATATATAATATACATATTATATATTTATTTATTGTAAAATGCATGAACTATGAATAACTATTATATATACTTACATGTCAATGTGATATTGGATTATAATGAAAATGATGATTAGACGATGGTGACCCAGTCCATGTCATCTTCATCTGCCAAACCAAGGCTCCCGACTCGCCAATGAAATCCGCCACACTCAGCGGCCTTGAAGATCAGTGTTACAGCTGAAACATGGCATGAAAAGCCTAGGCTATATATCTCAAAAATAAGATATGAATTAAAAATAATGAACCCAAACATTTGACCACTTGGAGTGAGAACTGACCAATTTTTGGGGTACATGATTTGGAACCATTGCACAGCATCGCCATTCAAACTTGGGGCTCGACATTGGCTCCTGCGATCTCGTTCTGGCCATCCTGAGCAATTTGATCACTCAAATGTCTCAGAACGATGGTGTTTCAACTGTACCAGATCTGCATAAAGCTAGTTGACAGATCTGAACATTGACATAAAGTCTCTACTTCTGTAAAACTTCTGTAAATATAGTAAATATATACAACCTCGTTGGTTTCAAAATGCTAAAAACAAATGGGAGGTACAACTGGGACATACTGGGACTATAACCAAGTTCTCCAAGCATCACCAGGGGGTAGCCGCTATGGCGCGTTGCTGGGCATCCGGCTCTGGGTGCAGAAAGGCCCTGCTGAAGCGTTTCAAGCACCTTGGGAGGGCCATCCCACTTAGTGGATCTTAGCGGTAGATCATCTAGATATTACTGGATATTGCTGGTATCTCATAATATCTATATCTATCTGTCTGTCTGTCTGTCTATCTATCCATCTATCTATCTACCTACTTATCCATCTCTCTACCTACCTACCTACCTACCTACCTACCTACCTGGCTATCTATCTATCTATCTGTCTGTCTGTCTGTCTGTCTATCTATCTATCTATCTATCTATCTAATCTATATAATCTAATCTAATCTAATCTAATCTTATCTATCTATCTATCTATCTATCTATCTATCTATCTATCTATCTATCTATCTATCTATCTATCTATCTATCCATCGTTATCCATCTATCTACCTACCTACCTAAGGTTTCAAAAGGGTTTTATTCCCACTTGGTATCTGGGAGGCCCCTGCGAACATATTTTCTCTGGGCCCAGTCATTGATGGCCCAAGCCAGGTTTCTCAAGGATTGGGATATTCATCAGAAAATACCATGGGCGATCCTGCTTAATCAAAATCTGAGACCCTGGGAACCACAAATTGGGTCTTTTCTTGAAGTCAAACTTGGTCGCATACCCATGAACGTGGCCAAAGAACAAGTATAGTACGTTTTGCCAACCCCAGAAGTATTCAACATGGAAGCGAGAAACTGCCATGCCCACATCCATTTGAAATAGTACGGTACGAGTCAAATGTGAAGAAGACCCGTCAGCCACCCAGTTTTCCGGGCACCCTGTTTCTATTTTTTTGACTTGTCTCCAGTATCCATCAAGCATTACATGTGCATCATATATCATGTTCCATGCTTGTTGGTTTCATGATCTTTCATGCCATTGTCTGTTGGCTAATGTACGCCCATCAATGGTGGTTGTATCCGGAAAGGTGGTAAATCCCCACTTGCGGTGGTCCCTGTTCATAGTGCTGTCCCAATATGGTGGATGCCCACCAAAATGATGGCTCAATCGCAGTGAACGAGGCTTGATACACCCAGAACTGCCCGGATGTTTCCCACTCTCCTGGCCCCCCCACTTGGACCGGACGCGACGGTCAGCATGCAGAAGCTGTCGAAGACCATCCAAGGTCTGAAACGAAAACCAGCGAGGGACAGCGGACTGCCCGGGAAAGAAAAACCATGGAAGTATAGCGAAAGACCAATGACCATGGAGAAGATGGATAAGTGATAAGGATGGATAATTCAGTGAACAGTGAACAGCTTGGAAGATGTGTTTTCTTGCGAGAGTTGCCATCTCTTGTCATTTAGTATCATTATTGTGTGTATCAATTCTGAAACTTCCGGGGTGTCCATTCTCGTGGTTTCAACGTAAGGAAAGGCCAACACTCCGACTGGTCAACATGTAGAGCCTGAACATCTGGCAGTCCATGTATGGGGCATGTACTTTGTTTCTCAACAATTCTGTCAAACTTCATCAACATTTCAGACACCACAACTGAAAGATGTTGGTCATGTCTATGAATTTCATCTGAAGATTTGGGTTTGTCGGAAGACTACCCCTAAACCAATTGATCAATCATCATCAATCATCATCAATCATCATCAATCATCATCAATCATCATCAATCATCATCAATCATCATCAATCCCCATCAAAATGCCCATTTGGGCGGGGACATTTTCCATGTTCATCTACTTAGTAGACTCTACTAAAGTTACTAAAGCAATTGATAAAGAACTATCCTCGGCCCATCTCCGCCTTCTCGGCCACTGCATCACGAACCCAGGCCTAGCCAGCTCTTGATGCTCTTGGAATCCTTGTGACCATCAAACACCAGCGCCACTTCTGATCTTTTGGGTGGTTGCAGTGGTTGCTATATACCCTGGATCCACACTTTTGGTGTTTGAGCTTTGCCATTTGTTCCTTTCTTCCTTGAGACCGGCCCGACCTCGCAGTCAGGATCCTCCGCAGAAAAGGCCATCAGAAACGTCCAGGTGAAACTGCCTGGAAGCTCAGCCGTCCTAATCATCACATGGCTTCCATGCCTCAAAAACTTAAACTGAAGCTTGAACTTGATGAAACATGTCTATGAAGCAACTGGGAATACCATGCAATGATACATATGTCCAGTAGATATTCAGTAGATATTATATAATATTATATGATAAACCTCTATGACAACCGGAGTCAAGGCTGCAGCCGTGCCTTCTTCCAGCAAAGCCTTGTGGACACTCTGGTCCGGCTCTAAGGCCTTGACCGACGTAGAGACAATGGTTTGGCTATTGGATCCAGTCATTGTCATTTTGGGCCCTTGATGAGCTCTGGTACAAGTTTTCCTTTGCTATCATCATCTGCTCATGAACCCTTCTAAACATGTCTAAACACCGACCCATTCCATGCAGCAAAACTCCCAGTTTCACTTGTGTCGCTGACTCAGATTTTGTTTAATCCTTGTTACAATTTGAACTACTTGGGGTCGAGTTGATGGGCCTCTTTCCTCTCACTCCAAGGCCCGGTTTCATGGGTTTGACGGGTTTGACGGGTTTGGGATCGCCAAACAATCCAACCAGTGATTCAACCAGTGATTTTGGCATCTGAATCTCTCCAGCCCTCGCCTCCAGCTGGGCTCTCAACAGCTCCTCCATGATGATCCCTGAAGCACCTTCCGCCTGTACTAAGGCTGCAGCCATCAACGCCAGGACCTCGGATCTTACAACTGGGAACGTGGCAAACCCAACAGGATTTGAAAGGATCCAACAGGTCCTGGGTAAATTGGGAGGATGGAGCTGAATGCAACGAGATGCAACGAGCAATTGTTCATCTTCGATCCACTGCATGCACGGTCACAAGAACCTACTCTTAGGAGTCTTAGGATCTCGCTATTGCAACAGCAACCCAAAACACCAACGGGTCTCATATGATCTCACTGATCTCACGTCGAAACCCATCCTGGATAGGCCCATCCTCCCCTGGCGGCCTCTGTCCCCTGCCGCCCACTGAACTGTGCCAGGCGCGTCAAATGCACCACATGCCGCGGCAGCAGCGCCAGCAGCTCAGCCCAGGCCCCTGCTTCAGCACGGCCCAGCAGCGCCTGTGATGGCTGGGGCTCAGGATTCTATGGGATTTCATGGGATTTCATGGGAATTAGTTTGCTGGGTTGGTTTGCCATCCGCTACTGTAACTTCTGGGTTGATGCAAGATATGTCGTTACAAGTAATGGAGTTTACAAACCAACCATGCAGAGTTAATGACTTAAAGATGAGTGGTTGGTGGTTTGAACCCACCTGAACAATATGACATAGTCATTACTAGTAGATGTCATTAGGGATCATCATCCAAAAAATGTGGTTAAAAATGTTGAAAATTAAATTCCACTACTAGTACAGATGAGTATTATAGTGTGAATTGGAATATTCTATACCATTCTAAACCAGCAAACAGACTTGGTCAGTTGTGCGAGGTAGCCGCTGCAAGTGAAAATTGCAAGTGAATCGTTGAGCATTGACAGCATTGAAGATTCTTTTGTTTGAGGTGTTCCGATCAGGGCCTGCTAAATTGCGAATAACTTCACATGGGGATTGGAATTCTTTGGGAGACTTTACTGACCAAAAAGAAACATGTCCCACATGTTCCTTGCCAAATTTATGTTAAGAGGAAGGCAATTGGCCAATGGCCAAAACTTCACATGATTCTGGCTGGATCCACTCATTGCTGCGCGCTGCGCGCTGACACCTCGAACTCCACGATGTGCGGCGTGCCATATGCTGTCGGCGTGTTGGGACATCGCCGCAGCGCACGGAGGGCAAAGCGCACTTCGGCCTGCCGTGAAGCGTGTGCGTCCCGGTTGATCCGTGCCAACTTGGGGTCCCACATCCCATAACTTGGAGTTTTCAGCCGGCAACTTGTGAAAAAAACATGTTGCAAATTCACAACATAAATTATGTCAGTGTTACCCTCTGGTGAACTAACATAGCAATGAAAAGTGGCCATAGAAATAGTGGATTTTCCCATTAAAAATGGTGATTAAATTATTTAAATATCAGATTGGACGGGCGAGATCCAAACATGATCCAAAACGAGCAGTTCTGTGGAGGGTCTTGAGCTTTGACCTCATACGTACCCATTCCCATTTCAGCCAGCTGATCTTGCCACTTGTGGTCGAACAAAATCTCCAAGTGTTTGCCTGTTTACCAGTAAGTCTCACTGACAAATATGTCAAACATCCATGAGTGTTAGTTGACAGTATTTGCCGGTCATCAGCTTTATAGCTAATCCCCCATTCTTCCCATTTGTGTTTGTCTGAGAAATAAACATATACATGATTACATGTATATTATGTATAACTTGTATAACCCCCAAATTTGATGGCTTGTCAACATCTTCCCCACCTAAAATACGCCCCTGTCTGGGCATCCAACTTGACGCAGCCATTTTTCAAGATCTTCCTGGCGAAGCTAAGTCCCACCCCCTCCACCAACGCCTCTCGAAGCTTCAATCGCTCCAAGCGCTCCTGGAGCTTCGAAAGCTCCAGGCCCACACCTGCAGAATGTCAACATTGGGATGGAAAAGTCCTGGGGAAATGCTGGGAAATGATCTAGAAATGTCGATAAATGGTGGATATGTCATGTAGATATGTCAATTTTCTGGAGGGTAGATATGCTTCTGTGGCTATGCCATTCCACACATCAACATTTCGAATCACCTAGGTGGTTTATTAATTGGTTTCGAGTTTTGGATGGTTTAGATATGTTTGGACATTATCTCCCATCTTTCAGCACCCCAAAAAGATCCAAACGGTCATTTGGGATGTGAACCTTCCTAAGGAAGTCCGCAGCAGCAGCCCAACGAAGTCACTCTTGCTCCCAACGCCCCAAAATGCCCCAAATACCAGGAACAGTAGCCCAGCCATATAAGTTTGCAGGAAAACGGTCAATTCACTCCAATGTTCCCCCTTGTGGTCCTCATTTACCTGACATGGTTGGAGCAAGCTACCAAAATCAATTATCCCAGTATCGCATTGTTTCCCTTGAGAATTATTATCATTATCCTCATATACATTCATATACTAACTTCAATTATATTTATATACGTAATTATAATTGATTATAATATATATATATATTATAATATATGTATATACTATGTTATATTATATTATATTATATTATATTACATTATATTATATTATATTACATTATATTATATTATATTACATTATATTATATTATATTACATTATATTATATTATATCATATCATATTATATCATATCATATCATATCATATTACATCATATCATATTATATCATATCATATCATATTATATCATATCATATTATATTGTTATATTATATTATATATTATATCATATCATATCATATTATATTATGTTACATTATATTATATTATATCATATCATATTATATCATATCATATTATATTATGTTATATTATATTATATTATATATTATATATTATATTATATCAAATCATATCATATTATATCATATCATATTATATATTATATATATATCCCGGATGGAAAATTTCAAAAAAGTTTGGTCAAGTTGCTTTGCTTCTCCGCATCGAGGTCCCACACTTCACCTGGCACACCATTCGGCGCCAATTTTTGGGCGTCCGAAGTTGGGGACGAAGACTTCTGGATCCAAAGTAAAGACTCTCCCAACTCATGGATTTGGAGTTTCTTACTCTTTGCAGTAATAGTTATAACAGTTATACTAGTACTTCTGCATACTTATATATCCTCTGGTTATTTAACATAGCCATGGAAAATGGCCCATTTATAGATGATTTTCCCATTAAAACCTCCATTTATAAGGGATTTTCCATGGCTATGTTAAATAACCAGATGGTAATATTATTGTTCTACTCCAACTACTCATCCGAGTTCTGGGGTACCCAACTTGGCAGAGTCTCGTCGCACGCTCAGAATCAACCCAGAAACGAAGCAAACACTTTCATGACAAACAGATAGAAAAGAGTATGGCTACCTGGATGATAAATTTCAAACCAAACCCCGCCTATATCAATTATATATATATATGCGTATATTATATATATATATATCATATCATATCATGTCATGTCATATTATATTATATTATATTATATTATAATATATTATATTATAACTATAATATAATAATATACATATATATATTATATATAATGATATATTATATTTATCAACACTGCGCCTTGAGCTTCCAGCCATTGCTCTGCATCGGGCATCTCGCGTTTCCAAAAATAAACAAATCTGCTGATCTTGTGTGTGGATGACTTGGCCCTCAAACGTTGGAAGTTTGCCAACACTGACTTATTTTTGACGATGACTTCTGGAACGCAAGACACAGCCCAGTGGATTTGTTCAAGAACTTACAGCCAAGCGGATTTGTTCCAGAACGGCTTTGTATGCTTTTTGCAAATGCTTGAGGAATCGATTTCACTTGGCTTTCGCTTTGCATCGGCCATAGTCTATAGTGTTGCCCAAGTTCGTTTCTGCAAGAAATCGTAGGCTTAGAGGCTTAGAGCACGCAGCTTGCAATGTTGAACAAAAACTGGATTTGCTCTTCCTGGGGCATTTCCCGTAGTCTTCTGCACCAGCTCAGAAACCAAATCTCAAGTAAAATTAAACAGGGAGCAAGAATGCTTTGGTGCCCAGTGTGGGGTGTGACTTGGTGTGGTGTGGTTGGTAGGTTGCTGGGCACAAACGTGGGGCCCCTCGGCCCCGTGCCACGTGAAACTGGAACCAAGGCGAGCGAATCCAGTCGTCTTCATTCGTTCATGTAGCATCTGAGAACAGGTTGTACTTCGTGTCTCATTGAAACATCACCCCGACCCTACTGACCCACTGGGCTTACAATGTCGAACAATGCTCTCGTCATCGATTCAGCTGATGTTCATAGTCCTCTAAGACTGGGGTATGTACCAACACTGTCTCATTTTCTTTTCATGGTTTTACCCAGGAACAACACCGCTGTTGCGGTTTTGGAATTAGTGCATTGGGCCTCATGTGAAAGCCAGGAGCACAGCAAGTCCAAGGATCTTAAACTGGCTGCAGCAAATGTCTTCTCTATTGCCAAACGTTGCACTTGTTTGAAAGAAACCGTGGATCCAATGACAATAAACCAGTTGATGGCTGGGTTGACTCAATTGTCCGCGGTACCCACAACCAGCCAGACTAGCAAAATCGACTTCGCAAACTGGATACGGGTCAATGTACCCATGCTGCAACAATTCCAAACAAGCTGTGGGTGGTGGGGTGAAGCTTCCGGCGACCTTTTGCCAATCAGCAACTACGGCGACAGCAATTGGTATCAGCGAATTCGTGCACCCGAATGCCTCTTTGGAGCTCAACACCCTTCAGGCTTACTGAGAAACAGAAGAATATCATAGAATATCTATCAGCAATGATCAATTGCTAGCTTAGTGACTACCATTTTGTCAAGCAATTGTTGTGTATATAATGTTGCGTATCAAAAACTAAAATAGTGTCCGCCCTTTCTTGCTCGGCCCTTAAATCTTTCGGTCGCTGGTTGCCATCGGCTGGTTCCACGGGTGCGCATCAGCGTCGCGATGCCGTGAGACCAAATCAGCCAAACTAGGTGCCTGTGGAACCGCCCGAATCTGCACAAGGGCCAAGTCCTGCGCAAAGTGGCCCCAACTTCGCTGCTAAGATGCTCCGAGGATTGGATGATCATGGGAAATCAGTCCATGGTACCCAGGTAGCGAAACTCATTGACAGCCAAAGTTATCAGTGCTGCACTGTACTGGGCCGCTGTTGGGGAAAATCTACGGGGAACCATGTGAAACCATGGCTTTGCCCATCAAATATTGGGTGGGTTCCATAAATGTGCACATAAACCAATCCATGCTAATCCTATGAATTATGCCAGGGCGGTATGATTTTATGAAATGCAATGGCTGGCAGTAGTGGTACAACCATGTACAACCCCTCTTTGAGGTTCTGTTTAATAGATTTTAATAGTACATGGGGATACATAAAGCATGTCCAAAAAATCCTTGAACCTCATCCCCAATCTTCATCCATTTTCCCATTGCTCCTACAGGTCATAGATGACTGGATTTCACCTGCAACATCAGGATGGAACCACAATGAGTCTGGCCGCGGCATGGGAACAGCAAGAACTCCCCAGTGGCCCAGGGTGCGCCTTCACTCCCGCGAAACCAATCCTCGGGCCTGATAGAGTCACATTGCAAGTTGGGATTGGATCCCGCTTGAGATCGCAATATCATGTACAGTATCTGTATGGTTCTGTCCTCATGTTACAAACAAAGACAAATGTCGTCAAGTTCAACAAGGATTGGTTCCTTGCGGTGCAAAAATCCATCAAAATCCCTATTGCCACCTATCTGATCTATTGAATTCTATTGATCTGTCTAGATACCGCTGAGCCGCTACTCAATGCCGGCGAAGGTCCCCCAACGTTGCAGTCAACTGTCATTCCCGCATGGAACTACGTCCCCCAACGGCTGCATAAACAAGCATCACATCATCTCCGCAGAATGAACCAAGCAAGACAAAACAATATAAACACAAGCTAAATGAAGCAAATGTTATTTTTAAAACATTATTTTCTATCTAACGCAACTGCTCCACCGCAACTGAACGCATGTTGGGGCGACTTTCCCGGGAAGTCTCCCCCAACTAAACGCAATATTTTGGATCCGGCGGGGTGAGTTCACTATAATCGAGTAAGGCATCCACACACAACATCACTCTTATGCAGAATCTGTGTTGTCTTTCGTCAAGACCGGTCCAAGAACAGTGGCCCAGTTTTGTACACCGCTGCGCCTGTGGAAAAGCAGATGGTGGGGCAATACCTGGGAGGTGAAATCTGGCTCAATCGATGATTCCCTGGTACGATAAACAGCCTGCAGAATTCCCAAAGACTCTGCTCCCTTCCAAGACTGCCCACCGTAAAACCACCAACTGTTTTCTTTGAAAAAAATCCAGTTCCAGAAGAGACTGAATGGTTCACTAAATCACCTCATTCAAAAATACAGCTGTATGTCATTCACATGCTTAACCACCAACCATATCAACCATCCTCTGACGGAACTTCTAGGACTCTGACCCCCGCCCTTAGTGGCTGTACCCGGGCGACCGCTGGATGGCCTACAGGTGCCATCCAACGCGCAGGTGTGTGGGTAATAGGGTATGCTTGGTTGTTTCAATATGTTTTCAGTATAGTAGTGCAGATTCCCTAGATAACAAATTTAATCAAATAGATACAGATTGAGTTGTGGGGAACAACTCATTTATCTTGGGGGTCGTGTCGGTATCATTTGGTATCCAGCATCATTAAGCTATCCCACTGGAGCTGATGACTTGCCCCACCAAGTGCCTCTTCTTTTGGCTGGTTCCAGGTCGGTCTTTCTCTTTCACCTCCAGCAATCTTCCAAACATCCACTGGGATTGGTTCTACTGAGTTCTACTGATTGGTTTTGATTGTCTCATAGTGATACCGAGCAGAGCAGCACCCCCTTTTTTCCGCGGGGCGCCTTCCTTCGGCGCCCAAGTCTGGGGCGGTCCGAAGATCGTCTAATCGGCCTCCGAAAAGGGAGCTGTACACTTCATCCCTCAGGACGCGGCACGAATTATGCTGTTCTGCGGGAGGCAGATGCTGTCGCCAGAAATGAAGAGATCTGCGAGAGAGTCTATGAATGTCTATGACTTAGATGTGTTCACATTGCATCATGACAGACTTGTCTCAACCTATCTCTTGGATTTCGTGAGCACATCAATCTGAAGCGTAAGGCGACATTGCGGGAGAGAGCTAAGAACCTTTGGCATCTCTTCTGGATGGAACAGCAGATTTTTGCTGTTGCAGCGTGTCACAGCTTAAAGAATTTTAGCATCGCAGCTTCCTCTGGACTCAAAATATCTCAAAATGCAATCAAACGGCATGGAGGCACAACATACGTGCCTCCAAATGGAAGGCAAAACTCCCATGTGGAAAGAGGGTTTGGATTTCTCTGTTTGGCATGTTTGGCCAGCATGATCCTGAAGCATGCGAATCATCAGCATGTCTGCAAGTTTGTTGCCTCTGTACTTTTGTCCAGGCTCCAGAGTAGCCATGAGTAGCCAGCTTCTGGAGGAGTCTACTATAGGGCGGGGTGCTTGAATGGTTGTATCCTTTGAAGACAAAAAACTTCAAGGAATAGAACCAATAAACATCAATAAACTATGCTGAAACTATCTTAAACCAATTCTTCAGCTATTCTCAGGTGTGGCATTTGAGATGTTCCCCTAGCGGAGCGGTTGAAATTTGCTCCCGCTGGGGCCGCTGGGGACTGGACGTTTCTCACTAGGCTCAGGATTTCTCCTGCACCTTGGGATGGCTTCAGGTGTTCTCTGAAAACGTCTACCTGTCCTTTTCTAAACATATTCTGACATGTATGTACAGTACAAGGTTGCATCAATGTTGCATCTATTTGCCCAAAAGTTACACCAAAAAACACGTTCGAAAATATGTCTCCATCACCGTGGACGCCTTTCAAAGAGGTTCCTTTTAGCATCGAAGCTCACCCAGTTGGAAAAAAGGGCCTGGAGGGAGCCCAAGTCTGGCAGGTCTTCCACCTAACATCCAGCTGACTGTGAATCTCAGGATTATGTAGGATTATCATCTACCATTGTGACATCATTCTATCTTCTGCACAAATTGCGCAATGGCTCAATTGCTCAACTATGCTCAACTCACAATAAAAGAAAAACATGCCGGACACCTCGCCGACCTCGCCCTTCTCGGACAGGTTGTGCTGGATGTGCAAGACCTGCCAAGTCACACCGCAAAAAGAGGTGACACGGTGGGAGGCTTTGGAATAAGGTCCAGCTGGGGTTGCAATCCCCGGGCAACTGGCTGGCAGAATGGTTCCGGACATCTCTGATTTTGAGGTCATCCCAAGTATCAAGAAGTTCATTCCTGGATCCACCAGGCCGCAGACCTCTGTGGTTTCTTCAACTGCAACCTGAAATGGTTCGCAACTGGTGAAAACATCTAAGTAATCTAGGTCAACCAATTCAACAGCTGGCATCACCTGGCATCACATGGAAGCTGAGAACCAGGCGGGTTGCTTTCTCCGGCGCTTGGAACCTACAACCATCAAGCTTTGAAGCAGCAAAGTTGGCAACACACGAAAAAAAAGCCCGGAAATGGGATTTTCAATGATTTTGAACCGGGTTTTTGGGGTTGTCCCATGAGTTTCCAAACTATTCCTCTCAGTTGACCTGAGCCCGAACGCGACGGCAAGCGTGGGGCAAGCCAGGCCAGGGCCTAAATCCATGGCTTTCCCCTTCGGAAATGATCTAGAAATAGTGGGAAAGGATCTATAATCAAATTATAGATATGATACTATATATATAATATATATAGTAAATATAATAGAATAATACTATATATACTATATATTATCAATATAATATATTATTATATATATCATATGAGGGATGGTAGGGATAGAATTGGGTGGAGATTTTTTCTGGGCCCCCAAGCTCGACCGGCGCCCGGCAGATGCAGGAGTCGGTGAACACCCGGGACCTGAGATCTAGCATCGATGCGCATCGATTTCGATGGCGACCAAAAGGATCGATAGATCCAAAAGGATCTAGAAAATCAGATAAAATCAGTAGCTATAAGTGTCCACTTTAGATATCTTTAGATCGTTTTTTTCCATGTTTTTAACCGCAGGATTTTTGGTTGGGTGTTGTTGATGTGTGTTTCAGATATAGTGTTATGATGTGTTATGAAGAATATTGGAGATGGTTGATCCATCGATCCATTTTGACCAACTTTGCAAGTAGATAGCCATAAATAGCCTGAAACATAGCCAAATAGGATAGGATCAAATAGGGACTTCAGGGTGAAAGCTGACCGGATTTCAGGCAATGATGAAGCTGAGCCAAGAACTCGTAAAGCCCAGCCAAGGTAATGAACCAGGACATCCTGCAGGGGATGGGGCCAACAAAAAGGGTGATGGTTGATTTCAAATGTCCATCCATTTTGTTGATTTCAGATGTCCATCCATTTCGTGGGTATGGGGAATTTCACATACAGTATGTTACACTTCCCCTGGGGTAAAGTTTGACGCACTTACCATCACTAGCCCACTGGATTCGCGATCCCATCCGCTGCCGGGTCCGCATGTTGTGAGATGGGCTGGAAATTCACCAAGCGATCGCAATGAGGCGCCAGCACTGGCAGGAACGGAGTGACTAGCTCGGAGTGCCTGACAGATCCAACGAACCCGAGAATTGGGCGGGGATCCTTCGGTAATTCAACATGGCAATGGGGAAATCCTCTACAAATGGAGCTTATGGAGCTTCAATCCAATTGATCCAATTGCAACAGTATCCCAAGAGTGAATCACCAGTTTGGGATCACCATTTTCCCTTCCATTTTTGGGATTTCATGTCCATGGAGGCTATCCCTTGCCATCCCTTGGGCCCCTTGGGCCCTTTCTCCACCTCCGAAGGCTGGGAAGGTGTGGTCCCAGTAACGGCAGACGCTTCACCAGCTGCGGCAACTGAGGCTCCAAGCGCAGCCACAGTTCACCTGATGTGGGACCTGGAGGGGAGCCCTTTAATAATGGGGGGGTACCCCCAAATCAAATGGTTACCCGGTTACCCTCTGGTAATTTAACATAACTATGGAAAATCACAATTTTTCATGGGAAAATAGACTGACCACTATTTCTATGGTGATTTTCCATAGTTATGTTAAATTACCAGAGGGTACCATCACTCATAGGATTTGGCTGGCCGTGAAATTCTCCAGACAACTCTACCCAATGTTACTAGAAATATTGCTAGATGGGCTTCTGAAAGATATGATACAATTAGAATCACCATGCCATGGGATGCAACCTCATCAAACTCAAACAATTATTTGAAACATCTTGAAACCGCAAATGCGATTGCCTACTACTACTACTACTACCACCACCACCACCACCACTACTACCACCACCACTACTACCACTGCTCCTCCTACTCCTACTGCTACTGCCACCTCCTAGTGGGTTTGCAATCTTCGCAACCTCCAAATCATAACTTGAGCGTACTTCTGTCATAGAGACTATAGATACTATAGTCACTATAGTCCCACTGAAAAGTGGTCCCAAAAAAGGCACGGTGGAATACAATGACATTGGTGGGTACTGACCGGGTACTGACTGAGTCATTTTTCCTCTGAAACGATCCAATCTTAATATGGCGGGGAAAGTCTAGACACATTTCTGTGTAGATGTGTCCAAAAATGGCAACAATTGGTTCCTCAGTATCTTGGCAAGGCACGCTCCTTCGCAAAGAAAAGGATGTCGTCCAAGTATTCCACAATTTCGTTCAAATGCGGAACAACCACATCCTTAGCGTCATGAAGAGACCTGCCTCGAGATGAATCCACTGCCAGCATGGGCAAACCATTTGCAACCTGGGAGAGCTTTTTGAAGTCTGACCCAACAAGTTCCCCAAACATCAAATGCGTCAGGCATTATCAGGGGAGAAAGCATCAATCAATGAAGCCAAAGTACTGCATGTTCCAGGCAGAACTGCAAGTGAGGTTCGATGTCGTCAAACCTGCAGGACATCAACTCTGCAAGGCTTCCGCAGGATGTTTTTATCCAGTGGCATCCCGTAGACAACTACCAACATCTTCCGGTCAAAGATATGGCGATTTCTGGAAAAATAGAGGCTAATGGCTACTCACCATGTCAAACCATTTATATATATATATATCCATTTATATAGTATTGAATCCTATGGTGGCTTGGGGATCCCCCATGACTTCGGAAACCTCTCAATGAGAACGTCCAGGTGTGGCTCCACCATTGGGAGGTATCCGTCTAGTACCTGCAACAGTGGGGAAGTCGACTGTCTCTCCATCGATGGGCACCGACGCTTTTCCATCGGACTTCCCGCTTCCAGCTGAAACGAGCACACCTGAAAGTCACTTTTGGACAAATGTCTCACACCAAAAGTAGAATAAAATAGATACTGTATGATACTGTAGCAAATGAATAGCAAATGGATGTGCATCTCATTGCATCTCCCATCATCTCCCCAAATATGTGTTCAACCGATTTCAACAGTGTGAAATCTCGGGTGGGCTCAGCCAAATCAGCGGCATTCGGTCGATTGTCAAGCGAATATTTGGCAAATCTCTCAGAGTCTTGGAATGCCTTCGACGACATCGTGTGGATCCGGGTCTATCCTTGTGTCTTTGCATCAGGATTCATTAGGGCCATTAACATGGACCGCAGCCAGTCTCAACTGGCAAAAAAATACTGAGTGAAGTCCGAAGAGTGGGTTGAAGCTACGCGACATGTCACAAGAGTTCTACCAAAACAACAAGTCCTGTGCAATGTTTATCAATGTTTCATATTAGTTTCGTCGCCAAGGGATTTGCCAGTCGACCAATCAGCAAGTTTCGTTTACCGCAACGCCGCCGCGCGGTTTGAGCCGACCTGCCTCAAAGTAGGGAGGATCCACTCACGGCATTGCAGATGGAAATGTGGAGCAACGCCGCCAGAGGCGTTGGAAGAGCTGCAGTCTGGATCTCTTGGATCTCTTGGATCAACAAGGCCAATGGCCTAGTACATGAATCAAGATGAATCAAGGTTTCAAGGTTGAAGATGTTAAACATGTTTTAAAGGTTTGGACGTTGATAGGAGTTGATTTCGGGATTGCAGCACTGGCAATGGTGGGTTTACAGCTGTGACTTGCAATATGGGATAGTTACAAATAGTTACTGTCAACATGACAGAACACAGTGTCATTCTTCAATGCTGATGCTCATGCCAGCAGACAGATTCCTGATGCTAGAGCTGACAGATTCGTGCGGCACATGTCATGACCAGCTTAGCCAGGACTTGCGGAATCTGGCGAAGCAAAAAAACATCGGGTCAGCGAAGCAAGCCCTGCTTTTTGTTGCATTTTGTTGCAGCATGACTGGATGTTTTTTTAAGGTACTTTCCACACCTGGAGTCATTCCCAAGTAATTATCTCCAGCATCCTCCAACACAAGGCTGCAAAGATCGTGAACACCATAACGTTGTGAATATGAAAACCACATCAGCATTTACCACAGATATTCATCGACCATCCCCAGTTCCGCAGTTACGACTTGTTGCTATCCGTAGGTCCTGGCAACCAGCCTCATCCCTGACCAGTATCAGCCCAGGCAACAGGGATCAGCCCAGGCAACAGCCACTGCCATCGGTGACACGGCGCATCGAGGCGGTGGATTTTTAGTTTCAATTCACCAAAAAAAAAAGGTCATTGGGAAAAATAGATGATAATAATCTTTGAAAATAGATGAACATACTATAATTATGGAAGAACTGTAGGTATCGAGTATCGACATGACTCTCGACTCGCGACCAGATCCTTTTTGTTATTCTTCCGCACACTATGTTTCTTCGTTGCTATTTCAGTTTAATCAATCTATTAGATATGATTCGATATGTATAGGTCATGTCGCATCATTTCAGGCTATTTTTGGATCAAATGACTTCATCCATGTCACTGATCCAACAGCAGCGGGCTCTCGCATCCTTCACCGTCTAGGGTCGAAAGATGCGCATGGAACGGACAAAGGCTACATAGAAGAAAAGGCCAATGCCCAAGCTCATGTAGTAACCATACCTTGGTGGATATGGCTCAAAAGTGGAGTTGTAAAGGATACACCAGCTGTTGTTTGAGACTTAACCATTTAATTTGGGCACATCTGATAACTGAGGGACACTGCATGACTAACTTTCATTTTGCATTATATAATAATACCGTGCAATGATGGGCCCTCCAGCTACTGGCAATTGACCCACCTAATTTCTGCAGAGCCACTCGATGTGTCCGTCGTTCAGATCATTTGGCATGAACTGGCCTAAGTCTGGTTGGCTTGTCGGAGATTGTTGAAGGCACATCAGTGCAAGTCTTCGTGTGGCCTTATTTGGTGAAAAGCTGGGACCTGGGAGCCTTAAGAATTGAAACCTCATGAAACCTCCAAAGAGTCACCAGAAATCTTTCGTGTTTTCTGCAGCTATGATACTGCAATTTTTTCATCCGCAATCATCTTCAAACAATTCAATACCGCATTTCAAAAATGACGGCTGTGTCTACCCTTGATCCATCATGAATGAATTCTCCTCAAAATCGATCCCACCTACCCTCTGGTAAACTAACATAACTATGGAAAATCACCTTTTTAATGGGAAAATCCACTATAAATGGTCATTTTCAATAGCTATGTTAAATTACCAGAGGGTATCAACTATGTATCATATGAACTGTAATCTGATGTCTTCTACAAGTATCACCACGCCCACGATCATCTCAGTATATCTCAGTGATACATACATTCCATTGCATTCCATCATTGCAGCATCACCATCTCCCAGAATTATCAGAAGGGGAAAATTCGAGGAAAATTCCAAGCAGTTTCCAGATTTTCACCAGGATTTAACGATGGAATTTCCCTTGGATTTCCCGAGGAACTCAGGGCTGTGATCTGCACTCCGAAGATGGCTGTGCCCAAGGCTTGCACCAGCAATGTGGCAACCTGCGTTGCCATGAATTGAATGAATTGAATGTTGATTTCTGTATTGATGATTCAACAATATTCAACATTAGAACTGGATTAACTAGCTGGTAACTAGCTAGTACGTATTATAAGACGTAGTATTATCTATCAAATACATTCAAATACTAATTGATAAGGTCAATAATAATCATAGCAAATCATTGTTGAAAAAGCTACATCTTCAAACAGAAGGATCTCTCAATGTTGACCTCGTTTATCCTCTATGTCCACCACTTTCCAAGTCGGATCCGTGGCAGTTCATGACATCTTTGAAATATTATGTTGAAATCAACTGCTCGGACTTCCATGCCCCACACTTCTTACTATTAGATACCTTGTATGTCTTTCTGTTACCCCATAGGGACCCTTTCAAAATCTTCAACGTCCTAAAACCCTCAGTTGCATTTTCAAGTTTCAAGCTGCGAAATTATAGTCAAGTACTAAGTACAATCCTGAAATCCTCCAAGTTTCACCAGTTTCACCCTGAACCAATCGTCAAATCATCCACCCCTTCACCATCCCTAAGAAATCTTGCTGAGGCACCACCGCCAGGGTGCGGGTGGCCGCTGAGCTGCTACCTGGCTAAAGAAAAACCCTACTGTAAGTCTCTTGGGCGCCCAAAGAACATACTGGTCAATGAGATATTAAACCATGTGTAAAAAGTGACAATTGATTATGTATCACATGTTATCACATTGTTTTGTGATCATACAGCATACATATATATATATATGTGATAATTTATCTCAATTATGGAGAACAACAATACGTTTTAGCTTGGATGATCTCATCAACGAAGGACGCAGCTTTTGGCCAGGCTCCGATGACGGGTGTATGCCAAATGCTCCACCAAGGAGCTGTATGCCAAATGCATGATCACGGGATTTGTGTAGATCTCCTTGGTCTCACCGGATGACCCATTCCGCCATGATGACCCAAACTTCCAGACGCTGATGATGAAGCTTACCCGTGAAACTGATGTAGACATATGTAGACTGTCTTCATCCACCAGACCGTTGTGTTGATTAATTAATTCAATACCCAGTGATCACTTCAATCATCTTCAATCAGCCACATGTCCACCATATTTTTCAAGTGATCACTTTATTCACATTAATTCAATATATTCAATATGTTAGTTCGTTTGTATCCGAATGTTCGCTTCATGTCGCTGCAGCTTACTGCCAGCTGGCCATGGTTGGCCAAGCTACACCAATGCCACACAGCAGGAAGGGGAGGAACATCCACACGGCTGACAGCTCCGACATGTGAACTCCATCAGGAGCACAGTTGGAGATCCTGCGAACCAAGACATGGTGAGACTGCTGAGAGTTGACAAACTAAGAATGATATAAATCCAAGCAACCACAAAATACTAATGAAAGGAGCAAGAATCTTGGAAACTCACCAAATTTCAAGAAATTTCAGGATCCAGGATACCCCACTTTTTTCAACACACGCACTGGATCGGTCCATTTCAGTCCCTTTCAGTCCTATCCATCACAGGCATTGACCGACGGAGAAGCTCAAGGTAGGCTGCAAGCACCACGGAAAGCCCACCCACCTCGATTAAGCACTTGCGAAAGTATCTCCAACGTTGCCAAGGTCATTGAGAAAGGATGAGAAGGCCATGATTGTCATAGGGAAAATCATAGCATAGCATAGAAGAACGATGAAAAACAAACAAATATCAGTGGGAGTAGAACCTAACAATTATGAGTTGGAAGTTACAGCTGCCAATTTCTGAGAGTTTTCACTATGTCACGGCTCGCAGATAAGGCACCATCATGCCGAAGAGAAACTTCCCCTCATGACTGAAGTAGTTCCCCAGGCGCGACTCCAGCAGTGGGTTGAACCATCCTGGCGACCCCAAGCTTTGAAGACTTATGACATCTTGGACATATAACCTAGTTATATTTGAACAATATTTCTAAGTATCTATATGAAAAAGTAGATCATAATGATTCAAGATACATCATAGAATCATGTATCATGTTAATATATCATATAATTTATAATATATATATATATAATTTTATATTTGTAGATATGTTTTTTTCATTGCCATAATCTATAGCATGGACATTGCAACAGGTCGTACTGTAGGCACTAACCCGCTTCCTACCTACTATCAAGAACCTAGGGCCTCGCTCACTGCTTGGTGGTGTATTATTTAAACGAAATCTTCCCATGTAGAAAAACTTCTCACTGAGCCAAAGTTTCACACTCAGAGATATATGTTGTAAATAAATGATAATAAATGATAGTATCATTGTAAATCTAAATAGATTCGAATGATGGGATAACATCACTGTTGGGTTAAGCTACGCTCCCTCCGGGCGCTCCTACTGCGATGGGCGTGGCGATGGTAATCCCCAGGCAGTCGCCGATCATGAAGAAGGACCCGGCAAACTGGGACTCACCTGGCGGCTGAAAACTCAGCTTCCAACGTGTGATGATCGTTGATTACAAAGACTAAGATATTTATAAAGACACGGTCCAAACTGGTGTTTAGAAAGTTAAAACCTAAATCTCCTAGATCTTATATCTTATTATATAACAATTTCTTCAAATTAAATGGTCCCATCATGTCCCATCCGCAAACGATTCAAGATCGCTACTGCAGAATGCATTCTCCTTGTCCAGTCTCAACCATGTCAAACAAATCCGGCCTGAACCAGGAATGCGAACGTCCATCTGACACGCCTGCTGTTGGAAGCTGTATTGCATACCTCGGATGTGGCAATGCAGGTGCAACTCATCGAAACTTCCAGGTTTCATGGGCCGCTTTCCTGGCTTTGGCTGCCCGAAGCAGTTTTGTTCCAAATGGGTAGACTCGGTAGACTCTCACACAATGGGTTTTCCATGGTTTTCCCTATTATACAGTGGATATCAGTGGATCATTTTGGAGTTCCAAGAAAATGTGGGGATCCAAACGGACCGAAATATCGCCGGGCTGCAGTTGTAGATCGCTCCAAAGGCCATCTGGGCTGTGATGATCACTGGCAAGAGTTTCAGGAAGCCACCTGGCCAGTGGACCCCCACCCTGGATGCTCCAGCTGAAGTGCATTGTGTTACTTTTTTTTAGTGGGCTCAAGATCAGTACTGGAACAAGGGTGGAAACAGTTGTCGCCAGTTGTCGCTGCGTGTTTTGTTACACCATGTTACACCATGTTACACCATGTTACACCTCACCAGTTTTATCTTGTTCTCCACCGGACTCTTGATTTGGTCTTGTGACAGAAAGGAGTCAGGTGCAGATCTTGAAGGAAGCAGGGTAGCACCAATCAAATCCTCTGCAAAACAGCGTGGATTTGAGGCCGCATGTCGTTGGATAGGTCCAAACTGCTTACCCTCTGATAATTGAACATAGCTATTGAAAATGGCCATTTATAGTGAGTTTTCCCATTCAAAATTGTGATTTTCCATAGTTATGTTAAATTACCAGAGGGTACTAGCCCTCAGATCAACCTAAGTTGCAGTCCAAGGTGCGAGTATCTGCCGCACTGAGAGACACTCCAGGCAGATCAATATCACTGACCCAATCTGGGCACTCACAGGAGATAATAATCATCAGTGCACCTGTCAGGGATGGCTGGTCAAAAATGGACGTGGTTTTCCAAGAATCAGTTTAAACAAAATCTCACCGGCTGATTTGGAGTTTCTTCAAATCTGGAGAGTCACTCTCAAATCAATGATATTTGGATATATTTGGCTCTCATGATGCACTTTGCTGACAATGGCAGAAGACAATAATTGTACCCTTTCTGCCCCAAATCATCAGGGCACCTACAGAAGCGAGGGCGAAAGCCACCATCGAGAAGATCTCAGGGATGTCAGAAGGCAGCAGGAGCCGCAAGTCTTGCTTCTAGTTTTTGTCTTACCCTCTGGAAAAAATTAAGATAGTTATTAAAAATCACACATTTTTAAGAGGTAGATCATCCATAGCTATGCTAAGTTAGCAGAGGGTAAAACAGACCATTCAAGGTATCCCGGGATTGACCTATGGCACATACTAGCACCGTACTTAAGTCACATCAGGCGGGAAAAGTCACATCATCCCCATGGCACGGCGGCGATACGGAGAAGTCACATCAGGTAGTGGAAAGTCACATCAGGGAAGAAGAATCACCATGGCACAGCCTGTTCCATCCATACTTGGAGATGTAGTTAAAAGTAGCCGAAGCATTGCGCACAGCGATGATTTTGAAGGGCACAAGTTAATACAAACAAATTCTCGGCAGCTAATCCTATTGGATTTGAATATATTATATTGATGTCCTGCGTCGCGTGACCAAATCAAACCCCTATTGGTACAGCCTCAAATTTCTTGCAATGCAAGTGGGTTAGCTGTAGCAAATCCTATTGGCAGGGCTATGATCTAGGATGATATAAGGATATGGGGCCCCTTGTTTTCCGCAACCAAATCTATGGCTGGCACAACGTGCATCAATGTCATGGACAGTTCTCAAGAAGTTTGTTGTCCTATCCACCCAGGAATTACGAATTGGAAAAAAACCTTCATTCTATTGCGGGCGGAAAGCGTGGCAGGTTTTGTCGGTGCTCCGTCTGCGCCGTCTGTTGTGTCTGTTCCGTCTCGCGCCGTCTTGCCGTCTGCGCCGTCTTGCGAGATGGTGCGAGATGGTGCAGATGGTGAGCACAGCGACACAACCGCGCTATGCGACCGCAATGTTTCATTCCAACCAGCCAGAAACATTCCCTCTCTCTGCTGGCGTCTCCCGACCATACCTCCCGTCAGCGCCAAACAAGGCGACCGAGACTGTTATTTTCTGTTTCGGCAAAATGTTTGCACGAGTGGCAGCAACAGCAGGAGGAAGCAGCAACAGCACCAGGAGGAAGCAGCAGCAGGAGGAAGCAACAGCAGCAGGAGGCAGCAGAAGCAGCAGCAGCAGCAGCAGGAAGCAACAGGAGAAAGCAGCAGCAGCAGCAGGCGGAAGCAGCAGCAGCAGCAGCAGGAGGAGGCAGCAGCAGCAGCAGCAGGAGGAAGCAGTAGCAGGAGGCAGCAGCAGCAGCAGCAGGAAGCAGCAGCAGGAGGAGGAAGCAGCAGGCGGAAGCAGCAGCAGCAACAGAAGGAAGCAGCAGCAGGAGGAGGAAGCAGCAGCAGCAGCAGGCGGAAGCAGCAGCAGCAGCAAGAGGCAGCAGCAGGAGGCAGCAGCACAAAGCAGCAGCACAAAGCAGCAGAGGAGGCAGCAGCAGGCAAGCAGCAGCAGGCAAGAAGCAGCAGGCAACCAGCAGCAGGGAAGCAGCAGCAGGCAAGAAGCAGCAGGCAACCAGCAGCAGGGAACAGCATGCAACAGCATGCAGCAGGCAAGCAGCAGCAGGCAAGCAGCATGCAAGCAGCAGCAGGCAAGCAGCATGCAGGCAAGCAGCAGCAGCAGCAAGCAGCAGCAAGCAGCAGCAAGCAGCAGCAAGCAGCAGCAAGCAGCAGCAAGCAGCAAGCAGCAAGCAGCAGCAAGCAGCAGCAAGCAGCAGCAGCAAGCAGCAGCAGCAGCAGCATGCAGCAGCAGCAGCAGCAGCAGGCAAGCAGCAGCAGGCAAGCAGCAGCAGGCAAGCAGCAGCAGGCAAGCAGCAGCAGGCAAGCAGCAGCAGGCAAGCAGCAGCAGGCAAGCAAGCAGCAGGCAAGCAAGCAGCAGGCAAGCAAGCAGGCAAGCAAGCAGGCAAGCAAGCAGGCAAGCAAGCAGGCAAGCAAGCAGGCAAGCAAGCAGGCAAGCAAGCAGGCAAGCAAGCAGGCAAGCAGGCAAGCAGCGGGCAAGAAAGCAAGCAAGAAAGCAAGCAAGAAAGCAAGAAAGCAAGAAAGCAAGAAAGCAGCAGGCAAGAAAGCAGCAGGCAAGAAGCAGCAGCAAGCAAGCAGCAAGCAAGCAGCAAGCAAGCAGCAAGCAAGCAGCAGGCAAGCAGCAAGCAAGCAAGCAGGCAGGCAGGCAGGCAAGCAATCAAGCACGCAAGCACACAAGCACGCAAGTACGCAAGCACGCAAGCACGCAAGCACGCACGCACGCACGCAGGCACGCAGGTAGGCAGGCAGGCAGGCAAGCAAGCAAGCAAGCAAGCAAGCAAGAGCAGCAAGCAAGAGCAGCAAGCAGAACGCAGAAAGCAGCAAGCAGCAAGCAGCAAGCAGCAAGCAGGAAGCAGCAAGCAGCAAGCAGCAGCAGGCAAGAAGCAGCAGCAGGCAAGAAGCAGCAGCAGGCAAGAAGCAGCAGCAGGCAAGAAGCAGCAGCAGGCAAGAAGCAGCAGCAGCAAGCAGCAGCAAGCAGCAGCAAGCAGCAGCAAGCAGCAGCAAGCAGCAGCAAGCAGCAGCAAGCAGCAAGCAAGCAGCAAGCAAGCCAGCAAGCAGCAAGCAGCAAGCAGCAAGCAGCAAGCAAGCAGCAAGCAGCAGCAAGCAGCAAGCAGCAGCAAGCAGCAGCAAGCAGCAGCAAGCAGCAGCAAGCAGCAGCAAGCAGCAGCAGCAGCAGCAGCAGCAGCAGCAGCAGCAGCAAGCCAGCAAGCCAGCAGCAAGCCAGCCAGCCAGCCAGCCAGCCCAGCCAGCAAGCAAGCAAGCAAGCAGCAAGCAGCAAGCAGCAAGCAGCAAGCAGCAAGCAGAAGCAAGCAGCAGCAAGCAGCAGCAAGCAGGAGCAGGCAGCAGCAAACAGCAGCAAGCAGCAGCAAGGAGCAGCAAGCAGCAGCAAGGAGCAGCAAGGAGCAGCAACAACGGGCAAGCAGTAGGTGAGCAGCAGGTGAGCAGCAACAGGTAAGCAGCAGCAAGCAGCAGCAAGCAGCAGCAAGTAGCAGGCAAGCAGCAAGGAAGCAGCAGGCAAGCAGCAGGCAAGCAGCAGGCAAGCAGCAGGCAAGCAGCAACCAGCGTTTGCCCCCTTGAAAGAATGATCAAATATTTTTTTTTAAATCAACGCGATAAAAAAACATTGAACTTTTTCCAGCCGCACGGCCCCAAAACAATGAAATTGTTCAATTACTACAAGTTGCGGTGATGCCAAACTTGAACTTTTTCCAGGCGCACGGCCTCCCGATACGACTTTTACAAGCTGATACGACTTAACGCTAGCGTTAGTACCTGTTTCAGGATCCTAATGGTAAGAATTCCAATTCCCAACCGCGGCTCCAAATCTTAGATTTCATGGGGTATAATTCTACGAGGCTTATCATATGACTAACGCTGCCATGACCGAGGCGAAGGTATGGGATCCGCTGAGTCTCCTGGCTCCTGAAAAAATGCCTGCAATTTGTATTTGCCATGAATCAAAGCCACTTATTTTGATCATGATAAATCATTTGGGGATGATATTTACCACTCATTTGTGGGAAGTCATTGTCATGGTTTACATAATATATAATCGGGTGAATTCCACATTCTTCCAACATATTCTCAAACTGGCATGGCGGCATGAACCCGAAGAATGTATCACCTGCCATGGTGAGTTCTCCTGCTGAGCTAAGGAACCAGGACATGGCCATGTGACAGCTCATTCTGCAGCAATGCAGAAGCTACGGAGCAAGCCTCAGTTGGGAACATATGCTTTCGGTACCTCGAAGATCCTCGAAGTGCTGATTTTCAAATTTGTTGCCGTATGTTGCCATTTTAAGGGAGGAACATATGGAAAAATGAGGATTGACCAATTCATGGAGTGGGATACCGCTGAGACCGCTGAGACCGAAATTTCCGCTGTGGTTTTATATGGGTTTATATAAGCAATCATGTAGCCAGCATATCATCCCCAAATATGATATTCTTGGTGATCATATATCCAACACATCCCATGATATCCGCATTCATTTAGACCTTATATCCCCATTTTGGGCAATATTTCCCAGTGCTTTATTGGCCATCCCCAACATAAAAACACTTGGACATGTGCAAATGGGGGCAAATCTAATTTGTCCGCAAATGTATATCCTCACTATATCCCCAAATATGGTTTGCAGTCTGAAAATATGCTACGTACAAATGTACTGTATGTATTACTAATACCCCAAGAAGTCATGTTCCCCCTTAAAATTGGCACACATTGGTGGTTAAATCATGTCAAATCCCAGATATTGTTGGTTCTCTCCCCATGATCTCCCCATATTTCCTCGTTAGACCTCTCCCAATTTTTCCCCATTAAAAATTCTGAAATTCAATTGGAATTCGTGATTTTCATCTGGATTTCACCCGATTTCCCCCAGTTTTTCACCCAGGCCCCTTGGGCCCCCTTGGGCCCCTTGGCGTCAAGCCACAATGGCGGAGCCCGCCAGGGCTGCACCCAGCGCCGCCAGCTGCGCCCATCGGTTCCCCTGCTGGATCTCCTGCGAAATGCGCCTCAGCTCGGTTGTGGAAAAAATGATGAAAAATGGGGGTTGTGGTGATGAAACATATGATTCAATATGAAATATATGAATGAAATATATGAATGAACATATGAAATATATTGAAATATATGGGGATTATGAATTGTCGGTAGCCCACGGCTTCAGCCACAAGTTTCAAAGGCACAGTTACACTTCTCGATTTGTGCACGGCGGACTTTTCCACCCTCGGCTTGGCCCAGTCCGGCCAGTCAGCGCAGCTAATGCCACAGCGATATGGCTACAGCCGCTATTGGCCAAAGGAGCTCCTGGAAAAGGGATTGGAGCCAAGTGGCAACGGCGTGTGACCAACCTGACAGCTGTTATGGTGCATGGTGTGGTGCCTGGGGTCCATGGATGCAGGGGTATCACTACCTGAAGCTGTCAAACTCACATGCCCCGTGGTCACACGTCGCGCTGGAACTACAAGGTCGAGCCACGTTGGGTCTCCGGGTCCTTTTGACCCCTCATCCTCAGTGTTGGTCGCCAGCTTCTTGTGCACCTTCTTCGCCGCAGTGAACGTCTCATCGTGCAAGATGTTCCACTGCTGTCCACCTGCTAGGAAGGCACGAAGAGCATCTTGAGCAGATGGTTTCGTTAAGCCATCAGCCAGCTGCTGAGAGCTGTTCACCCATCTTAAGCTCGTTTGCTGCTTCTCCAGGTTTTGGGTAAGAACCAGCAGTTCCAAAGCCGAGTACTTGTCCTTCGCGTTGAAGGAAGGCAGATCTCCTTGAAGAACTGCATCATAAAGGGCTTTGGCATCGGTGACCAAAACTCCGCGAACCTTCTTGGCCGTCTCGGCTGGGTCCTGAAGGATCACCTCGTCGCCTAGGATCTCCCGCCATTGAATGCGGACGAACATCAGCTCCTGCTCCGCCTCGGCCAGTGCCTGAGTTTCAGCTGCCAGACTTGAGCGGCATACCCTGCGCAGCTTAGAGCTGCCCCAACTGATCACGTTCACAGGGCCACGTTGTCCTTCATCAACCATGCGGCGGTGAACGAAGCCGATCAGCATGCCACCAGTACTTGTAAGGTCAACCCTGTTGGCCAATGCAGCGTCGGACCACGCCACAGCCACCAGATCATCTGGATCTTGTGCTTGGAGGTCGTAGATGTTCAGGCCAATGTCTTTCTGGCCAAAGATCTCCCTCACAAATTTGTTGACCTCGGCGATGATCTTCCGGTCGGCCTTGGGCAGAACGCTCTGCAAATGGCTTAGCTTGGCAGCATGGTGGGGAGCGGTCTGGTAGACTCTCCATTGGGCGGCCCCAAGGACAGCGCGGCATTGGTGTCGTTCGGATTCCGTTAGGTCCTTGGTGGTGCCGTCCTCAATCACCTGTCCAGTGCCACTGCAGAAATCCTTCTGGTGTAAGAACCAACCAGGGAGGCCGTTGTGGTAGGTCTCCTCAATTTGGACACCACAGTGCACCAGAGGCGGTGTTTCCCAGGGGCTCCACTTCATGGACTTGTGGAAGTCTTCCAAGAACTGCACCCATGCTGGATGCTTCTCATCTCCGCAGAGTAGGAAGTCGTCCACGTGCACTCCCACAAGACCAATCGTTCGTAGATCTTGGGTTTGAGGATCTGGAGCTCGTAGTCGCCAGATACATGGTTCCGTTTGCAGTCTGGAAAGTTTCAGCTTGTTGAGGATCTCGGCCACGTAGAGGTAAAAGTCTCTAGGTGCCACAGTCAGCCCATAGGCGGACTTCAGAAACTTCACCGCTTGATCCTCTTCAAGTTGAAGTGCTTCCTTCAGCTCCTTGACCGGTCTGCCGTAGATGTTCCTGACACTTTGCGTAGGACCACCTTGTAAGAAAGCAGCTTTTGCATCAGCTTTCAGAAAGCCCCAGTTGTTCAGACTGGTAGCCTGGAGCATCAATTGTCGACCACGGCGACTGAGGGTAGGACTTCGGACATTGACCAATCCAACGTCCGGGTCTGTAAAGCCCAGCACGACCAGACGTGCTTTTGCTTTGAGGGTTCCAGGATCTTCGGTGCTCTTGAACGTCAGCACCCATCTCATCTTCATCAGCCGATCCTGTGGTACTTTGCCAATTGCTCCCTCACAGACACGTGAAGTCAGCCACTCATTGATCTCCAAGGCTTTTGCTTCTGTCATGGCTGAACGTTGTTGTACATTCAGCTTCTGCCAACTCACTTCGACACCTTTCGCCACCTTCTTCGCCACAAAGCGACTAGGGTCCTTCACAATTGCCCGCCACTCGTCCTCATTCTTTGGAGCGGGGATGGTGACGGCGAAAACCAAATCCTCGAAGTCACCGGCAGGCAAGGTCTCATCCACATCCATATAGAGAGCGTGATGCGCTCCTGTAGAACCTGGAACTTCTCCATGTCGTAGGAATTCTCCTCTTTGCACATGGTGAGGTCGTTCCAGTTGTTCATGGCGGCGACGTGCCTCCAAGAACTGAGGATGTTGAAATAAAGGACCTGAGCTCTGTGAAGAAAATGGCATATACTCTGGGTCGTTGATCATGCGGTCGATGTCAACATCGTCCTTGACAGTGTCAGCAATTGATGGTGTATAGCCATCGGACTCCTCAGCTTGCTCATCCTCAAGGCGTGGCATCTTATTCTCGCCATGCCCCGTTGACATTGCATCCTCTTCTTCCTGCTCTTCCTCCAAGATCCGCTTCTGTTGTCCAGAGCGATCAATTCCAGACGTAATGGGACCGGCTCGCTTCTTCTGTGTGTCTCTGACCATTTGTTTGTGGGTCATGGTCACATCATCAAACTCTCCTTTGTTGATCAGCGATGTCAGGTCTCCAAACGTCCATGGTGTAGCCAAAGTAGAGCTGGAAGATTCTGCAACGACACGTTCTCGTTCTGAAGCAAAGCGAAGTTGTTGTGAAGTCACCCGCTTCAGTCTTCCAGAGGCAATGATCCAAGCGATCTGCTTGGGAGATCGTCCATCTCCATCATAGGTGACTCTGGTCTCAAGGGCCAGCACTCTTGCAGGACCATACCAACGAGCCACCCGCCTCCGTGGAATATCAAGTGGAATGTGAGAACGTTCTTGTTTGTCTTGAGGTGGCTGGTAGCGCTTGTAGAAGACAAGATCGCCCGGGTGGTAGTTCACCAAGTTGGGCATCCTGGTGTTGTTGGCCTGTTTGATCTTCTCGTTCAGCGTGAACTCTTGGTGCTTCTGTCCGGCATCAAGTCGCAGTTGAGGACGTTGTCGCATCTTCTCCTCTGATGACATTCCAGCCCAGTAGGGAAGATCGGGTCCATCATGGAGTCGATCGCCATCAGTGGGATTGCGACCAAATACCCATTGCATAGGACTGTAGCCACCAATATTGGACATGGTGTTATGTGCTGCCACCATGGCCCATGTTGCCAGTTCTGGCGGTGCTGATGAAGATCTCAGTTGAGCCAACAACTTCCTCTTCAAAGTGCCAATCAGCCTCTCGACCTTTCCAATCTGTCCATGTGCTTCGGCAGGGATTCCTTCAAGTTCAACTCCATGAGCTTCTGCCCATTCATCCAGCTGCTTGCTGCGATGGGCACCCTCCTTGTCCAGCTTGATGCATCGTGGGTATCCGAAGTACTGGATCCAGCCTTGATGTAGATGTTGAAGAACTTCCATGCCAGTTGGGCAGCGGCTTTCTCGGGCAGGATGAGAAAAGAAGAAGTTTGCTGCCCCGTAGCCTGAAGCCTCGTCCACCAAGACTTGGAAGTGGTAGGTCGTGTCGTCGACAGTGAACTCCATGTTGTCGACTTGCAACACTTCCCAAAGCTGGGTTCCATGCTCCAGGGTCACAGCTCGGCGTGCTGGTGGCATCAGGGATTCTTCACAGTCCATGCACTTCATGTTGGAGGCTATGGTTCTCACCATTGAAGACGCTCCTCTGTCACGTAGCATCTTCACAAAGGCTTGTCGACTGGGGTGTCCCAGTTTCTTGTGAAGACTCATCAGTTCCTTGGCCACTCTCATCAACTCCTGGTCAGTGAACTGCTTGAGGCATTCAGGATCGTTGTCAGAAGAATCCTGCGCAGCAAAGACTTGTTGCTCTTGTTCTTCGTGAATCTTCTTGACAATCCTGGCCACCTGTTGACACATAGCCTTTGGATAGAGCGCTGATGCTCTCGTCCTATTGCCTCCTTCACATGGAACATGCGGCTCTTCGCAAGTGCACAGGCGCTGCAGTTGCCAGATGTTCTTTGAAGTGCATTTCACCCTCCAGGGTTTCTTCATCAGGCCTTCGTCAGTTCGTAGTCCATAGGCGCAGCCATCCACTGCAGCCTCATACGTTGTCACGCTTCTCCAGAAGCCCTGTATGGACCTGAACTGCCAAGCCTTGTTGTAGCGCGGCCATTCTTGGCCAACATCCCGTTTCTCTGCCACCTGCATCTCCATCAGATGTACTGCACGAGCTGCAAGTCTCTTCGATTTTCTCACCTTCTCCTGCACCTTGTTGAAGCCTTCAGGGGTGAGCATGTTGAGTTCCTGGATGTTGCTGGTTGGACCACACGGCAGTGAGATCCAAAGCAGATCTGGCTTCTCATCGCGCAACATCTTGACTACCTTGTTGAAGCCTGCATTCTTGTTGAGGTCGCAGCCATTGAAGAGACCACACCTTATACCTTTTCCTCCAAGAGCTTCTACTGCCTTCGTGATACCACTGTTCTCCTCACAGCAGATCTCCATCACCTTGAAGGGTTCCTTCTGTTGGTGGGCCACGACACTGTGAAAGAGCTCCTCATACTCCTCCACATAGGTCTCGGCTTCCGCAACAAGAAATGCAGTCTCCTCCTTGCTGAGTCGCAGACCTTCTCCGGGATCTTCTGACTCCTCTGAAACCTTCGGCTTCTTCTTGCGTGGCAAAATGCCTGGTGAAAAACTGGACGACATCTTCTTCTTGACAGCTCTGTTGATGTCATTCTGTACAGTGTCGTCATCGGCCATCTCATAGCCATCCAAGGGTGTACTCATATGCAAGGACCCGGAACTCCTCAATGATGTGGGCGAAGTTCGGGTCGTAGAGCTCGTTGTCGAATTCGATGTCATCGGTGAAACATTGGGCTCCTCCAGAATCACCGTCTTGTCCAAAGACGTCTTCTTGTTCATGGTGGTGATTCCGGTGGACTGACCTGAGTCCACTCTTCCGCTTCCTGCTGCTGTTGTCGCAGATGGTACTCCAAGTCCTCTGCTGTCTCCTGAGACTTCCTGGTCTTTCTGCCTGGCGTCACGTTCATGGTCAGGTCGATGGTCTCGCTCCCATAGCCGGCTCCACTTGCTGGTGTTGGTGAAGGCGTTGAAGGTGATGCCTTGGGCGGATGGCCCGATGCTTCTGGGCCCGATGGTGAACCTTTGGAAGACTGGTTCTTGTGCAGGTTCTTCTTCTCTTGCACCTGCTGCCATGCCTCCTTCTGCCGTCTGACCGTCTCCAGGCGGTTCACCAGGGAGCGCTCGGCTCCATCCAGCCCGATCTTGCGATCCATCAGCTCGCATGATCCCTTCTCCGGCTTCTTCTCCACCACCTGCACCTCCACGTCCTTCGCCAGTGGACCTGCCTGACGGCAAAGTCCGTGGGACCCAAACGCCGGCGTGTATGTCAACCTCAGATGACATACACTGCACCCCGTCCATGTCGCGTGACGGTTTGATCCCGTCACACTTCCTCGTCCTGGAGCAGCTGGAGTGTGCTCGCCCCAGCAGGGCGCTCCCAGAGCCCTCGGGTCGGCTGGGTTCATCTGTTGCATCCGTGTGAAGTCGTACTTCTCTGTCTGGGGAGCTACGTCCTTGTGGTTCAGGCTCTGGGTCATCTTCTTCGGCGCCATTGCTAGAGAACGCAGTGCGATGCGCTTGATCGTGGGCAAGTTGTCGCAGGATGTAGTCCCGCATGCTTTGATCCACTTCAGGCAGCGATGACTGTGAAGTCTGGCTTGAGTGGACCACAAACGCTGGATCAAAGTCATGCTGATTCACCTTCGGCCTCACTGACAACCCATGCTGAAGCTTCTGAAACCCTTGCAACTTCATCTACAACTGATGACAAACGGTCACATGAGCTGAAAAAAAAACCCGGTATGTAAATCCTTATCCCAAAAGCAAATCATGTGATTTCCAAGCGGCGGTCTTCATATTTATGTCTCGGCGCTTGATTCTGAACTGTTTGAACTAGAGCTTGTTGCATCTACAGAGCTGTTTTCAGCTATATCATATCCATTTCGTATCTGTCGAACCCGCTCCAGGCGTCTTTGAAATCGTGAATTTGCCCTTGCTCTTGACTTCTCCTTAGAAGCAACCTTTTCCTGGAAAGTTTTGACAGGAAGAATTTGCCGTGGTGGCAATTTGTTTTTCTGTGCTTCGTATACTCTTTTAAGATGATGCTCATTTTGCCAGTCCGGTGGACCTTGTTCCCAGTCTTTGGCTCCTTCAAAAAAAGCTTTTCTCCAAGGCTGCGGGTCGTCATCTTTCACTGTTTCCACACTCCAATCTGAAACCCGCACACGGTCAGCACTGTCAGCAAACACACGGTTGAACAGGATGGGCGAAGCATTGGGCAAACTGCCTGTGTACGGTTCTGCATCAAGAGCGTATGTGCGAGTGATTTTCAAAGAGCCACCGTAGAGAAAGTTTCGTTCAGCTGCTTTTGTTTCAGGGTACAGCATTTTTTTCACAATCCAGTTGGGTCCAAGGGGGTCTTTGCGCTTCTGTTCCTGTGCTCCTGCTTGCAGCGCCCTGACCATACCGTTCAAATCGAGAATCGGTTGTTTGCGAGCATATTTCCCAAGCCATCCAGAAGATCCAAACATCTTATCCAAAATGCTTTTGCCATGCTGCTCTCCCAGGAAGCGGATCAACACTTTTTGCTTCCTGGTTGCAGGAAGCACGCGGGCATAAAAGAACAAGTTCTCCGCTGACCGAAAATGCGGCCCTGTGTCACTCCAAAGTTGCAGGGATCCAGTCGTTGGTACACTGCACGCGTTCAAAGCGGCTTGTAGCATGAGATTGCTGGCTTCCGCTCTGTTCAATAACATCTGTCAGAAATAAGAGAAAAGTGAAATCAATCTTGGGGCATTCGATTGTGGAAGAGGGGGCATGTCTCACAAACACGCCACCCCAGCAAGAGAGCGAGACCTTTTGTTGCATGTGCCACATTTGCCCAGTTTCTTCTGGGCACATTGGTAGTTTCAATTTTTGCCGCCAGTCATAAGCGAGAAGAAAATCCCCCAAAGGCAGCGTTGATGCGGTAGTGTCAAGCAAAGATTCAAAGGTTGCATTCATACGGCGTGAGCTGGCAATATGCCATTGAAAAGCTCTCAGCAAAGAAAGGCGGCCTTTCATTTCATGCTGAATGGGCGCTTCTGTGTCCGTCCACAAGGTGAGTCTATCGGCTCGGGACAGCTCGGCCCTTTCCAATGGATATTGCTGATGGTGTGTCCGGATATATTGGAGCAAACCGCTGGCAACAGCAGCCCAATCGCCCTTGCTGGAATCTTCTTGTTCCTTTGTTTCGTCCCAGCCGGAAAAATAGGAAGGAATAATAGCAACCAGATCCCTGCGAGACTTCTCAAGAAAAGCTTTGAAATCTGGCACCAACTTGGTGTAGAAGGTGTTGCAGTGGGTACAGATGTCTGTCCGCCGGGCGGCCAAACGAAATTCTCCAAAACCCTGTCGCAGAATCCGTCGCCATGTGGGTGCGCTCATGACCTTCGGCAGCTCAGGCTCCATATCATAAATTGTTGTTGGCGCGGCTAACAGAGACATGCTTGCGACCTCTGTTCTGGTACCGTCACTGGATTGTTTGCCTCTGGCTTTTCGACGGCCATGCGCAGTTGTTTCAACAGTAACAACACTGCTGCCTGGCTTAGAATGTCTTCCCAGGATTTCCCGTGCTACGTCTTCTGAAAGAAATATTTTTGGACGCCCACCACGGTTCTCAGGTTCATCCTCGAACCTCAGTCTTTTCCTGGCTTTGCACCCAATTTGATAACCTTTCTCAGTCAAGTATTCCGGCAGCACAGCGCCGTGATTGGATACTGCAGCATCTAGCTCCCGCAAAGTCAAGGTTTGATTTCCACGGGCTGTAACCTTTAGCCGCAATTGTCCCAATCTGTCCAAAACCTCGTCAGCATTATCTGGTAAATTTGGATGCTTGTGATGAAAAGAAATTCCAGGAAATTTGGCTTGCAGCCTGTTCTCTAAGGCATGCAGCACAGTGTGGACGTCGCCCTCCTCATGGCAGTGACCCTCTATCATTTGTAACAGATTTGTTGTTAACTCTCTCTTTCGGCCGCTTCCTGGTGGAGCTCTTGTTTGATTGGGCCTCGCTTCAGCACTACCCGTTTGTTGCTTGGCAACCTTGCTGGGAGGAGTCACTGCTTCTGGCTCTTCAGGTACAGGACCTTGATCATGGTCATGCACGTCTGGCGCTAATTCCAAAAAATGACGAGCTGCTGGTGTCAAACGTCGAGATGCTAGAGCATCCACTGCAGGAAAAATGATGGTTTGCAAGTCAGGTGGACAGCGGAAGAAAACAGCCACTGCAGCCTTCTCGGCCCAACCACGCCTTGTTTTGGAAGTTGCCTTGTCTTGCAACACTCCGTCAGCATATGGTAATAACAAGCTCTCGTCTCTGCAAGCATCTATGATGGTTTTTGCAACCGACTTTCTCAAAATTTGAAATTGGCTTGAAGTGAGCGCGCCAAAGTCAGTGGAAGAGCTGCTGTGCTCCGATGTCTGCAACAAGGAACTGTCAGCTGGAGGGCACCCATCAGCAATGTAATCACGTAAGACACATTCGAAGTCGCCCCACCATGGCGGGGCCATATTGAAACATGGCGGAAAAGTTTGACAGTGTTAGTGGGAAAACATGTGGAACAGATTGCTATCTGGTCAATGACTTGGAACACACCGCACATGGGATTAATGGTCTGTGGTCTGTGGGTTTTTGTGGACAAGTGGTCATTCTGACTGAAATCCTGATGTCGTTCAGATGTCGTTCAGATGTCGTTTTGGAAGCCGAGAAAACTAGCTATATAGCGATTCTTAAATTCACAGTAATTATACAATCTGAAAATCAGATCCCTGTCTGGTTTCCCCGGAACGGGTAGATTTCTCTGTGTTTCTAGTGGACATGCACTTCTTCTGCTTACTGCCTTGGGTGTGCCCAGGACAAATTCCGTATAGTCAGCACAATAATTTGTCAGTGTCACAAAGAAGCTTCACTAAACAACAGCAGTGGGGAGATAAAGTCAGCGGAGACGCAATCGAAATGGCGCAAGTGCAAGTGGAGAGTCAATGAAAACATTCAAGGCAAGGATGTGCAGGCAGCTGGTGAAACAAACGTGTTTACAGGTACTTGGCTTCTGCTTCTGCGGATTCCCTTCTCTGCTGACCGCTCTCCATGGATATCAAGAAGAACACTTTCTGAGGAGCACGTAGCCTTGTAGGCCCAAATCTTGTTCACAAACGGAATCAGAAATGAATGTCCAAAATGACATTACCTTGAAAGGGCGGATCGCTACTTTGGAAAGGTCACGTCGCTTACCTAGATACAAAATATATGTATATATATGTATATAGATACATATAAATATAAATGAATATATATATATATATGTATATGTAAATATTATATATATATGTATATGTATATATATATTATATATATATGTATATATTCAAAATATTGAAATACCCAGATCTGTTGAATTTCCCTGTCATGTTCATTCATTTGGCGACCGCGGCGGCAACCCACATCACAACGCTACCGCCCGCCACCTCTACCTGAGCACCTCCCCGCTGCAGGCAGCTTACCGTTCACTTTTCCCAAATTCAAACGTTTGCCAAAATTCTGATGGTTGTGTGCAAACTGGGTATAAAGGAATGATCTATGCAAACGTTTGGTTGCCAATGGTCGTGTCTGTCGGCAAAAAAAAAGCATTTTTCCTTCCAACGATCAAGCCATCAAGTTTGCCTCCGTGAGCAACCACGAAAGGTTCAAGTCAATGCGCCCCCGCACTGCTTTTAAAAGATGTCATCTTTTCCACACATGCAGCTTTGCTGCAGGTGCACAAGTCAGGTGTCTGTGTCTTTGCGACAGCTTTCGACATTTCTGCTATGACTTCAACAAGTCCAGCCTCTTTCAAGGCACGGATGGACCGAGAACATCGAAACAAAGCACAAGATCTCACGCAGCTGTAGCAGCTGCCTCCTTTGGTGCGAATTGGTCGGTGCCCATTTCTCTTTGGAGCTTTGTATGTTTCCCACTTGCAGGAATGACGTGCCCGTTGGCACAAAACACATGCCGCTTCTAAATCTGGAAGCTGGCCTCGCGCAGTCTTGCGTCCTTGTTCTGCATACTTCGGAGCAATCTGTTTCAACTTGTTGAATTTGGCAGCATTGGCCTGCTCAAGCTTCACGGCCACTTGTGCGCAAACATCAGACTCAGACTGATGAACGGCAAGAGCATCAGGGCTTGCGTCTGCTGATGGCTCAACTTGATCTGCAATGGGCGCAGGGCTGGGATCTCTCGGAGCAGGGCAAGGAGTAGCCGGGGCTTGATCTGGTTTTGCACCTTCATGAACTACCCAGACAATCTGTCCGTGCTTCCTTGGCAAGGGAGCTGGGGTAGACAATCGCTTTGCAGATGCCAAGCTCCAACCGTACACCTCCTTGTAAGTCACCAAATCCAAAGGACAAAGATGCTCATGCCGACGAGAGAAAACTTCTGCGCAGGTCAGCCGTTGCGAGTCTGTCAGTTCGCAATAGCCCAAGATCTTGTCTTTGATGCCAAGGCCAATTCTGCCTCTCTTTGTTGTGTTTTGACTTCGCAATTCCAAGGATTTGCATCCGTCAAGAATTTTTGTAAGCCAAGGCTCCTTCAAAAGAAGGACATGCGTCAGATTGCTCACAATCTGCTGTTCACTGCACGCAGGTTCTGCAGCCTCGGTTCGCCTGGCCTTGGAACTGGTGCCCTGAAGAGAAGTGTCCTGGCAGCACTGACATAGATGGAACAAAACCTCTTGGTGTGACAGTTGCTTTTGGAACACAATCTAAAAGAAGCTCTGGTCTTTATGGTGAAATGCGCACCCAAAAAATGTATGCTTTCTACCTATGTTTTCCCAACTGCTCGAGCCTCTGAAGCTGCCCGTTTCTGTGGAGTGGCAACTGGGCGTCCCAAAGTTTTCACGACCTGGAGCCCCTTACTCGTGAGCTCGCTCCGACCACGTATGGTCCATTGCCATTGAACTCCGCAGGCTCTTTGCACCAAGAAGGCACGGTGATGCGTAGCTACATCGCACCGCAACGATCCATCAGCGCCCCGCGAAGCTGAACCAGGGCAACTTCTAGCACCCTTGCCCACACCACAGTACTTTGGCACAGCTGGCTCCATTTTGAGCCCCCCTTTGCGAAACATCATTCCCAATCACAGGTTGGCAGCTGCCACTCAAACACAAAACATCATGTATGATGTAAATATATGCCTGTAAATATATGTAAATATATACTTATATATATATATACATATATATTTAGGAGGTCGTTCCAATGTCGTTCTAGATGTCGTTCAAAGGGTCGTTCCCCAACTAAATGGCACATTCCAAAATTACCAAAAACATCCGAAATAGCTGCGGCGGTGCCTGGAATTCTGAACGAAGGATCGCACAATACTACTGTAAATTAACCCCCCTTTTTTTTTGGCTCACATGATGTTGTGCATGAAGTGTGCAACGTGCATGAGGTTGAACATGTAGTGTGTAGTTCACTGAGCGGCTGCACCATGTATGCCGCCTTCGCATCAAAGTCATCTTGTAAAGGTTGACTCGTTTTGAGCCAGTCGCAAGTGAGGTCGACCAAAAGGTGTCCAGCACGACTTTTGCCGAGTGGGATCTTCACAGACGGTGCAACTCGTGAAAGCACCATCCACCGGCCGCTCACATCTATGATAGTGCCGAGGCGATGAAGAGTTCTCATGCCCAGCAGAATGGGGACGCGTTCGGCATCCAAGGTGAAAAGACCTAACTTCACCATCTGGTCGCCAAGTCTTTGAGGCACCCTCACAAAGGAAGAAGAGACCTGAGTTGCTCCATTGCCAAATCGGAAAGGTTTTGTGGCATCCTTTCCAGAGAAAACCTCAACAGGTTCTGCAATGCCATGTACTTGAGCTCGACGTTGCATGAGACCTTCAAGAGCCTCAAGGGAACACACCGTCTCAGTGGCCCCCAAATCCAGGACACCGTAGCCAGTGGTGTCATTAATCACCTCTGCATCCTCCATCATGTAGATGCAGTGCTCTGGCTTCTCCTCCTCAGGAATGTTGAGGACGGAGACAACGTTGAAGGTGTTCTCCAGGTTGAAGGTGTCCGGGATCGGCTTGTCGTGCGCGTCGTTGACAAAGTCCACGTTGAAGTTCTCCTCAGTCTGCAAGTCATTCTGTGCCTCGTTCTCATCCTCCGGAATGGCCATGAACACGGTGTCCAAAGAGCTGGGTGTCAATGACTCCACCCAGTATGCGCCCTTCCTCATTGGTCTTGAAGACGATGAGGGAGGACCTTGACTTCGGTTATCAGATCTCTTTGGGCATGTTCTGAAGCCATGTCCTTTCTCTCCACAGATGAAGCAGCCACCATTGTTGTTGCCAGAGACATTCATCACCTCAGAGTTCGATGACTGGGTCATGAACATAGGCCTGCTGGTAGGTGATGAAGGTCCTGTTCCACTCGCTTTTCCTTTGCCCTTCTTGCTCTTGCTTTTGCCTTTGCCTTTCATCATCTTGATGGGATAGAAACCACGGCTCTTGCCCTTCGCTCTTTGGAACTGTCTGGACTGCTGGAATGTCCTCATCTTGTTCTCATAGACCGCGTAGGCCTCGTCCAATTCCTTCGTCTGCTCCGGCGTCAGGTCGGAGTAGTCATCCTCATTCCAGTAGGTTCCAAAGCCATCAGTCTCAAACCAGGCGCCATAGACATCTTGAACATGTCCATGCCAACATCATAGTCGTAAGACCAGTGAATCTCCTCAGCTTCTTCGTTCTCCTCGTTGGCATACTCAGGGACATAGACCTCCGCAGGGAGATGGGATCCAACCCAGTGAATCTCTGCAGCAGCATCATCCACTGCATCCTCAGACACCAGTAGACCCCAAACACCTTGATCTTCTACCCAGTAAGTCCTCTTGCGATGGGGAAGTCGATGTTGATCTGCTTGAAGCAGCTCCTCCTCTTGATCTCTCAGCGCGTTCTCGATGTCCCGAAAGAACAGGCTGTTCTGGACACTGCTTTGCACCGCTAACCTGTTGGCTGAGCTCAGGTTAGCCCTTCTCAAAAGCAGCCATCCCAGAATCTCGTCTGGGAGAACATGTACCTCCTCGACTTCCAGTTCATCCCATGCAAAGTCCTCGCCTGAAGACGAAGAAGCTCCATCATCATAACCACCTCGACGTTGGCGATGCCATTGACGCCATTCATCATCCGTCCATTCTTGTTGTCCTGGTTCAGAAGGATCATCTTGAGGTACTTGATCATATCCTCCTTGTTCCGGATGAAGTGCTCCACCACGACCATCATCTTGTCCAGAAAGTTGTGCTCCTCGATCTTGTGGTGTCTCCTTCGGAGAAGTCGGTGGTGATGGATGTGGGGAAGGTCTCGGTGTCGTTCTCACTCTCTGCGGACTCGGTGGTTCAGCTTGAGGTTCAGATCGCGTTGCAGTCGATCCTACAGCTTGTCCTTGAGGTTCCCGCTTGCTCACCTGTCTTGCTCGCACCAAGGCTCTCTGAACCTTTCTGTAAGACTCTTGAACCTGGTTGGCCCATTCGCTCATTGTCATTCCTGCTGGACGCTTCATCTTGATGAAGAGTTCCTCAAGTTTTGCGCCAGCGTCTGGAACAGCAGTGCGGCACAACCGATCTCTGAGAAATCGTAAAAGGTACTTGGTGCCATTCTTCTTCTGCAGCAAGCGATGGTCCAAGGACGGAACCACAGCCCAAGCACGACCTGAGAGTCGGGAAGCCAACTCTGGTCCAAGAAGCTTGCGCTTCCACTTTTCGGTCTTCTCCCATTGGAGTCGTACCTTGCGGCTATAGTCTGCCCATGTGCTAGGCTCACCATCCCAGGTCACCACGATGTCCTTTGCAGACAAGGTCGTCATCGTCAAGGGTCTCGAAGTTACGCAAAGTGTCCACGTAGAAGACCACCAGGAAGGAGAGGTCCAAGCACTGCCCGAAGAGCTTGTAGAGCTGGGGTGAAGGTGACGTCCAAGGAGTAGAGGGTCTCTAACAACCGCAGGAAGTAGTCCAGGGCACCCAGAAGTCCTGGAGCCCGAGCCTGGCCTGTCACGCTCAGGCTCCGCTACCAATGTCGGTAGCCCACGGCTTCAGCCACAAGTTTCAAAGGCACAGTTACACTTCTCGATTTGTGCACGGCGGACTTTTCCACCCTCGGCTTGGCCCAGTCCGGCCAGTCAGCGCAGCTAATGCCACAGCGATATGGCTACAGCCGTTATTGGCCAAAGGAGCTCCTGGAAAAGGGATTGGAGCCAAGTGGCAACGGCGTGTGACCAACCTGACAGCTGTTATGGTGCATGGTGTGGTGCCTGGGGTCCATGGATGCAGGGGTATCACTACCTGAAGCTGTCAAACTCACATGAATTAACATATGCAGTTGATAAAATCACCTGGGTTCATTGGTTCCACCGAGAAAAATGGAGTGTCTTCTATAGAAATAGACTGCAGTGCCGATAAGCATTAAGCCATTGCCGGGAAGAATGGTGATCTCCCTAAACGAAAATCGGAATTCACCAAAATAAATCAAAACAGTGCATGGTATCACTAATAGTGGTATCTGGTCTGCACGAATTTGGGATGTCACCCACATGACGAGAATATCCTCGAATTTTGTCACATTTTGCCACATTTTGCCAGCTCCCTAGAGGCCCTGCTAGACTGAACTCAGTTCCGCACTTGCAAACATCAGCCATTGCTGACGTGCGTTGCAAAGGACTCGTTCCTCAGTGAACCAGCAGTACAAAGCTTCTAGGACAAACATCAAATCATATCAAATCTCTGCTAGTGATATGATCATGGTGGAAAAATCCTACATCTGTGCGCGTCAGTGTTTTGTCGCGTGGAACATGAAGGAAGAAAATGAAAAATGACATGTATAGACTGTATAGACTGACAAACTCAAGTCATTCATGATGAAGCACAGCAAGACTCGATATCTGCCCCGGACGCAAAAGAAGCAGACTACGGCGAACAGCATGCACATGGAAGCGATAAAGTACGCGGCAAAGTAGCCGTACTCCTGTCACTCCACATGCATTTTATGGTCAGATCAAGTCAGATCCATAGCTGCTCACCCATTCGTACCACCAGAAGCAAGTGGTTGCCAGCTGTGGTCACTATCGAGAACGCCTATGGTGGAAAACAACAATAAACGCATTTGACACCATCCCCAGGCATTGGCCCTAGACATCTCTGGACCACGTCCATTCTAAGCTCCCATCTCCACCTTCCGATGCGCTCCTTGGGAATTCCCATGCCACCATTGGTGCCTAGAGTAGTGAGAAAGGCATATGCAAAAGCCGAGCCGACATTGATGGCCATGTAGAACCTCAAGAGGAAAAATGGATTGAAACCACGAGAATCCCATCAGAAATATCAACGGTCACAGCTTTGTGGTCATATTGTGGTCATCAAACGTATCAAACCTTGCCAATTTTCAACCAGAGCGGCCACTGAAAGAACTGCTCTTGCGCCGCGACTTGCTCTGGGTCCGACACATCATATTGATCCTTAGGGGATAGCAGCCTGATTGCCGAGATAACCGACCCAGAACAGGGATCCCGGTAGGGTTTCTTCCTGACTGGCCACATGCCTCTAAACATCTCCAAACATATATTTAGTATATTTTAGTATATGCATTACAAACCCCCAAGACTTATCTATATAGGAATGGAGACCGCACCATCCCCTAATGTCATCCAATCATATTTGATCGAGGTAACTAATGATTTAATAGTAAAACGGTAATTACATTAATTATATATATATATCAATATATATATATATATCATAGTTATATGATTTTATGAGTTCATATTGTTTGGCATAGCATGAGCAATCCCAGACCAGGGCTCTGCTCCAAAGTTGGAGATGTTCGACTTGATGCCCGCGGTGCCCATGGGCACCAAGACCAGCAGGGCAAACCTCAGTGATGGTGAACTTCCAGATTTTGATACCCTCTGGTTATGTCAACATAGCTATGGAAAATGGCCATTTATAGTGGATTTCCCATGAAAAATGGTGATTTTCAATAGCTATGTTAAATTACCAGAGGGTATCTATTGATCCGATTTTCTGTGGCTATAGTGATGATAGTGAAAGCCTACAAAATCCTGTTTGGAGGGTACGCCTCTTTGCTGCAATCACACATGTCTCTGTCTGTGATTGTGAAAGGGTACAAAGACAAAATCGCTCTCTATTCGGCTCTCTCTCTGCCTGTCTCTCTTCCTGGGTCTCTCCCTCTCGCTCCTCCGTCCGCTTTCTCTGAACGGGCAGCATGTGATGTGCGTGTTTAATCGGTTTAGACAAGTGACAAATAGAGACCAGAGTTCATGAATGATGGTGCTGCAGCTGTAGTGGCCAGCAAGCCTCCAATGCTATATGTCACCTGAGACATGATGGAGGTGATGCGCATGCAACGCTGCAAAGAAGAACTTCACGTGCACTTCGTCCAATGGTTCATCTTGACTCTCCGTGCAGTCATTGTTGGTGCTTTTGCCAGGATGGTCCAGAATCATCTACACATGGAGCCCCCTGAATTCAACATGGAACAGAATGTGGTCTGGAAGATGATTTTCATGGAAAATGGATGTGGCATTTTTGGGGCTTCCATGTTGTGAACCTTCCATTGCAAGGTCTCCAAGTCCCCATCGAATCGACAAGGAGCTCCGAAGATAATGATGGTCCTGGGCGGTTTTTAAAGTCCGGGGGAAATGGCCCAGTATTTTCCGTGTGAAAGTGGGGCTTTTCGGGAAGAGCTCCCATTTTTTGCCAGTTTAGAGTGGGAAAAATGATGACTCACCAGTGAATCCAATGGGGTTTCATCATCAGACAACCCCCCAATGGTTTGGGAATCTTTGCCCCACATCGGACCAGCAACATGAAGCGTCCAAGCTGAACATCTGCCACCCAGCCAGCAAAAACCGCGAAGGCCATGCACAGGGTGTTCATGGCTGTGGTCAGGGCATTCGCCTGGACGAAAATGGACGACTGGATAGATATTTGCTGCTATTCCATCTGAAATGATCTGAGGACTGTAGTTGATTGGTTCCTGATTTATATATGTATATATGTGGATAAATATATATATATAAGGACTGTATATACATATCTGTATGGATAAATATGGTGGATGGGGACCGTCCCACGCTCCAGTGATTGGAACCACATTTCGATCTGCCCAAAACTGTTTTGGGGATACCATCGATCCAAAATTGATCCAAAAATGTACATAGTTTTATGATGTTTTATGTAGCTTTGCATAATGATGGTTTATTCAGTTTATTCAAACCATGGAATTTGGGGAGACCCCATTCTTGTTTTCATGAAAAAAGCCTCATGTTTATGGCTGGTAGTCCCAACTCACCTGCGCCAGCGAATATCCTGTCTTCTCCAGGAAGAACTCCTGATCAATTCCCTGAGTTTTTGGCTTCAACACCCAGCATTGCTCTGATTCTCGTTTTGAAAATAAGATCAGAGAAAAAACACAGAATGTAATGTTCATTTCTTAATGATACAATATGATGATCATTAGAAGTTAGAACCGATGATAACTGAAACACCTGAAACCCTGCAAAGGAAAACAAAAGGAACGACTCTGCGTAGAAAAAAAAAGCTTCAGTGAGACACCTGTCCGCAATCAACTCTGTCCTGAGTGCCCGTGAAGGTGTAGAAAGCCAAGCGTTCGCACAGCTCAACGGCCAAGATGAAAATCTCAGCGCCACTTCAGATGTTTGTGGTCACCAGTTCACAAACCAACAAGGTATCTCATGGATTCTCATGGTATCTCATACGTTTCATATGTTTGTGGCTGAAAATGGGGAATTTAACCCCCAAATGGCAATTGGTTACTGGAAAATACAGGAAAGTTATTATGCCCTATTTTTAGATAAACCCATGTAGTAAACCTACTTCCCTAAATGACATCTCTTCCTGAATTCCTGGCACCATTAAAAATAAAGCCAAATAGGTTTTTTAGCTGGGTCAGACCATCCTCAAGCTACCAAGTGTTGCCAGGCCATCGCTGCGAATCACTTTGGCTATCATAATCCGATTTTCTGTGTGTCTTGATAATCCCATTAATACCCTCTGGTTATGACTAACAGTTCGCCATGGTATAGATGGCCCATAGAAATAGATGGTTTACCTATTAAAAATATTTAAAAAATGTGATTTTCCATGGCGAACTGTGAGTCATAACCAGATGGTAATCCCTAGGCCCTAGGAGTGTTCCACCAGTTCCCCCCCCGCCGCTCCCGCCACGCGTTTTTCAGTCGTGGCACACATGCGGTTGGCATGGCAGCCATCTGATGTGGCTTCGGGGAGCCTGGAGAGACGCTGCCATAGTCCTGCCGTTGTTCGCAGATCCAGGGGTCTGATTGGGGACTTGGGATTAATGGTTGATAATGATGTGTAAAACTATTGAATATACAATTATATGGCGATTGTCATAAGTGTTCAGAAAATGGCGAGTTGAACGATTAGCATAAGGATAACCACAATTTGTAATAATAACAATGACAATAGATGGGTACACGAGTGATTTTGAGACTTCAAAAATTCAGGATGTTTGATCAGCAAAGATGTGGATTATTGTTAGCCAACCAAAACAGGAACTGACTACAAGACTTAATCATGATCCATGAAGTGGGCTCATTTTCGTCTTAGAATTGGTCCTTTTTGCCCCTTTGCAGAAGCATTGTCCAATTGGTCCAAAGGGTGAATGTCATCAATGCTTTTATGGCCTTGTGGATTGCATGTGTACAACGGAACCTTCTCGACTTGACTGAAGTCTTTCCATAAACTGTTTGCCCAAAGATTCTTGCAGTCCCCGTTAAAGAAAAGCCAGTTGGGTCCAAGAACAGGGTGGTTCATCATGTTCCTCAATATAGCCATTAAAATATGTATATTTAAATAGCCATCTGGATAATGACATTTGGATGCCATTTGTATGGTATACCCATTTTCAGATCATTCAAGCCAACAAGGTCACCCCAGCACCTTGGCGTCAGAGGATGCCTTCAAGTTCAAGACCTGCAACTGCTGGGTAAACCACCATGGCCCAGTGCCCGAAATCCATGTTTTGTTGATGCCTTTTTGGGAAGAACTTAACGACTGACTCAGTGAAGAGCCTTTCCATCTTCCAGGTTTAGCCAGGTTTAGCCTGACATTCTCACGCCCTGGTGTCCCCAAGTCGTCCCCACCTTGGACTCGTCCACGGTCATGGCTACAATGGCTGGCCCAGCACTGAGGCTGGCTGAAAGATGGGCCCCGGTTTTGTTCGTTTCCCTGCCGCTGACGATGGCCCTATAGATCCACTTTTAGCTTGCTGGATCTGTTTGGATCTGATGAAATGACCCGATGACCTTGGCTAAAATTGGAAAAAACAACAGAGATCAACAGCGGCAGGGACTTGGCAGCCAAGCGACGGGGGACCGCTTTAGCTGTCAGGAGACATGGATAGCCTGCCTGTGGAGCCAAAATGCCCGCAGCAACAAAACAGCTTGCAAATGCAATGTTTATTCAATTATGTCTTCCGAACTGAAGAGTAATTATCAGAACATAAATACAATATAAATCAATATAATATAATCCTGCTCACGTCGAATGCAGGAAATAAAACTGCACATGTTGATGAAGTCCATCAATACAGTAAATCCATGCCCTGACACAGCCGCCACTGACCCATGGCACACCGAGAGTATTTGTGGCAAGTGCCGATCCAATCGACTTGCGTGGGCGTAGAGGCCTTGCAATCCGCAATGTGATTTTACAAATCAACTGGTCTGAGTCTAATTGCCACAATTTTCCCAGAAGGCTCATCACAAGGGGTGACTCTGTCGTTCTTCCCTAGGCTTCGGAGCAAAACATAAGGGCCATGGGTTGGAACATATTCGCTCCAGCACAGAAACTATCCACAAGCAGAGAGAATGAGAGATAATTGCTTCCCATGTGGATCGAAAAGATACCGTTCCAACTACATCCAATTGCCCAGTGAGTGGAAACGATCAATCATTGGGTGTATCAAGATTTTGCATGATTTCCCAATCGGTCACGGACCTGGTGCATAGCTAAGCAAAGTGGGAGCATTCGGCAGCACGTCACGAATGAGTTCTCCTGGGATGGGTAGGGTTGTCCCAACCCGCCCCATGATGGGACTGCAAAATTCCATCAAAGTAATGGTAGAGCCAATAATCATGGGTTATAAATAATAGTACATATATAGTAGGATATAGATTGCAATCATCCCAGCTGTGGAATAGGTTCATTTGACAGACCCATTTCCAACCACGCCCTGTTTTCATAGAAACAAACCCGGTATCAACAGCGGCAGATTGCAAACATGACATAGCTCCTGAAGCTGCTGTTTCTCCTGCAACCTTGCCAGCACCAACATGCAGCGAGGGACACGGATTTAAAGTCATGATGTTACATCCTTACAAGCCTCCGAGAGGTAAAACATGTCTTTCTGGATGTGAAGTTTTCTCTGTGCATGGCTGTAAAAGCTCTTTCTGTCAGCTGCACTATCGAAATTTCACGAAAGTGATCAATTCGCCTGTCGCTGAAACAAAGATTCGAAACAAACTGAGTCTGGCACGCGGATGGCAGTGCCCGTCTGGTTGTAAACGAAGGAAACCGGATCCCCATTCCTAAGCCAAGGTCATTGCGGTCTTTTGCATTGGAGGCTACCATGGCTAGCCACATCTGAGTCTCGGGCTTCCAGGCCGTGTGGACCAAAACACCCAGCGACCTTCAGGGCTACAGTGCCACAAATTCACAAAGGGTAGGAATTGGAAAGTACAAGTAGGATTCACCAAGGATTCAGCTAATATGGACTGATATACTAGTAGATTGGAGCCAGTGGCTCGAGACTTTTCAAGACATCAACTTTCCACAAGACCCAGGGATAAATCATGATAAATCTACGTTTGTCCCACCCGGTATGCAGGAATGCGACACGGCAACTCTAGTCCTTTGCCTCAACAATCGATTCAGAATGTTCCTTGGCAGCTGCGCCGTCAATTTGTGGCAACAATTCGGGTTCGAAATTCGAAATCTGTGGCTTCACAGAAATAACATGATGCCGGCAGAGCCATGTCGGAATTTCGGAAGATAAGGTCAATGCAAACAGCCGGAAGCTCAACCCAGAAGATAACCTGCTTCAAGCCCCCGCTGGGTTCCCCCCACTGCTTCTCCGGGTCGGTGGCTGCAGAGCTCGCACAGCGCAGTTCTTCAGTGATCAGCTCCTGCAGGGAGTACTGTGCGATTCCAACATGGGATGTCCCCTCATGATCATCATGAACACTGAGTTGGTTGGGAATATTATCCAAAATCTATACGAATATACAAGAATGGTTTGAAACTCCGAAATCAATCGGGGGTTCCTGGAAAATTTATATACCTGAATCCAATTCTGGGAAGGGAAGGATATCCAAAGGTAATGGGGATAGTACCCACTGCTCAGCAGCGACCAGTGGTTGGCTTGGCTATAAGATATTGTAAGATGTTGTAAGCCACTGTTGAATGTGGGGACGGGACTGGTGGTGACCATGGTTAGCACATTAAGTTTGGAATAGAGGACAAACTACAAAACCATACGCGGATGGTGATGCAAGTACGGGCACAAACAATAAGAATTGGATATGATTTGATATTGTAAACCGCTGTGGATAGTATGCAATAAAACTAGAAGCTTGAATAGTGCCCCGTACATCCAAAAAGAAGGCGGTGGATCCATAAAGTACAATTTCGGATTGAGAACGGATTATCAGCTGGCAAATACACCACCAGAAAACGCAGCATCCGTAATGTCTGCCCTGAGCCAACAGGGCAAACTGATGGTATGTCATGTCAATCGGTCGCGTCGTTGGGAACCCTGAATGATCAGAATCTGCTGCAAAAGATAGGTAACGCTATACAATGATATACCAGAATATCACATATGTGTCTTGTACGATTGTGTATGTAACAATGGTAATAATATATATATATATATTGGAATAATACCAATATATGTTGGAATACCAATTATATCTTGGAATACCAACTATATATATATAATGGTTCTATAATACCAACTATATATAAATGAATATATATATATATAATATAACATCATATAACCAATTATAGTTGGATTATCATCTGGTTTCCCTAAAACAACGAGATCTCCTTGGTCAAGCTATCGATCTCACGCCGTTGCCGCACCATCTGAGCTCGCAGGGAAGCGATGCGTGCCCGCAGCTGCCTCGGCAACGGCCAAGGCCCCAAAAATGCAGTTCATTATTATTGGCTAATGATGGCTATATAATGATGGCTAATGTATGCTAATGTCATTGGATTGAGTATTTCACTACTAATGTCCAACGTTTTCCAATAATCCAGCTAAACTTCTCCGGTGTTTGGCTTATGCTCCATCAACCATTCAGTGCTGCAATCTTTGTTGCACCTTTTTTTGCACTCGCTTCCGAGTTTTCAAGCGATAAGCTCTGTTGAAGCATAATCTCTGTGGTGACTATGCTTTTGGCAATGAAAGGATACATTCTAGTTGGCAATCAAATACACATTTGGTTTGAAGGTGCGCACAATTCAAATGCTTCAGTTTCATTGCCCTCACTTGCTTAGCTACCCAATGACAAAACAAGATCAGCAAGTTTAAAATGAGCCATCAAGACACTGTCTCAATGCTCGAACTGTTGTGTTTGCCTCCAAACACTCGATTGGTTGGAAAGATCACAATCAAGGACATAGTCTGTCGCCTCCAACTGTCCGTAAGGTGATGCTTTGTTGCTGTTGGCGCAGTATGCCCACAACCACACCTTTTTTGCCTCCTTTGCAACGACACGCACTTCCGTTTGATCTTTCAAAGCCAAATTTTGACCCCCTACACGCTTTACAGGGGCAAATAGTGCGCCAGCCGGAAGCTTGACGGTCACCGATTCATCGCTTGGGTTGTGAAGAATCATATGCAAGCTCTTTGCGTGGTCGTGTCCATGAGCTTCAAATCTCATCTCCAGTTTTTTGGCCGCATCATCAAAAAATGTCTTGTGCTTCACCAAGCCTTGCTTCAATGCCTGTGGATCAAAATTCAGACTCTGCAGTTTTCGAACATTCTCTAAGTTCTTGTTGACATCTAGGAGCATAGCTCCCAACACTCGTTTCTTCTCTGTGTTGTCCCCCACTTCCTGAAGAGTGGCAATGATCTTCTGACTGATTTCCACAAGCTCTTGTTCAAGGGCGCTGAAGCGAGATCTCCCTTTAGAGAAGACCTCTTCGAGTGTCGGTTGAGGTAGGCTGCTGCATGGATCACTCCCGTAATTGTCTTTGCCCTTTTTGCACTTGTCACAAAGCTCTTGAAGCGCACGAAGCCCTTGCACTGCAGAGCTGGCAGTCTCAATTTGTTGGCACAGGCTACTTGCAGTTTGGGTCTGGCAGCTGGTACCCTTCCTGGAGAAAGCCAGGAGCAATGCAACAAGGGCCACTGCAAGTGCACTTGCTGTTTGCGCCAAAGCTCTCGACACCATGGCAAAGCAGGAATGCGAACTTTGAACTTAACTACGCAGCAGGCACGGCACGGGTTTGAACTCACTGCAGCTCCAGCCAGATTGTATGTTTTCCAAACACTCCAGTAACGCAGAACACCTGTCAAAAGTATCTCATGGTTCCTTTGCAGGAAAAAACAGCAGAATGATGCAGAACATCCAAGCTTCCATAGCAAGCGCGAGCCTGGCCAGCACAAGACCATCAGCTGTCCTAGCTAAGACACTAAGCCCCCTGACCGCACTCGCTCATGCCCAGTAGGCCAGTCATTCTGCCTTCGTTGTAAACCCAATGAGTGTGAGACATCCCCATGGGAGGCATTTCGTTCTTGAAGCTTGGTCTCAAAGCATAAGAAAACCTATATAAGAAAACATGATGATGTGTTAGTGTCCAGAGCATTCTAACATCTCACATCATCTCACCATTAAGGGGGAAACCTGTAGGAATTCATGTGAAAACACAGAGCCTCTCCAAGGTCTCTCTGGGTGCATCAGCAGCATGCGTTCTCCGGGCGGAGCGGGAGGGCTCACCTGGTCCTGAGGCCGAATCTTTGAAGGTTGTGGATTTGAAATGGGGGTGAGTCTAAACCTATAGGATACCAATGGATACCATGATTTGCGATATTTGGGGGAAATGAACATGGATGAACATCCATTTACCAGATACTTAGCAGCTATCTTGGGGTTCACGAACATACCAAGATTTTAGCCTATAGCCAAGTAAAACGTGTGAAACCCGGGTGTAGCCTGGACGGGACCACAGCGCGAAAGCCGCGCCTGGCGCAAGCCACACATCCAGAAGCACACCCAACGCAGGGATCACAGATGTCAACACAACAAGACGTGATCTTGATCAACTTTTTGAGGTGTCATCTGTAGAATATTGGGTGTTGAAGAATGAAGGATCATTGATATGTATGGAATTGGTTTTCAGCCTGATCCGAGAGCAAGGGCAATGGCGCCCAGGCCCCATCTCCTGCGCATAATTTGGATCAGTCATCCATTGTCACTCTTCAACAAAGTTTGGATATGTTTAGATCTACATTTTTCTTGGTAGAAAGACAACACAACCATAAAGCATCATAAAACTGCTTAGATCACACTGGCTGTCCTCTGGTGGCGGTGAGGATCACTTTTGCGTGGAAAATAAGCCCCACGCTTCCGCGCCATGAAATCGGAAGCGTCTGAGCATGACAGACTGACAAGCAGAGTTTCAACTCAAGCTAGGAAATACTTGAGATGCTGATGCCAAGCAGGAAAAGCAGAAATTCCAGTTGCTACCCCCTTGAATTTCACTCTTCCAATCAAATCATTGAATTAGCGATTGGTCTTGCAGCCCGACAGCGGCAGTTGATTTAATTGATATCTGCCTGGTGGACGCTCCCTATGTCACAGCTCACTGTGGACTGTATGCTGGATTTTGAGCCAACAAGGAAATGAGGGAGCAATCGGTCCAAGTACCCTCCCAATATCTGGAAGGCGGTATAAATTTTCAAATGCACCAATGATGTCCGTGTTGAAGCAAGAGCCACTCCTGTTTCTCCATATATATATATGTGTGTGTGCGTTCTATTTTATTATATTCTTCAATATTCATCAATATTCTACCATCATATCCTCGTCAGCTCCAGATGACAGCGTGAACGCTGCCTCGTGATTGCAGCTTCAAATGTTCAAATCATGCAACCTTTAAGGCCGTTCTAGTCTCCAAGTTCATGGATTCAATTTAAGCTTTCAAGTACAATGATTACTCTGAAAGTGAGAGTCACAAATGGGGGCTTGTCAGAAAATAGGGTAGCTCTAAATATTAGAAACATATGCTGATTATATAATCATGTTCACCAGGAAAATTGAAACTTTGGGGTGAATTCTTCCAGTTTGCGGACACTGTTCGCAAGCATGGCCTCCTTGTCGTCGTCTTCCTGGAGTTCAGCGGACTGGAAACCACACACCAATATATGTGGTTCTTGTGGGTGTCGAAACGGGGTTATAAATGGCTAACCATCGTGATTTCACCCCCGTAATTTGGTACGAGTATATAACTATATATATATATAAAGACAATAACCCATAAATAAATAAATATAATATATATATATAATATATTATATATATAATCAATAAATATCTATATAATATATATAACCCATATAATGAATTTTGCTATATAACCATGCAAATTAAGGGGTTCACTGCACCCCAAGTAGCGACTGATGTCGTCCTGGGACAGTGCCAACATCAAGGCACGCTCCACGCGGTCGCCCAACTCAGGGTGCACCTGGCGCCATGCTTTGGGTTTTCTTAAAGATGTTCACAGTGGGGTAAAAATGAACCCACAGAATTGGTCGTATTTCTACGGTCTCATAGTCATTTTTTGGATTTAACCATCTGTTTTTTGTTGGTGGGTTATCATTTTGATTCAAAGCTCATGTGTTGAAATACCTGTACCTTGGGAAAAGGCTGGTTTTCAACAAAAATTGTTCATCTTCTATCACGGGACTGGCATGTATGTGTCGTAAATATGCTCACAGTTTACACTAAGTCAGAATGTGACAGTGCAACAGTTGCGGCTCAAAAGACGAACAGCCCTTGGAAAGATGATATACGTGTATGTATATATATATACGTATATACATATACCTATATACAATATACAGATATACATAATCGAAGGAAGTTGAGAAGTCAAACTTCCGACAATATGGACAGATTACAAGCAGAGCAGGGAAGAGGCAGAGAGAAGAGAAAGATTAGAAGAAAGAAGAGTAGAAGAGAAAGAGTAAGAAGAAAGAAGATGCAGATGCGTGAAAAGGTAGGAAAGTCGCGAAACACTGTGTTTTTCCAATGATTTGGGGCTCCGGAGGGTCGAAAAGTAGGCTCGCTAAAGCGGCGGGTGCGGAGCCAGCTGGCCAGATGAGAGATGAAAAAGTGCACGCCGTTGTGGCGCGAAGCACATTTCCAAGTCAAAATGTACAAAACTCACCATGTACGGACCATTTTTGAGGTTCAGATGTCGTTTCGCGTGGCAAGCGCCAGTGATTGTGGACCTTGTCAAAAGTGACCAAAACGTGAGGGTTTTGTAGCATTTTCAACTACAACCACCACTACACTACACTACACTCCACTACATTACACTACACTACAACTACAACTACACCTTCACTACATTCCACTACATTACACTCCACTACACCCACTACACTCCACTACACTACACTCAATTACACTCAATTACATTCAATTACACTACACTACATTACACTACACTACGCTCCACTACACTACACTACATTACTCTACACTACACTACCTTCCACTACACTACATTACACTACACTACACTACATTACACTACACTACACTACATTACACTACACTACACTACCTTCCACTACACTCCACTACATTACACTACACTACACTCCACTACGTTACACTACACCACACTACACCACACTACACTACCGTCCACTACACTTCACTACATTACACTACACTACACTCCCCTACACTACACTACATTACAATACACTACACTACCTACCACTACACTCCACTACATTACACTACACTACACTACACTCCACTACGTTACACTACACCACACTACACTACCGTCCACTACACTTCACTACATTACACTACACTACACTCCACTACACTACAACTACAACTACACAACTACACTCCACTACACGACACTACATTACACTACACTACGCTACACTACCTTCCACGACACTTCACTACATTACACTACACTACACTCAACTACACTACAACTACAACTACAACTACACTCCACTACACTTCGCTACACTAAATTACCCTAAATTACACTACACTACACTACACTACATTACACTGAATGACACTGCACCACAGATAGACAGGTAGACAGATAGACAGATAGACAGATAGATGGATAGATAGATAGACAGATAGACAGGTAGACAGCTAGACAGATAGACAGATAGACAAATGAAAGAGGGAGAGAGAGAGACAGACAGACAGACAGACAGACAGACAGACAGACAGATAGATAGATAGATAGATAGGTAGATGGATGGATAGATAGATAGATACATAGATAGACAGACAGACAGACAGATAGGTAGATAGATACATAGGTAGATAGATAGGTAGGTAGGTAGATAGTCAGAGAAAGAGAGAGAAAGAGAGGAGACATCAATCACCTTTCGATCCATCAGTGGCTTCGCTCTGCCATCCGTGATTCACAACAACCAACCTTTTCCTATAGGTTTCCTATTTTTGAAACTTCCGCCACCGCCTTGTGCGGTACTACTGGTATGTGCGAAATTGTACGAATTTACGATGGTCAAAACATTGTAATATGGGTGTCTGGTCATCCCACCGTCATGAAGCGGATTCCGTGTAATGAGTACATCAATTAAACACCCCGAAATGGGAGAGATGACCATCCCGTCATGCCTGCCTATGACACGGACAAACCCAATGGTGGATCAATAGGGACTCCCAGTTCAAGAATGGATTGATAATCGTTGATAACCCGCAATGCATTGGATAAAAATCACATGTAATCATCGGCCAACCATCATTGATCAATGATATCCCCATGTTTGATGAGTGAGATTTGTTGAGACCCTATCAACAATGGTTACCCTCTGGCAAGTTGTTACATAGCTATGGTTAAAAGTGCCATTTAGTTACAGGTGATTTACCTATAAAAATGATGATGCTCATGATGTTCCATAATCTTCACCATTTTTAATAGGTAAATCACCATTTTTTATAGGACATCCAGTTCCACGCCTCATAGTCCTCCGTGGTCCTCTCCGGCAAGTCCAAGTCGGTAAAGAGGATGGAGTCGTACATGTACCTGGCGAAGAACCGATTCAAAAAAAGAGACTGGATTGCAAAACATTACAACATATTGATATAATTGATATAGTAATCTACTGTATATTAATCATATTACAACATACTGTATATCATATACAATAGTAATCATAGATACCAATATACAATGATTCTATGATTCTATGCACCATCAGCACACCATCAGTGCACCATCATGCACCAGAAATGCCACATCTATGAACAGAAATCATATGATTTCAGCTGCTTGATTGCTAGCAGCACCCAAAGTTTCTCTGATGCTTCAGCTAAACTGGTTCCTTTCCCATCCTTTCTCGCAGCCTGGGGTTTGCATCACCCATGGCTCTGTTGAGACGCGTGAACTCTGAGGTGGGCCTCACGGAAATCCAAGTGGATCCATGGTGTATAGCCCACAGTGATGGGGATATCTAACAATCATCATGATTATAATGGCTTCGTAAAACCGATCAGAATAATGAGAATAATAGTTGATAAGCATTATATATTCATAAATATGTTGTCAAAGTAATTGATAGTAATACTAATAGCAATAGCAATAGTACATAATAGATCATAATAGTATATAATAGTACTGTAATCATCGCCATCATGATCATGTTCTCCTTCTTGAGTCTGAGTCAGTACTCTTAGAATTCAATCCACCATGCAAACCAACGCATCAATCTAGGTTTGTCTCAAAGTTCTGACTTTTCACCATTCAAATATAATCAAATAACCATTTTATGGCTATCCCAATGGATATCCCCCCCTTGACACCCAACTCACGACGCCAAACTCCATCGCGCCCAGCGCCTTGGCAGACCAAGGACAGAGCCTGGCCGCTGAGGCCGATTCTCCTGGCAGTGAGAATGGTCGGCTGCGAGAAATCATGGGGGATATGGGAACATTATCATTATAAGTGCAAATTGTGTGATATATTCTTGAGTTATGTTTGATATTTGTTTTATATATGTGTCTTATATATTTCATACATACATATATATATATATGAATATATGAATTCAATTCAGATTCGTCTTAAAGACATTATTATGTTTAACTGCTTAACCATGAATCGCTTGGACACCCAACATCCACCATCCAGTGACATCCAGCAGGTGTCCCAAGAATTGATGTTTCACTCATCCCAAGACTTGATGTGGAAATTCCATCCGATGCATGGTTTGTTATTTGGTGAAGAGCACCAATGGTTGGGGGTGGGCGCCCCATTTTTGGAGAAACACATCTGCGGAAAAAAAACATGTTGAACAACAGATTGGTATCTATCATTGGAAGTCTCCGCACGGGTCTCAAATGGTTTGAAATGCGTGGTACCCCATATTAGGATCGCTAGGGACCCCGAATTGAATAGATCCAAAACTAAACCGGCGACTTGTTTGATTCTTCTTTGTTGCAAGGTCATATATCGTAATCATTTGAATAGGTGTAATTCCCATATGACATGAAATCAACAAAGTTTCCCCTGCAACCAGCAGATCCTCACTTACCACGGCGCACCTTGTCCAAGGCCACAGGGGCAATCTTGGCTCCGGCGCAATGCAGCGACTTTTACTGTGAAAAACTTACTGGTGCTTAGCAGGGAATGGATGGGAATATATGGGAATGGGGGAATGGGATGATTATTACTAGTGATTATGGATCATTCCCTCATTCCCTGCTAAGCACCAGTAAGAAAAATCTGTATAATTATTTGGATTGTCATGGTGAGACGTTCCTGAAAGTCTCCATAAACCAACCAGCTCTTACACAAACGAGCTTTTACACACACCAGCTTCTACGCAAACCAACTGTTCGACCAACCAGCTTTTACACAAACCACCTTTTGCACCAACCAACTTTTACAAACCCGTTTTTACACAAATCAGCTTTTACACAAACCAGCTTTTACACAAACTAACTTTTAGACAAACCACCTTTTACGCAAACCACCTTTTCACCAGCTTTACACAACCCCTGCGTTGGGCCTGTAGGCCAAAGGCCCCGGCGGAATGCCGAAGGCTGTTAAATAATTGCAGTACGTCTTAATACCTTTATTCATACCCAGCTGATCCTCTATGAAAGGTCAGGGCAGAAAGTGCAAATGGCGAAGAACAACACCTTCCAACTTCACCATGAAATAACGTTATCGCTTCAAGTTCACCATGTTGCTTTCCATGGTGTGCGACCAAATTTCAACCGCAAGACCTCTCATGTGAAGGTTTCTGATGGTTTCTGCATGGAGCTTCTAGGTCTTCTCTCAGTTCCTGTATGAAACTTGGATACCTCAGGGTACCCCCAGACATCCCCAGGTGTAAATCATACCCACCCAAAAACATTGATCGACGTAGTAAACTCTGCGAACTCCGAGTTCTCGGCTCTCCATTCATCTTCTTCTGGATCCCAAACAGCACGCTCTTGCGTATTTTGGATCTCCTGGATCATGAATCTAACTTCACCTTCCAACATCTTCATCTTCCAACTCATGTTTGGCTCAGAATGCACCCCGAGCTCTGTTGCAACCTAGTCAGAATTTGCAAGACAAAACACAGAAAAACCCTACTGATTCAGGTGATCAAAGAATCTTAATGGTACTGGTAATGCTACCAACACTACACTCCTGAATTCTATCGTTGAACTTCATGCTATTCCTGAAGTCACCTAACATGGCACCAACATGGCACCTGCCCTGCACATATCCCACTCAGGTGCGCCAACATGGAACCCATGTTTTATTTTATTTTATTGTACAACGTTAGTTTTCGAGAGAGTAAGGCTGCAAATGGAGTCCCTCCTTCATAGGCACGAAGGACTCCATGATGAGAGACTCAGGACGTTGATGCTGTGCTTTGGGATGGGGCTATTCCCACTTCAACATGGTTTTACAGCGGCTTTTTGGGCATGAGAAATCCTGGGATCAAACATGATTTGGACTTCGTTCTACCATGGTCCACTGTGGAGATTGGACATTGACTCTGGAAGAGAACAAAGGTCCCCTGTGAATTGTGCACCTGCTGATGGACAAACACTTACATCCCGCCTCCCCAGGACGTGCAATTTGAAGCTGGGTCGCTATTCTACCAGCGTAGCCAGAACATGGGAATTGCTGAGGATTGACGAAACAAAATCGAGAAACCAAAAGGATACAAATGGTAATTCAATGTAATTCATCAAAATGAACGCAATCCTGATAGCTATCAGAAAAAATCAATTAACAACCAAATTCCTTGTCAGAATTCCAAGCTCTCAGAGTTCGAGATTCTTCAGCCACCTTCAGCTTCAAGGTTTGCCGTAGCTCACGGATCATTGACAGCATGTCCTGGAAATTGCTGATGTGTGGTGCAAGAATCGGATAGCGGTATCGATGTGGACACATGAATCTGGTTATTTAATGTTATTTAGTCATGAGTCATATTGGACACTATCTCCACAAATGTTGGCAAGTTTAGGTACTAAACCACAAAATCACAAATGTCATGTTTGATCCTAAACCATCCAAAACATGGTGTCACGAATTTCGAGCCATGCCTTTCTAACCGGCAAACAAATGCACTGTCAGTTCTGTAGCAAGTCCCCGGAGGCCTCACGCTCTTGCTGATTGAAGTGTTGAATGTCCACCATTTCCTGCTGCCCCTTCTGGTACCTTGTATGATATCGGCATATAACAGGGAAGTTACTGGAGAAAATACGGGAAAGTAGATGGAACCGGCAATGGGTCTTTGGATGTCTTTTGGCTATGCCCACGCCAAGCAGTTCAGGCCATGCTGGCAACTTTCCTTGCCATTTCCTACATCATCTGCATCCTAATGTTCGTTCGTTCAATCCCCATGCGTTTTAGTTTGCACATGTTGGCACCCCAGTTTCCCTATATTCAACCCTATTCTACCCTATTCTTGTCAGTTAAATCATCTTAAACCACTTATATCAATCATCTCTGAAATCACCTAATTATGTCTGTTGCTTAAATCCCTGCTGGTTTGTTGAGTCAAATCCATGCGTTTCCCTATCAGCCTACCAGCATCTGCTAAGGGCACTTGTCCCAAAGCTTCTGGAGCTTTGAGGTGAGCTTCGAGACCTGATCCGCTAACCGTTGCTAACCCTGGGACCCTGGGATCAGATGGATCAATATGATCGATGCATTGGTATTACATGGTATTACGGTATAAGGAAAAAGATGGAAAAAAATGGAAAATGTGTCAGATTGTGTCAGATAAACTCAGGCTGGTTGAGGACTTGAATCTGTTCAAACACTGCACCAGAACGGGTCAGAACAGCTGGGATAACGTGGAGCCATGGCCCTGGATCTCCGACCTGCTCCTCTTGTGAAGCACATCTTTCCACCAGCTCGATGTTCTCCTGCCTCTGTTGCTCCTGACTGCTACTTGCCACGACGGAAACAAGCTGGGATGTCTGCTGGTGCTTGGATGATGTGCCCAACGTCACTTGAAAGGCTGTCCCATCAGAAGTAGATATAGAAAATATGGTTCCACATGTTTCAACCATTGTGTGGCATAGTATACATACATATACGTACAGTATTTGCCACTTTTGGCTTGCCTTTCAGAGTCCATGTTTCTGAGGTTTCATGTGACCTGACGGATCATACGGATCAGCAGTTGCCTCAGATGCCTGTCCTCCTGGCGTTTCAGCTCCTCTTCTTTTTCCTGCGGTAGGCAGCTGGGACTGTGCGAACATCGGACTTGACATCTGACCCCAAGAATGACAATAAGAAATAACCATAGTCTCTTGGAAAACCGTCTTCCCAAGCCACTTTGGAGGGTCCATCTTTTCAATGTTCGAGTGGGATAGATTGAGATACAGAACTCAGCTAACCGCATCTGCATGCAGCACATCCCACCCCTGCGGTGCCTGCTGTTTCCTCAATCGTCGCTGCTGCCTCCAAGGCGAATTGAACTGGTGAATCAGGTAGCCATGGAAAGTAATTACGAGGATTTGGGGTATCACTGAAGCACCAACCAAGCAATTTTAACTATGATTGGATATGATTGGATTAACGATGGATTAAACTATGATTGGATTAACATGGATTAACTATGGTTCACCAAACTTTGGTGATGGATGAACTACGAGTAACATTGATTAACCCAACCATGAACCATCCATGACGCAAAATGGCGCAAAAAGCTTGGCACCTCTTCAGCTCCTCCTCCTGCTGGATGGCTTGTTCCATGACCTCTTCAGGGGGTCAGCTGGCTCCAACTTTAAAGCTGAAATCTGACCAGAAATTGATGACAAAACGACATAATGATATAATGTATTTCTAAGTTGTGTATCATTATGTATGACATTGTGTGTATATTCTATCATAATATACATAAATATATATATAATGTATGGTTATATAATCCATACCGTTCCATACCTATCAGCGCCAAAATCATTGCCACCAAATGCCACAAATGATAATCACCCTTCTGTTTCTGAGGGCTCTTCGCCCCGGCCTGTTTACCCTGCACCATCTTCATTTCCATCTGTTGCAGCTTGGCTTGGAGCTCAACCTTGTGCTGCTCTTCCTGTCAGGTCATCAGCCCCAAATGAAACCATCAGGGCTTCAGGGGCCCGCAATGAAGCCACAAAATCTTCCATGGAACTGTGTTCAATGTGAAGGTCCAGAATTGTGCAGAAAATTTTATTGGAACACCAGATCCAATTAGCGCGACATGCGACATCATCCTGTCCGGTAACCGTTATATGTTTCACAGCTCAACGCAGCCTGTCACAGCCTGAGGAGGTCCTATTATCACAGGGGTCCTTGAAAGAGATCTGCTCTTCCTCATCAATCTGGGCCATCAAGCGCAACCTGCGGCTGCGTCATCCGGTGAAGATAAGGAGCTAAATCGACTGAGTCGAGTCGAGCTCATCATGCTGGGTGACAACCATAGAAGGGTCAATAAGGGCTGAGAAATCCCTGGACATGTTGAATATGTAATCTTTTAGAGTCTTTGAACATCTGCCAAATAGCAATATATAAACATCTATAGGTTCTTTTTTCCGCTGATCATCACCGAATTCAGATACGTGAGTTCGCCCTTTCCGGACCAGAATGACCCCAAGTCTTCTGATACACTTTGGGCATCTTTGGGCTAGGTTCAAATTGGATACCCCCAGAAATTGCATGGTCAATTCCATAAAGTATCAATCAACAGGCAACGATGTGTAGAAAAATGTGTACTGTACGAGTAGAATCCATTCAGAAATTCCGCTCAGAGTTCGCCTCTCCGACTCTGCGAGGTCACGCTGGGCCTCCACCTTCCACTTGTCAATCTGTTAAACTGAGGATCTACGATTAATGATTAACCAGTAACTTACACTAATCAGTAACCTACATTATCAATGATTATCATCTAATATCTACTGAAAATCCTGCAAATCCGAACCATCAGTTTGATCAGGCAAAATGCCATGTTTGTTCCTGTTTCTTCCATTTTTTATTGAGTACCTTCTGCGTCCTCACGAGATCTTCCCCAAACCCCCCCGGCCTCACGACGTCTGGCCTCCGCCTTGAGCCGAGCCTCCTCGTTCTGCTGACGCAGCTGCGCCTGAAAAAAAAAAGTGACTCAGACTCAGTCGATTAAAAAAAACAACAGAAACTGACAACTAGTCTAGCACCAAACGACTGCAAGTGATACAAAATTGGCCTCAAGCGATACCAATCTTCCAAAAATATTCCAAAATATTCCAAATGCAAACTATAAAGATGTATTTTAAATTATTTTAAGATGTATTTAAAGATGTATTTTAAGATGCATAAAGTGCAGCTTAAATGACTTGGCACTTCCTATCGATACGCTGCTGCGACAGGCGCATACAGGCGCGGCAATGCCGCTTCGCCTCCATGGCAGCGACCTCGTCGGGGCTCGGGCCCTGTTCCACAATGACCTGAGGCCATGGGTTCAAAGTGGACCTCCACTCACCAGAAAAATAATGAAAAATATAGAAACATCATGAAACATCATGAAACATCATCTAAAATTGAACTCGTAAAAATTGCTGGATATTCTGAATCATATTCTATCTACTTCATGATGGGCATAGTCCGTACAGTACGATATTCAATTCGCATATATCACGTCGTTTCCCAAGAACCAACACGGTGCGGAGAAACTCGAAGGCCATACCTCCTTCTCCACCGTTCTCTCAACAATCTTCTCCACATACCTCTGCCAGGCTGGAGTCTGGAATAGTCTGGGGCCAAGGAACTCACATGTTCAACGGCTTTCGCCCCCTCTGCGCTTGTAACTGTAGTTTGGTGTGCAGAAAACAACATAGTATGGGATTAATATGCAAATACTGCAAATGTTGGTCAGATAATGTTAGAGAAAAGAATTCAGAATGGTATCGTTCTACCATGGATCAATGACTGGTAGGTGAAGTATGGTGAACTGCTTTCTTTGAGTTTCAACTTATCCAAAAGAAACGTGTACTGTCGTTTGGAGGAAGCCTCTACCATTTTCTGAAAACTCTGAGACGGGCACTCCACTTGCTTCTCGATCCGTGGTCGACCGTAAATCGGCATCTGATGAGGCTCAAGCGGTGCAATCCAACCACTGACTAGCTGTCTATGTCTATCTATATCGGAATGATCGATCAAAGTGATCAATTCATATTTCAATTCTAGTTGGGCTTTGGGCCAGAATATTGTTCTCGACATGAGGATGGGCACAAATCATCAGCAGAAATCAAACTTCCCCTGGATCATCCAAGGCACTCCATGCTCATCCACCTCTCCACCAGCGGCCTCTAGCTCTGCCTCAGGGGTCGATTTTACCCCTGTCAGACAGTGTAACTACTGAAAATAGCCTCAGGTGTTCAAACGGAAAATGAATGAAGGAAAGTCTTGAAGACATATTGATTTTCTGGAATTGGGGATTTCAACATAATTTCCAACCAATTTTCAGACATTGAGACCCCAGGTCCCCAACAGCCTTCATTCTGTTTCGAAATCATCGCACCTTGAGTCTCAGGATCTCCTCCTGGTACTCGCGAATCATTGCGTCCTGGCACGGGGATGTTAATTCCAAGAATGGAATCTAATGTATTTGAAGTTTTTGAAGCAGGAAGCGCTGCTTTGACCTAGACGTACCTAGACCTTGTGCAGAATTCATTATTAAAATTCTCAAGGCCTTGGAACCCGCCTGTGAATTATTTTCAGTCGATATAAAGTTCCAAGCCATCCCAGCGCGTATTCGTCTACTTCCACTGCAGCACATCTTGTCATACCCACCTTGGGATCTTCGTTGATGCGAGGCTTATTCTTGATGCTCTTGGCACGGTACGCATACCTGGCGCCCCAGCTGAGTGTCCTTCCCTGGTTTCCATCAGGACAGCATCACCTTTGGCACAAGCGTCAGTGCAAAAGACTTGGAAGGTCTACTTTGGCCAGTTTTGTGTCTGAACACAAAGGCGAACACATTTGGGAACCCCCCAAAAAAAACAAGGTCGTTAAAATAGTCTTAAATTAAATATGATTAAATCATATTAGATCATGTTAAATCCCCCAATCAGAGCTATACTAATGCTATATACCCAAGCTGAATTCTGCACTCCAAGGGCTCCACCTCAAGGTTGAGGCAGTTTCGTCGTAGTTGTAGTCTGCAGGCCTTGGCAATCTCTGGGCATCTGACGATGCGGATTAAGTCGATGAACTATGGTGAACTATGATGAACTGGCTTAAAGATTTCAACATAGTTCAACCCCATTGAACCCCTATCTACTCACCAGATTTTGGTGACCCTCTGTGAAAAAGCCCGTCTTCCAAGTGCTCAACCCAATGTTGGCAACCATGATAGTCTTTGTGTTGCCACCCAAGGAGTCCTGTGGCGCCAGTTCATTGGGGGAATAACTTAGAGTTACCCTGGCAATCAATCGTTCGATTCTAGATTTTGATCTCGATTCCGGCTTCCAAGTGCCTCAGGCCCTTGATTCTGTGATTCTGGCATACGTTTCAACATATCACCATCATTCACCATCCAGAATTAATATGCTATTAGTATCTATTAGTTATTATGCTGACTAACTGTATTCCAGCCCAAGAATCCAACAAAAGGAACAGAGGATGTTGATCACCGAGATGTCCCCCTTCACCCCTATCGTCTCTCAAACGTCTTCAGCTGCCACGAGTCTCCTGCAGAAGCCGCGTCAGCCTGGAGTCTCGGTATGGGATGTGTGACGACTTCCTCAGCGGCGCGTCAAAAGTCTACCATTGATGGTGTCACCCATGGACAGTGGGGTATCAGAAAAAGTCCCTACTTGTAACCGGACCATTCTCGTATGCTGGGGATGTATATATATATATATACATATATAATACATATAAATTGGATAAAATTGGGCACTATAAATTGGGGAACATGTGCGTGCTGGTCAGCTGCTCTCATTTTGACTCATAAGTGGTTAGAAGAGAGCAGGGCCATGAAACCGCACACCTGAGCTATGCAAAACGACCAAACTCCAACAGCATTCCGAATCGGCCAAGGTGCCCATCTACCAATGCAGAGATGACATTCCTGCGTGTTGGGGAGGTGTCACGGGATGTCACGGGAGGAGGCCAGATTGGGCATGTCGGAGGCCAAGCCAAGACCCCCATTCCCAGGCAGTCCCGAGCGCTGACAGTGATAGGTTGATCTTGGTCGCCTCCTTCAACCGCTCCCCGGTGGCACCTCAGGGCATGGCTCATTGATGGGATATCCTGGTCAACCAACCAGAATGGGGATATGAAAAAAGACAAGTTTGGGGGATGTCTCATGTTTGAGACTAGTTGCCTGCCCTATGGGGTATCCCGGATTTCACCACCGACTGCAGCGGCATACTACCTGCTGGCGCAGAATTCGAGGCACCTGTCTTGCTCTGTCGCTCAGAACCAGCCAGGTCCACCATGTTCAGTTTGCCCACCTGTCACCATCAGCACCAATCTCTTCCCCAGAATGATTCACAGAACGAAACCGCATACTGGCCCCGAAAATATGTGGATCCAATGCTGCACCAGGATTTCCTGGGCCATTATGTTTATATATATAAATATGTGTGTGTGTGTGTGTCACACAAAAAATTAGGACACCTGCGACCCTGGGGCACCCGAATGTGACCAGCACCATCTATCCCCAGGCCGCATTGCTCCACCTCAGAAGAACTTGCGGCTGGGGCAGATGGAAAACGTCAGGAAAACCAGCCTGGAATCGCCTTGAAGGGTAAAAATATGGATCTGGGAAGCCACCAGGAGACCAGGACCTGAGAACTCTGACCGTGATCATGAAGATGGAATGCGACCGAGATGACCTCAGCTGGAACGTCCCTGGGGAAACCTGAGAGATCGAAGTATAATAATATTAATAATAATATTAATGTAACTTGTAGTTTAGTTGACTTCCTTCCTTGGCTACAATCCATCTTGTGTTCAATTCCAACCTCTTAACCCAGACTTGGAGTATTTATTTCTAGCGCACAGAAAGATACAGATGAGTACCCAACGTCGCGTTCATCATCGTGGCCCCAATGGCGCGGTTGGCCAAGCCAGCATCCAGGATCTGGCCCAGCTATGCCCAGCTGCCATTGTGATCATTGTGGTGAAAAATTGGAACTTTTGGGAAGATTGGAAAGCAACAACATGGAACAACAGTACTGATATGTACATGGAACAAATCTGAGTGTCACTCTGACCGAGAAATCTTTCTGACCTCTTCCAGCAAATCCACAAACAACTTATGAATGATGCAAAAGTCCGGTTGTCATCATTTGATCACAAAATTGGGAGTATCGCATGGTATCACACTCCCCTGATCCTCCCACTCCTCGAGCGCCGGCAATTTTTCAAACGGTCAACGGTTTTTTTTGGGCGTGATGACTGGCCGCCCACAGATGCAATGCTCGGCGCCGTACCTGGTCATGCTTGGAATGTATGGCTGGAGACCGCAGACTTTACAATTTCGCGAACTGATTTCCAGCACATGGATACATCATGATACATCCATTTTGGCACGGATTTGGGTGCCCAATTGCGGGCCCCAAGTCTGATTTCCCGGAGCACATTGACAGGCACACACCGTCCAACTGATATCCACACCTTGGAAGTGTCACGGAAACAAATGGCACAGCCCTTCAGGACATATTTACAGCATTTTTGGCTTACACCTGTCGAATTGTCAAGGGGCTGCTGTTACAAATTTTGTTCTTGTCTGAAAATACAGCACAGCTTAAATATTTCATGGTTTGAAATTTGAAACCTAACTTTTTCCATATTTTCGGAATCAAAATAAATCCACCACTTTTTGCCCCAAAAGTGAACTCAGGCTGGGAGTCTGACTCTCGAGCTAGGCTGGGCTTTGGTGGCCAAAACTCCTGACGTTTCGCAGCCGGCTACGTTGGAGTTCTTTGGAACCACACTTCGGCACTTTCCAGTATAGAATCTATCAGAACCAACAAGAGACATCTGGCACTAATCAGAAACACTACAGAAAAACTGCATAAATTTGATGTTGTTTTGTTTCCACCCCTATTTCGGGCGAGGTTGCTCCCACAGGTGGCGTCCTTCTTTGTGAGTTTCTCCCGCAGCGCGGCCAGCTCCTCAAAAAGAACGTGGCAGGTGCAGTAAATCGTTGTTGGGATCCCAATGGTCAGGCTCCATGTTGAATGTAGAGAGTGTATACGTATACACAAAAGAATTGGATAGTTGAGTAGAGTCTACTGAGAATATCTGACATGGCCTTCATCCACTTTCATGCGTGAAATGTTTGAACAATGACTATATACTATATATACATATATACATTGTTTTTGTGTAAATGTTTATGACAAACATCCTATGGACTCACCATCAAAAAGGATACTTTTTAACCACCCATGGCTGCATCAAATCCAAATCGAAACGGGGCCTTTGGGCTCGCGGAGGACGCAAGTTTGTACAGATCAATGGAGACCTTCCTCGCGACGGAGCTACACCGCTACACCGCTCTAAAAAATATCCCCAATGTGCTGCAAGTGACTGGTAATTTCACACATCTTTGTTCTTGACTGATATATATATATATATATATTACATATATATATATATATATACGTATATGTAATATAAATGAATATAATATATATATATATATGTTTATTGTATAATTTCTAATTACATCTTTGTTCTTGTTTCTTGGTCCAAAGCTTACTTAGTTCTACACGCTTCCCTGGTCTCCAAATCAAAAGAAGCGATCTGTGTGTTGCGCTATCAGCTGAGACTCGCATCCCAGCAGGGATCATGGACAGACGAATCCTCAGGCTATCCCGGATGAGTTGGTTCCTAGGGAATTGCCACATTGGATGACTGGTTGGTGGTATACCTACTCCTCTGAAAAATATGAAAGTCAGTTGGGAAGGATTATCCCATTGCCCATATATTATGGAAAAATAGAAAATGTAATGAATATGTTCCAAACCACCAACCAGATGATTTCTACTACTCAAATTAGTATCAGTGTGGTACAACATACACAGTGTGATACCCTGCGAGAATGGTGTGTGAACAATGAAAACACAGATAAGAATCATCAAACAGCAGTTTGGGGAAGTTTGGGACGTTCCTCAACTCAGAGTGGTTGCAGCATTTTTCTCAAATTTCATTCCAAGATACCGGTTCGCGTCCCAGCAATACTCGAGCCTCATGGCGCAGGGAGAAAACCATCCCTTTCTCGTTGCTGAAAATCTCCGAGAGGTTCACGGTGCCAGTGAAATCCTGAGCCATGTGGCTTGATGCTTGATGGGCTTGGGGCACCCTCTCGGTGTGGCCAAGAACAACACAGCAAGGTCTCTGGCCATCAGTGCTACATCTGAGTCCTTCGAATGGTTTCCCCGTGTTTCCCGGTTCCCCCGCAAGCCCAAGTGCACCTGGCCCTCGTTCAAACTCATCCACTCGATATCGCCCTGTGGCTCTTGGCCAACTAATATCGCCCTCCTCACAGCAGCTCAGGGTCCAGTTGCCCAACCAGGCCCATCCAAGTCTCCAATGGTTGAGGGTCATTTTTCTTTCCAGACCCACAGAATCACAGATTCTGAGTGGTGTTTGAATATTGATCATCCATTTTTAGGATCTTTTAGGTGCCCTACTTGGGATTGTCTGAAACATTTGGGAAAAAAATCCAAAAAAATTAGCGGTTAAAAGCATCATTATATATCCCCATTAGAAATTCCACACTTGGGGGATCAAATCTTCCATTTTCAGACACGCGCCAGTAGATCTCCATTTTGCTCGTGAAATCCCCAGTTTTGATGGTACATCCACCATACTCCATCCCCTTTCCCCTATCATTATTCAATCCCAATATTCGATCCTCATTTTGCCATATTTTCCCACTTCAACATACTTCAACCAGCATTTTGCATGGTAAATCCCAGCATTTTGGTCTCCCGCAGCTGAACTTCATCTCCTGGGAAGCAGTTCCTGCAGTTCCCTGCGCGCGCGGTCCAGGCTCAAAGCCCTCTGGCCGTCCAGGTCCCCAGGGTGCAAACCCGTGAAGGGCGTCAGGTAGCTGACCACCTCCAGGTACCAAGTGGTCACAACGCTACTGGTGAAACTTGTAAGGTATACATCCAAAATGTTAACAAATCGATAATTATATGATTATATGAAGATAATTGAAGATATGTAATTGAGTTGCATTTGAATGCAACCTAATTTTGGTATGCATTTGTTTTTAGGCGTGCTGTTTGATCTTGAAACTTTGGATGCCCAAAAACAAACCAAAGATTGGCCATTCTCCAAGCAAGCTGCCTCTCTGGATGGCTGGATCAAGGTCCTTTTGACACAATCACCTTTGCCATCCACCAGCGCATAGGAGCAAGGCATTCGATCGCTCTTCTCATGGCTTTTTCCCACAGCCACACATTCAACGTCCAAGGAGAAAATCTCCTGCGAGGACGTCACGTCATATGTCAGGATGCGCTGATGGTCACAGCAAACTGTCCGTCAGGTCGGTCAGACTTTGATCCCAAATCAATATTTTGGGTACCAAATCTGACCTATTGCCAATATGCATATAAGGAACATAGCACACCCAATTCAGAAAGAGTCTGAAACCCCAGTTCCAAACCTTTGTTTTTCACATGTTGTCATGCTGGGTACCAACAGTGCTGGTCACTGCGACGTTCCATATGATGTCTCTCCCTCCTCTGGCGGATAGACTGGCACCGCTGCTGTACCTTAGGATCCACTTCGAAAATGTCCCAAAAATCCATCTATCATCATCTATCATCATCTATCTACATGAATGTCCCCATAGATCCCCATAGATTTGACATGATTTGACGTACTTTTTTCCAAGGCGCTGCCTCGTTTGGCCTGCGGTTTCAAGGGCTTCGGCTTCTGCGGCTTTTGCTTCGCCTTCTTCGCCCGGCGGGCCGTGGCGGCCGTGGCGGCCGTGGCGGCCAGTCGCGCTGTCGCCACGGTGACCTGGGGAGGACCAGGACAAGTTCCTGACAGGTGGATGGAAGAAATGCACCACCAAACGGATGGTTGAAACCCATTGAAACCCATTGAAACCCATTGAAACCCATTGAAACAATGGGATAAACAATGGGATTCACCACCTATCAACTGGTGCAGGATTTCTTCCATCCACCGTATTTTGAAGATCTTTTTGAAGATTGGGAGATAGTCGGATGAGGGATGTATCCACCCATAACTCTGAAATAACCCACAGCACATGGCTGGTGCATTCCGCTCGAATTGAGGCCTCCAGCATTCATCCCACCTGTGTTGTCGCCAAGTGGCGCAATAACTGGGCGCAAAAGTCGAGGAATGGCGACTGGAAAGCCAGGTGTCCCATCCCCTTCGCTGGCAGATGGGTGTTGGGTGGTGCAAACTGGTGAAATTCAGCAACCTGTCTATGGTCCCACAAGTACCCAGCTGTCAGCACCTGGCTTGTGTCTATCCCACCTTTTCTGCATGGCACTCTTGCCTTTTAAGCTAAAATAATGGTCAACATGGAGAGCCTTCCCACGGAACTCCGCCGGGATGTTAGCAATGCCGGCCGCCAATGGGCCGTTTGCAGCGCTGTGCTGCGCTCCATGGGTAGCGCAGTGCACATATTGATCATTCATGGAATATGGCATGCGCAGCCTTCAATTAGCCTAGCAGCTAAGCAACAAATCGGGATCAAAAACTATGAATGATCACTAATGTCATTACATTTCTACATATTTGGAAAGGAACATCCATTTACCAACTTTAACAGCTATCTGAATTCACCAGAGTGCCAAAAATGCCAAAAACATTACCCCACAACCGCATTTTCCAACCATCGCCAGGACTGGAAACTGACCCAGGGGTGCAGCCATATGATTCGCATCATAGGAGTAGCTTATGTCGTTTCTACTTTTGAAGTTCGCCTCTGTGGATCTCAAGTTTGCGTGGCTTGTGTTCATGCCAACTGCTTGTAGATGCTCATTCTGTCGTTCCATGTCTATGAAAATTTCTAAACACTGGGAGGAGCCAAACTCTGGACCTTGGCCACAACCATTCCGCGGCACATATTGCTATGGCTTCAAATCCAAGGCCCACAAAACCTCTGATTTTGACCATGTTTCGTATTCGAGCGATTCGAGCATCCAATTGTTTGGGGGTACCCACTATAACACAAATACAATCCCGATACAGTTACAGTCCCTTCTCAGCGGGCCCGTACCTTGTATTTCACGGGTCAACATGTCAAAATGTGTGAAGTACCACCCAAAAATCCTCAAAATCGTCATGTGTCTGAAAATGTGGAAATCCACCCAATGGCAATGATACTGATGATGATGATGTTGATGATGATGTTGCTGATGATGGTGATGTTGCTGATGTTGCTGATGTTGCTGATGTTGCTGATGTTGCTGATGTTGCTGATGTTGCTGATGTTGCTGATGTTGCTGATGTTGCTGATGTTGCTGACGTTGCTGATGTGGACGATGCTGATGCTGATGCTGATTCTGATTCTGATGATGCTGATGCTGATGTCGCTGATGTCGCTGATGTCGCTGATGTTGATGCAGCTGATGATGATATTTATATAACTATGATCAATAATGACAATACTGATAACACTAATAACACAAATAGCATCACAATAATACTAACGATGATTAATAATAATTAGATACAATAAATAAACATCACAATATGTAACAACAATAGTAAACCATTGGACTCCCATTGGACTGTATGTTTTGTTCAACATGTTCATCCAAGACTTCTCCGTTTTCGAAGCCTGGTTCATCTCTTCGGTGTTTTTCACCACGAAGGCCGACAAATCCTTGACATAAACTCCGCCCTGTGGGTGGTCCTAGGGCGGGCGAAAACATGAGGAGGTGCGTCTGAAGAACGGGACATGCTCATGGTAAAATGGCAGTTTTTGTTGTTTAAGGGTAAAAATGCGGACTGAAATATATATTATATATAATATATATAATTTGATTGATTAAAATTGGGATTTAACATGATTTAACATGATTTAACTAGGAAAAATGGGGAGCCAATGAAGATACCTCGGGGCAGATATGGTTCTGACCATCTTCAATTTGGTGCGTCTGAAAATGGGGGATGCCATGGGATGCCATGGGATGGTGCCATCCAAAATCGTGTTTAAGACATATCAATACATATCATCCAATTGTTGCAGTATCCATTGATATCCATTGATATCCATTGATATCCATTGTTCAATACATATCATGAAAAAAATTGGGAGTTGCAGATTTTGACCGAAATGAATCGAAATGATGGATATCACAAAAAAAAAAAACTGCAAATATCTGCAAATCCACAAGCCGTGTTCTTCCCATCTCTCCTTCAGCTCACATCGCTCTTTGGGGTTCTTGGCCAACAAGTCTCGGATTTCCTGCTCTTTGAGGTGTTTGGAATCAAAGGCTTTGGCTGAAAATCTATGCTTCTGCATCCTACTCAACCCTGTTTAAGGAACGGATTTGTCACGATTTGTCTACTTGTACGGTCCATCTCCGGCTGAAAACTTAAAATGCATCTGCGACTCCACTCAAAGCCTCATTGTAAATTTCCAAGTAGGAGCCTCGAACCAGGTACCTGCGCTTAGCTTGACACTCCAGGTCCAAAGGCTAGAGCCATTTAAAGCCCCAAGCCACAAAAGCTGCTCCATGTTTAGTGGAGCCTTCGCCCTCTGTAGAAACTGAAGTGTCACTGAAGCAGTACAGCAAGCAACGCTGCACTATCTGCTCTTAGTGACTTGATCTGCCTCTTTTTTCTATCTCACCTATTCTCGCCGCTGCCGCTGCCGGTGGCAGTCGGGCTGCAGCTGTGTGGGATGTCAAGATCAGTCTGGTGGGCAGCATCTTGCGCGCGTTAAAACTGCACAGTTGCTGCCAACGATATCCTTTCAGATACTGGAAAACCACATGGCTCCTGTCTCTACATTCTATGCACCAGTGTTTCCCAAACCAAAAATGTCGGGAACTTAGGCTCCGACTTTCAAACTGTGCGGCTCTTCGAACTCAACCAGTCAAGGTTGCTGTACATTGGAAAGCGCACTAATCGGCGCAATACAGTTCGCACAGGACATGCTACTTATCGGCATGTCCTGCAACCATATTGGAAACACCAGTAAGTCCACAAACCCAACTGACGACCGCGAAGGCAACGCTTTCCACAGGGGCCTCGGATTTGAAAATGACAATAATCTAAAATCTAAATAGGTCTAATATGGTTGGTGCTCAAGTTAGTCAGTCGTGGTGCAAGTTAGACGAAAGGAAGTTTTGAATTGAATCAATTGTGGTCCCGTTGCTGCAACGAGTCAGTGGACTGTGGTGAACTGGACTAATTCAGGGGCTTAAGTTTGCAACGTTTACCACGAATGCCAAAAAGGGAAATATTGAAGAGTATTCAAAGGTATTCAAAGGTATTCAAGGACACAAATTCCAAGTACTTCTTGACGAGGGGCAATAGAGGAGGTTGGTACCTGGAACATGTGCACTGTCCCAGGTATCCTCACTTCCTGGCATAGAACTCCGAAGGCTTTTTGCGCCCTCTTGGACATTGGTCTTTGCTTCATGCTGATCGGCGTCCAGCGGCGCGTTGGTGACGTCACTTCCTCGTAGGTTTGCAGTCGCATTGGTGTCAGGGCAGATCTGGCATGCGCACGACTGACCAATGTTGAAGACGTACCAAGATCCCATTTGCTGCGCACATGAGAGGCCACATTTGCAGTACACGAAGTTGTTCCATGTCGACTGCGTTTCGTTGACACCCATGGGCTGCACAGGTTTCTTTGGAGGCACGGGCGCCTTGTCGGCAAGGCCAACCACAACCAAGACCAAGAAGGACAAGGTACGGAGGGCCATGACGCTGCAATGGAGCTTTGCCGAGTGAACTGGAAAAGCCAAAATGCTTCGTGTCGCAGTCACTGGAATTCACCCTGTCCGAATAACGTGTATACCATGTGCATCCGTGTGCAACAAATGAATACAAGTCGTTCAAAATCAGGAAGCAAAGCAAAGCAAAGCACACGTTGGCTTCAAACACTCTGAACTTCATTCGTCACTAGAGTGTTTGCAACTGTAGATCCAGAATGTCAAACATGGAACACCGACACGGAAAAGTTTCACTGAAGTGATTCACCGTACAGTTCATCTGCCTCACTCTCTTTTCCATCTCATCTATTCCTGCATCTGCCCCTGCCCGTGGCGGTGACTCTGCTGCTGTGTGGGATGTCAGGACCAGTCTGTTTGAGGGCAGCATCTTGCGTGCGGTCACACTGAACATTCGCTGCCCAGGAAATCCTCTCAGGAACTGGAAAACCACATGGGTCAGGTCTCTACATTCTGTGCACCAGTGGCTTTGATTTGTGTATTGCTGTATTGCTTGCAAAATTCGGCACCAAATGACCCGCAAAACGGATCATGTCCCGTACTAAACCATCCTATCTTCGGGAGTCGGTAATTAAGAGCCACAGTCATCTCGGAGCTTGGGCTCCGAAGATTGACCTGTGTGCCTCTTTAAAATCAGCGGAAGAAGAGGCCGCTCAACCAGCCAGGGCTGCTGTACAACGGAAAGCAATGGAAAACACGCTTACCTGGCCTACCTGTGCAAAATGCTGTGTCACGATGTACTTCTCTTCTCAGCAAGGCCTGCAAACATATTTGAAGCACCAGGAGCTCATAGGGCCCACCACCCAATTACCACTCAGGCAACGCTTTCCACATGGGCCTCGGCTTTGGAAGCATCATCAATATCCTACTGAGTCCTACTGGTATATAAGGGTTGGTGAACAAAAGTTCTTAGAAAGCAAAGAAGCTACTTGGGCTCCGTGTGTATGTTTGTGCACTCGGTCTTGGGCCAAGCCAAGCCTAAGCTAAGACTGCCTTCATGGGAAGATCAAGGAGGTGAGAGTTGATGGTCTCCCGAAGTGACTTAAGCAAGAAATGTCAGACTTTAGAGAAACAATGACATTATATAGCTGGCTCTGGTGACCTCTTCTATCTGAAGCCGAGTTTCAAAGATTCCATAATGATAATAATATTGTAAACCCTTGTGTAAAATGCTCAAGAATAACATTCAAGCACTACAGTACTTCTTGACAAGGGGCAATAGAGGAGGTTGGTACCTGGAATATATGCGCTGTCCCAGGTGTCCCCTCTTCCTGGCATAGAACTCCGAAGGCTTTGTGCACCCTCCTGGACACTGGTCTTTGCTTCATTCTGTTCAGCGTCAAGCGGTGCTTTGTTGACGTCACTTCCTCGTAGGTTTGCAGTCGCATTGGTGTCAGGGCATATCTGGCATGCGCACGACTGACCAATGTTGAAGATGTACCAAGATCCCTTTTGCTCCACGCATGAGACGCCACATTTGCAGTACACGAAGTTGTTCCATGTCGTATGAGTTTCGTTGACAATCGTGGACTGCACTGGTTTCTTTGGAGGCACGGGCGCCTTGTCGGCAAGGCCAACCACAACCAAGACCAAGAAGGACAAGGTACGGAGGGCCATGACCGCTGCAATGGAGCTTTGCCGAGTCAACTGGAAAAACTTGATGCTGATAAGCAGCTTTCGGGTAGCAGCCACTTTCTCTGCACCATGTATATTATATAATTCAGTACGTATATTTGAACTATTTGAATATGAAATAATATGAACATATCGATTGTTATCATACCGACCATCTGTGCGAGAATGAGTACAAGTCATCCAAAATCATGAAGCAATTCAAAGCAAAGCACACTTTGGCTTCAAACACTCTGAACTTCATTCGTCACTAGAGTGTTTGCAACTGTAGATCCAGAATGTCAAACATGGAACACCGACACGGAAAAGTTTCACTGAAGTGATTCACCGTACAGTTCATCTGCCTCACTCTCTTTTCCATCTCATCTATTCCTGCATCTGCCCCTGCCCGTGGCGGTGACTCTGCTGCTGTGTGGGATGTCAGGACCAGTCTGTTTGAGGGCAGCATCTTGCGTGCGGTCACACTGAACATTTGCTGCCAATGATACTCTCAGAAACTGGAAAACCACATGGGTCAGGTCTCTACATTCTGTGCATGCACCAGTGGTTTCCCAAACATGTGTGTATGTCATGTCTTAAAACTTGGGCACCACAGGATCCGCAAAACGGATCATGTTGCGTACTAAACCATCATATCTTCGGGAGTCAGTAATTAAAAGCCACAGTCATGTCGGAACTTAGGCTCCGAAGTTTGAACTGTGCACCTCTTGAAAAACACACAAAAAAAAACAAGCGAAGTAAGAGGACGCTCAACCAGCCAGGGCTGCTGTACATTGGAAAGCGAACGAATTTGTGCCAGGCATCTTTTGCGACTTATCAGCATGGCTTGCAAACATATTTGAAGCACCAGGAATTCCAAAGGCCCAAGCGACGACCACGAAGGCAATGCTTTCCACAGGGGCCTCCGCTTGAGTCCCAAGATGTCCCAAGGGTTGGCAAAATTTGGCAAAAGCCAAGCCGAATGGAGAGTGGAATGATGAAACTGATGTGGTTTTTTTAACGCAATATATAATGGATATCCCGATATTAATGGATCAATCACGAAGCTGCTCTAAATTGCTCTGACATGGCATGGGTCATCAATTTTGTGGTTGAAGTGTGAAGTACTTGGGCAGTTCTGGTGCTCAGAAGTTGTATGATTTTGAAACATATGTGAAAGCTTAGGTAAGCTGAGACATGCTAAGACTACCTTCATATCCTGAATTTATGATTTTGCAAGGAAATGCTGGCAAAATCTGGCAAGCGTACAGCATGCAGGAAACGGACATCATGGGACAAACATGGTCCGAGCCAATGATATCGATGGATGGTGAATTTGTGTTCCAACAATCTTTAGGGGGAAGGGGACGTGTTGCATGAAATTCCCGCGATTCCAAAGGGGCAGAAAGCAACTCCAGCACACTCCAGCTAGTTTGTGAGAGGAACAATTTGTAACAATGGCCTTCAATTCAAAAAAAGGTCAGTTCAAAGAAAACTTTGAATCAATTGTGGGACCCTTAAGAAAGTCTGTGGACTGTGCTTAGCTGTGCTTTCTGAGGGTATGAGTACTGAGTTTTACATGCGTTATTTTATTGAGCACTACAGTACTTCTTGACAAGGGGCAATAGAGGAGGTTGGTACCTGGAATATATGCGCTGTCCCAGGTGTCCCCTCTTCCTGGCGTGGAACTCCGAAGGCTTTGTGCGCCCTCTTGGACACTGGTCTTTGCTTCATTCTGTTCAGCGTCAAGCGGTGCTTTGTTGACGTCACTTCCTCGTAGGTTTGCAGTCGCATTGGTGTCAGGGCATATCTGGCATGCGCACGACTGACCAATGTTGAAGATGTACCAAGATCCCTTTTGCTCCACGCATGAGACGCCACATTTGCAGTACACGAAGTTGTTCCATGTCGTATGAGTTTCGTTGACAATCGTGGACTGCACTGGTTTCTTTGGAGGCACGGGCGCCTTGTCGGCAAGGCCAACCACAACCAAGACCAAGAAGGACAAGGTACGGAGGGCCATGACCGCTGCAATGGAGCTTTGCCGAGTCAACTGGAAAAACCAAAATGCCAGGAGCAGGTGATGGTCCCTTTGCACGCACCATGTGTAGCAAAATGTATACTAGTCATCCAAGTCCATAGACGCAAAGCCCAACCCTTGAAACACTATCACCTTGATCTGCCTCGCTCTTTTTTCCATCTCACCTATTCCTGCAGCTGCTGCCGGTGGCAGTCGGGCTGCTGTGGGATGTCAAGAACAGGCTGTTGGAGGGCAGTACCTTAAGTGCGTTCAAACTACACAATTGCTGTTGCTGCCAGCTCGGACAATGGAAAGCCACATGGTTTGATTCTCTACATTCTGTGCACCATTGGCTTCCCATATAATCTGGGCATGGCTCAAAATAACCCAGCATTTTTTTTCGGATACCAAAGATTCCAGTCTCTGGAGTCAACAATTTTGAGCCACGACCATGTCGGAACTTAGGCTCCGACTTTCAAACTGTGCGGCTCTTTGAAACAAGCAAGCCAAGAGGCCGCTCAACCAGCCAGGGCTGCTGTACATTGGAAAGCGCCTGGAGCGCCACACTCAGCATGTGTCGCAACCATATTGGAAGCACCAGTAGTTCCAGAGGCCCAACTGGCGACCACTAAGGCAACGCTTTCCACAGGGGCCTCAGCTTTGGAAACTTGTGACGAGCCGTCACTAGATTTATTAATTTGGACTTGAAAGAAACAATGCATTAATGGCCTTCAATTCCAAAAGAAGTCCGATCAAAGGAAGGTTGAATCAATTGAGCCGTGAGCCTTGTACACATAATCAAGGCTTCGCAAAGGACTATGTAAGGCTACGCAGAGTGCTCAGTAGCCTTTTTGCATTGCAATTTGCTGAAAAGCTACGTGAAGAAATATGCTGTCAAAAACAAAGGCTGCCCAATCGTGGTCCCGGTGACACAACAAGTCAGAGGATTGTCTGAGGGAACCCAGGTTTGAGGCATTCTCAAGATTGTCAAAATGTGTTTTGTGTGTGTGTGTGCGTCTTTGTGCAATAAGTATTCAAAAACTCAAATTCCAAGTAATTACTTCTTGACGAGGGGCAATAGAGGAGGTTGGTACCTGCAACATGTGCACTGTCCCAGGTATCCTCACTTCCTGGCAGGGAACTCCTAAGGCTTTTTGCGCCCTCTTGGACATTGGTCTTTGCTTCATGCTGATCGGCGTCAAGCGGCGCATTGGTGACGTCACTTCCTCGTAGGTTTGCAGTCGCATTGGTGTCAGGGCAGATCTGGCATGCGCACGATTGACCAATGTTGAAGATGTACCAAGATCCCATTTGCTGCGCACATGAGAGGCCACATTTGCAGTACACGAAGTTGTTCCATGTCGACTGCGTTTCGTTGACACCCATGGGCTGCACAGGTTTCTTTGCAGGCACGGGCGCCTTGTCGGCAAGGCCAACCACAACCAAGACCAAGAAGGACAAGGTACGGAGGGCCATGACGCTGCAATGGAGCTTTGCCGAGTCAACTGGAAAAACCAAAATGCTCAGAGTGGCGATTTGGGTATGTGTCATCAAAAAACTGGTACCCCGATGTACCCCGCTGAACATCAAAATGGCTGGTAAATGGAGCAGGCGCACTTGGTGTCTTGGGAGCCGTGGTCCTTAGATCCAAAGATAGAACAAACGAAGAGCTGCCACTGCAGATACCACTAGCACCAATGACTTTGGGCTGTTTCGGCTCTGAGATTCACGCTATCACATTGAAAATGTGATTAAATGAGCGCGGCAGCAAGCCTGGCAGCATTGGACCATATTGGACCCTTTGACCCACAGTCAAAAATGTCCGGTCTCAAAATGTCTTTGATGATACCTTGACTTATGTTTGTTGAAACATGTTGAAACAATTGAAATCAAGGACTTGCTTGCATCACATCCTCAGTCTTTCAAAGATCCCAACTCCAACATTTCTGGTCCCACGGTCCGTGGTGGCTCCGCCTTGTTGATCCGGTGGCCCATCTGTTGGACCAGTCATGGTATGAGACTTGCCAGCGCCTCCACTGACCAGCTGAAAGTCGTCATCGAAACACTGTGTGTCATTTATGCTGCTGCACCTAAATTGAACCACGTGGGACAGATTAATGTAAATGAGATCAAGGTTCTAAGGCAGTTAAAGCCACGGATGTTCAAAAACAATACATAAACATTCAAGCACATGTTGGTACATCAACTGTGTGCACGGTATACCAACTTGCTAACGGTCCCGGAAGCAAGATCCCCCTTGGGAGGCCTGTCTGCCCATAGGCAAAGATGGTCCCATTGAAGCCTCAGAAACTGCAGGTTGAAGCAGCTGAGCCTGTCCCTGCTTGGATTTTTCCTATGATGTCATATTATATGTTGTTATATAATGTTGTATAATGTAATATCGTTATATATTGTTGTATATCATTGTTGTATATCATTGTTGTATATCATTGTTGTATATCATTGTTGTATATTGTTATATATTGTTGTATATTACATAGTATTATTGTTATATAATTAGGTTATATAATAGTATTACGTACTTTTCTATGAAACTGCTTCTTCGTCTTTCGTCCGTCACTAAGTGAAGCACCATCCATGACACTATCCAAGATGTCAGCCGCAGTATCATCAAAGATCTGCACCAGAGAAAACTGATGGCAATCATTGGATTGGTTTAAGGGAAAATCTACAGGAAACCCATGGGTTTTTACCATCAAATATAGGGTTTTCCGGTTAAAATTTTCCCATCATCCAATTCTATGAGGCAAAGGTGTCAAGATGCTTCAAGGATGCTCCGAGGTTCAGCCAGTTATTGAACAATGGGGCAAGCCTTGAACCCACGGGACAATTTGGCTAAGGTGTACTTCTAACTGTTTGGTGATCTCCACAGTGCCAAAGTGCTAAAGCAACATTTACAACTGGCTTTACAATCCTATGTGCACATGTCACATGTCTATATACATAATATATATATATATATAATTATATATATAATTATATACTTATAGATACTACATTACATATGTGGAAAATCGCCCAGGACCAATTTACAGCTCGTAGGGCCCCATCACTCAAGGAGCGCCTGCTGCTGTGACATGTTCTCATCGAAGACAGCATCAAAAGTAAAGTCCTTCACAAGTTGCTTGTCAATTCGCACTGCGAAAAGTTCATTCAAAGAGATGCTGCCTGATGACCCATGGAGAATCCTAGGTATTGCATGGTATTGATTCTTGATAGGTAGTTGGGAATAATCGTAGTCCCTTGTGCTGATGGCAACAAGAAATGCTTAGCATCACCAACTAGTATGCTATAATTAGTCTAGGGGTCCAAGGTTGAAATATCATAGGAAATGGAAATAAGTCATAAAACTATCCAGCTTCATGTCTGACATATCTGAGAGTTTACTCAGAGTGGACATGAAGGTGGTGTTGACGGGGGCTTCGAAAGGACACCCAGGCTGCACGGGTGTGCATCAAGAAAAGGGAAGCCCTTTGTGGAAAACGCCAAGCACCTTTAATTGGATTGGAAAAAACGGGTGCGAAAATGGCTGGTAAGCCGTCAAAAACTAAGCAGCCCTCCCTGCAAGTCTGCAAAGCTCACTGGGACCAAAGAGGTTCAGATGTTGGTTCTGAGCTGTGCGTGCAGACATCGCCTCGATTCTATTGGAACCCTGCGCGACAAGCTTCGGACCAACAGCACTGCACCATGTGGTTGCTTGAAGTAACGGCACTGCGGCACAACAGTGCTGCCCGGCTGCTTAAAGCACAGCACCGCGGTGCCGCAACGCCGCTCGAGCCCGGTACGACCGAATGGTGACACCGAGCTGTTGGAGCAAGAGGCTGGTGCATGAGGCCGAATCTTCGCCAGTGCGGGTGGCAACCGCACGTGCCACATGGTGCAAAATCTTCACGGCCCCGGCATCCCAAGCGCCGCTACACTCAGCAACCATTGGAACGAATTTCACCCCCTGAGCCTCACAAGCTGCAGACGTCTGAAGATGAAGTTCTTTGTGGCGGGCATAGGCTTCTGCAGCCGCGCCTGCCTGCCGCTGCGGCGCCGTGATGGCGAAATCAAAGGCAGTAGGAGTCCCTGCGAAGGCGGGCAGGTAGACATCCGCAGGGCGACGCCCAGAAGTATTGTTGGTCACGTCCTCTGGAGTAGTCGGCAAGAGCAAGCCGGGTCGCTCCCGCTCTGGGCGCAGGCCCCCACGCTTGCACCAATCGTAGACCAAGTCCCGAACAGCGTGGTGTCGCTGCGTCCTCTCTCCCCCAGCAGCGCACATTTCGGCATGGTAGCTGTGGCAGTCCAGCACGGCATCGCAAAGTGGGCACCACGCATCATTGTCCGCGTCAGCAACCCTCAGGCGAGCTCGAACTTCAGTCACAAAAACCGCTGGCTCCATTTGGGTTCGGCCGGATGGGACAGCACTGAGAAACGCCCTGCCCCCCACGGACGCTTCTGAAAGGAGAGTCGCCCGACCAGTCAAGGAAGCATTGGCCAGCTGCTCTTCCCACCCGGCAGCGTGGGACAAAGTCTGTTGTTTGCTGGCAATGGCGGTGTCAATGGTGATGGCCCGGGCGGGGCCAACCTGGGCGTTGAAGGCTGCCAAAGCCGCAGCAACAGCAGGGCTTGCCTTGCTCTCTTCCATGCAGAAACTTGCATCAATGTCACTGGCCGAGCGCAACGTTGACGCCCATGAAGCCAGATAGGCCGCTGGGGCATGGTCGGACGTGGAGCGCAAGCCAAGTCCAGCGTGCGCAAAGCCCAAGGATGCCTGTTTCCACTGGAGCGTCGTAAGGTGGAGCCCTGTAAAGTCGCCAAAGCATCTGCGGATCATGCCGTCAAACATGTCCAGAGCCATAGTTTGCGGGGAGGGCGGGTTGCACCGCATGCTATGCAGCAAGCGAGCGAATCCAGCACAGCTACGCAGAAGCCGCAATGCCACCTGGGGATCCTCCAGCTCCCCCAGAGCATCGAGTAGGTCCCCCGCCTTGGCCGCCCGGTCGGCAGTGTGCGCACGGGTGAAGGCGTCGTCCCCAATGGCTGCACCAAGGAATTCAAAGTTGCGGCACACCCTGGAGGAACCGGTGGCAGTGTCCCGAAGGAGAGCATCAGGAAAATGGCAGTGCAAGGCGCCAGCGTCAACCCGGCCAACGGCAACCAGCTCGCTTTTGGTGAGGTTAAGCTCGAGGCCAATGGCCGCTGCTTCGGTTTGAACCAGATGCAAGGCCCGGCTCACAGCAGAAACATCACCGGCCAAGAAACCATCATCGAGGTAGTGCACCGCGATGTCCAAGCCAACTCCGCGGAGGTCATTGGCTATCGGCTGCAAGGCAGCGGCGAACAGCAAGGGACCCAGCGGGTCGCCTTGCTGCACACCACAGCTAGACTCCACAACCCACTCATCGAATTAAGCCAGTGCCATTGCATTTGGGTCATTCATTTGCAAATGGGTTTTTCATGTTTGAGTCATAAAGAGGACAAGTAAAGATAATGAAAAGTCATAAAAGTGTGATGTTGCATTTAATGTTTATCAAAAGTGGGTCTTAATTATTTCATGTACTAAAGTAAGTGGCTTCAGCATAATAATTTCGTAGACACATCCTGGTTCCAGGTGTGGACATGGGGAAATCATGGTTGGGGGTCTGGATACCGGCCCTCAGCATTCTTGGTTACATGTGACATATTAGGAGCATGGTCACTACCCATTAGAATATTGTATGAAGACCACTCACCCCCTACTGTTACCATAACCATCCATAACTATAACCATAATCTTACAAAAGACACACACACACTTTGCTACTGCCCTCCGTGCCAGGTTCAAACTTGTCCGTGCCAGGTTTTGCTTCTTGCAAAAGGGCCGGAACCTTGAGTTTCTCTTTAAGCTTGAGTTGTTCAATTGATAACTCGAATAATGATAGCATTTACCATCAATGACCAGTCCATTTCTAATACCAGTCAATTGATGGCAATCTTTCATGTCTAATACCAGTAAATTTATGAAGTAATGTGGTTCATGTCTAATTAATCTGTATAAATAATCTTCATGAAATTATTAAAGGGGGGCAGGGCGGACTGCAAATGCATGCCTCACAGGCTCACACTTCACTGGTCCTCGCTTTGTCCAGCCGTCAGTCATAGAGTCAGAGCAATCATTGTTAGTTAACATGTTATTTCATATCAAGTGATCCACAAAGATAGCTGATATTATCATGAAATTATCTGCATTGAAATCCGAACTTCATTGGTTTCTTGCATGTCTCATTTTTCAGGGGTTCTTACAAATCATTACTATTTCCATCCTTATCAGGTTTTGCTTCAACTGCACTCCAACGTTTGGCCACCGGCCCTGGAGTTACTAAGGTAGCTTTGAATTAAGGTAGCTTTGACTGCACTCCAGGGTCTGGCCACCGGCCCTGGAGTCACTCAGGTAAGACAATCTGGGTCTGGACACCGGCCCAGGTATCACTAAGGTAGCTTCTGGCGTGTGGCCCTTACTTGTTTTCATCATAGTTCAACATGATGTCACTCCGGCACTGTAAGTTTAACCCTAATTTTCAGAACAATGCAAGTTAATTTTCAACATGCTAAAATGGTTCTATTTCTATTTTTTTTAATCTGGCAAGTTTGGCAAACACAGTCGTAGCAAAATATATCATTATTGCAACTAGACATGTTTATTTTTTCTTCCATGTCAGCCTGTCAGGTGACAGCAGAACAAGCAAAGCCATGCAGTTTGCCATCATAAGTGATTCATAGACTCTAGTCTGATTTTTATCAATTCACAATGATGGATGACTCATAGTGGATTCATGGATGACTCATAGATGACTCATAGATGACTCACAGGTGTGTTGTAGATGATCCATAGATGATTTTAGTAATATGTTTATCATGTTGTTAGATAAATCCTGGCACTTTGTTAGTAACTGTATTGTTAAACTGCATGGCTTTGTAACGGTCTGGGTGTCCGACCGTGTTTGTTCTGCAGGCCCGGACTCCGGCCTGTTGTCACATGTCCCTGGATTCCGGGACTACTAAGGGACCAAGGTAGACCCAGCGCCTGGCTTCCGGCGCTGGGCTCAGGGACTCCAACCCGTGCCTGGCTTCCGGCACCGGGTTTCAACAAGCTGGTCACTACATACCAGTGCCTGGATTCCGGCACTTGGTAGCCCTGAGCCTCCTTCATGCCAGTGCCTGGTTTCCGGCACTTGGTAGCCTTCTTCAGTCCGTTGCCCAGAGTCATCACAATCACCACCACCATCATCACCATTATCCTCATCACCATCATCATCACCACCAACATCTTCATCATCCTCATCCTCATCGTCATCGTCATCATCATCATCATCATCCTCATCACCATCATCATCATCAACATCATCCTTATTATCATCATCATCATCATCATCAAAATCCTCATCATCACACATCATCACAACCGTGATCACCGTCATGTGTCTCATATTTAAATGCATGTTCGCAGCCATGTTCATCCTAATGTAAATCAACTAAGTCTGTTTTGCACTGTCTTTTTTGGGGTGCCACATTGTTTCAATGACCATCCCCATGGTCAAGTTCACCATTGCCTTTGATGTGATTAAGAAATTTGTGACCGGCCCCACACTAAACATCATCGGTACCATCAGCATGCTCCAGTGTCAGCTTCCTTATTCATAACCATCAACAACATGCTCACTCAGCATCACTTTTAATACTTTGATCATCAACCATTGATCAAAATTGTTTGGTGTATTGGTTGGTGAATCTGTCAAACAAATTAGACAACATATCCGTGAGATTGACCTGGTTTGACCTGAACTACCTTTTGTTCTGTTTCTCTCAAAAAGTTTTAGGTTTTGAGAGTGCCAGTCAGACACATCTTGATTTGTGAATGGTAGATGTGGGCATCCACCATGTGAATATCATCATTATGTGGCACACTGGCCATGGCCAAAAGTTTCAATAACCTTCATGAAGACCGCAATAGGTTGTAGGCATGTTAGTATGAGCAAACATTGTGACACATTTTGATTCTGGCCTCGATAGACCCCTGTCCATGCTAACCAGCACCCAAGTTGAATAGTAAGCATCACCTTCGAGGTCTGCAATGCTGAAGTGAAGGAAACTGTCCGGATGTCCCAGACTGGACGGACACCCAGGTTGCTGCATGGATGCGGAAATACTTTCAAATTCACATCGAATCTGTTGAGTTTGCATTGTTGAGCTTGCACATTATTTGCATTTACTGTTTTTGGACATCTGTCATATATATCAATAGCAGCCTCATCATCATATGTTCATCAGCAGTGACACTTAAACTTTCACTCAAGTGAACACTCCGTCGCAAAATGAAAGCATGCAATACAAACATATGAATGACAGTTTTTCCATTGGAAAAAAAGCCACAGGATCAAAATAATAAGACAAGGATTTCAGATTTATACTGTAATGGTTCCTGATTTAGCTTGCCCAGTCTGAGGATGAACATGGAGCTGCAACATGGAAAAGTTCAAGCACTGAGTCCAGACCCTTATATTGTGCAGTGTGTGGATTGCTTGACAAGCTGTGGTTTTTGCAACTTTCATTATCTGATTTGTTGAATTTCAATCAACCAATGTGGTTTCAAACAGCCAAGATGTCCAGGAAGTATCTGGTCAAGTTGTGCAGAACGTATTTCTAAACATGCACCTACCCAAGCTACTTTGGCAAACCAATGTCAGTGTCTGGCCACCGGCACTGATCATTTCTTTGCCTGTGTCAGGATACCGGCACTGGGCACTAAGGTTGCAGAAGCCAGTAATTTAATACAATATAAGTTTTTGTATGTGTGCATGCCGGCAATGCTCAATATTTCATCATTGGATTCAACTTGTTTCAAACTTGACCATTCACAGCGATGTGGGGCGTACCACATATTTACATATTTCTGGACAGAAAACTTGGACGACATGCTAAATAGTGACTGGGATACGAGGTCAGAGTGATGTGAAAGCATATTACTCCAGCCTGTTCGTTTTTTATTGTTTGCGACACAATGCTGCCAGTGTTCCCTGTACCAGCTCTGATTTTAAGCAGCAAACAATATCCGTTCATTAGTTTAGCCATCAGTGCTGTTCCAGTCACACTCTAGACGGATATCATTCCTCAGGATCCCTGTCATGTAGTTCTATCTTCAATTCATGTTGCTCCTTGATTCTTGATCTTGTTGCGCATGATTACGCATCATGATATGAGAGGAGTCTGTGCCAAGGCACCTAACCATTTCAGTCATATGTTCAGACGACCGGTTGCAATGTTGAGGACGTTTTGTTTTTACCAAGCAGCATGTCCATACAGTTCTGGAGCTCCCCCATTTTTTGATTTTAAATTCTATTGAGTCGACATTGAGAATTCAACTTGTTTTCTCAGCATATCTCAAACCTATCGTAATAGAATCTAGTTTGTATTTGTGAGTAACTCAGTTTAAGCAACAGAGGACGCAAATAGGTTTTATTGATGTTGTGAAGAGACATTGTCTTCTCCTATGTTTCAACCATACTTGCTTCTAATGTTTTCTTTCTCACTACGTCGCAGTTAAGTGAAATTGAGAGTGTCTCGCTGTCAATGACTGGTAGGCCTCCGGTGTTGGTGAAAGGCTTGGGCACGCCGACGGTTCAGATCATGCTCCAGAGCCCTCTCATTGCTGAAGTGCGTCTTCTCTCTGGAATGTCGGTGGGAACAATTCAGGTGCATCCAGAGGAGCGGTTTTCTTCTCTCCGGGAGAAGGCCAGAGCACAACTCTGTGCAGCCCGTTGCTTCACTTTTCCAGAAGCTCTTCATGCCCACTTTGAGTCCAACGGTTTGAAACTTGAGGATAACGTTTTACGGAGAAAGGTCCGTAAGACTTATTTGAAACGCTCCTAGGGCCTGTTCCAGCAGCCCCAGCTGAAAGGATGTCCAGCTTAAGTCTGGAGGGGAAACTATCAGTTCAGCATCAATAGCAAAAGAGTCAAAAGTGAACTGCAACCCTCCCTGTGCAGGGTTTGCTTGTCAAGGGCCGTATGGAGACGGCAACCCCGAGTTGCCCTCCCCATAGCCTAGGTTTATTGCATTTCATGGCATCATGACAGGCCATGTTACACCATAAGAATCTGTTAAATATAGGCTACAGAGACGGCAACCCCGAGTTGCCCTCCCCACAGGGGCCCTGACATCAACACACTGTACAGACACGGTTGCTCAACAGTCAGGTAATAATCATCATCATTGGAGATTGCATGTGTCAATGACTATGTGCAGTAGAAAAACGGTTGGTAAAGCCACCACATTCAGTGAGAAATAGAGTTCGTACCAGAATCTACGGTTGGTCACAACATTCCATGGATACGGCAACTCCGAGTTGCCCTCTCTGTGTGCCGTGTTCAGTGAGACACAAGGGTTGGTACCACAATCTCACGGCTACGGTTGCTAACAAAATCCCGTGGCTACGGCAACTCCGAGTTGCCCTCTCTGTGGGCCATGTTCAGTGAGACACAAGGGTTGGTACCACAATCTCACGGCTACGGTTGCTAACAAAATCCCGTGGCTACGGCAACTCCGAGTTGCCCTCTCTGTGGGCCATGTTCAGTGAGAAACAAGGGTTGGTACCACAATCTCACGGCTACGGTTGGTAACAAAATCCCGTGACTACGGCAACTCCGAGTTGCCCTCTCTGTGGGCCATGTTTCCTCGATAATGTTGGCAAGAAACCTTTTTCCATTCCTTTAGATGTTTAGATCTACAATTGATGGAGCTACGGTTGCCCCTCCTGGTTCAGATCTACGGTTGGCCCTGACATGTCATACCTACGGTTGCCCCTCATGGTTCAGATCTACGGTTGGTCCAGAAATGTCATACCTACGGTTGCCCCTCCTGGTTCAGATCTACGGTTGGTCCAGAAATGTCATACCTACGGTTGCCCCTCCTGGTTCAGATCCACGGTTGGTCCAGAAATGTCATACCTACGGTTGCCCCTCCTGGTTCAGATCTACGGTTGGTCCAGAAATGTCATACCTACGGTTGCCCCTCCTGGTTCAGATCCACGGTTGGTCCAGAAATGTCATACCTACGGTTGCCCCCCTTGACCTGAATCTACTGTTGGCCCTGTTGGCCCTGAAGCATGACATGAAGTGTGTGGACTGGATGTTTGGAAAATCCAGTTCTAACAGATTAGTGCGAGGTAGAAACATATTAGTAGAGCGACTTGCATTCATTCAGATGATATTGTTTGTTGCAATAATCACAACTTCTACAGCAACCAACGGCATCATTTCCCATGGGGGTTGAGATTTTTCTATTGTCACTCCTGCCAGCAAGTGTGAAACGGTGTGATGATGATATCCCAGTCACTATTTAACATGTCGTCCAAGTTTTCTGTCCAGAAATATGTAAATATGTGGTACGCCCCACATCGCTGTGAATGGTCAAGTTTGGAACAAGTTGAATCCAATGATGAAATATTGAGCATTGCCGGCATGCACACATACAAAAACTTATATTGTATTAAATTACTGGCTTCTGCAACCTTAGTGCCCAGTGCCGGTATCCTGACACAGGCAAAGAAATGATCAGTGCCGGTGGCCAGACACTGACATTGGTTTGCCAAAGTAGCTTGGGTAGGTGCATGTTTAGAAATACGTTTTGCACAACTTGACCAGATACTTCCTGGACATCTTGGTTGTTTGAAACCACATTGGTTGATTGAAATTCAACAAATCAGATAATGAAAGTTGCAAAAACCACAGCTTGTCAAGCAATCCACACACTGCACAATACAAGGGTCTGGACTCAGTGCTTGAACTTTTCCATGTTGCAGCTCCATGTTCATCCTCAGACTGGGCAAGCTAAATCAGGAACCATTACAGTATAAATCTGAAATCCTTGTCTTATTATTTTGATCCTGCGGCTTTTTTTTCCAATGGAAAAACTGTCATTCATATGTTTGTATTGCATGCTTTCATTTTGCGACGGAGTGTTCACTTGAGTGAAAGTTTAAGTGTCACTGCTGATGAACATATGATGATGAGGCTGCTATTGATATATATGACAGATGTCCAAAAACAGTAAATGCAAATAATGTGCAAGCTCAACAATGCAAACTCAACAGATTCGATGTGAATTTGAAAGTATTTCCGCATCCATGCAGCAACCTGGGTGTCCGTCCAGTCTGGGACATCCGGACAGTTTCCTTCACTTCAGCATTGCAGACCCCGAAGGTGATGCTTACTATTCAACTTGGGTGCTGGTTAGCATGGACAGGGGTCTATTGAGGCCAGAATCAAAATGTGTCACAATGTTTGCTCATACTAACATGCCTACAACCTATTGCGGTCTTCATGAAGGTTATTGAAACTTTTGGCCATGGCCAGTGTGCCACATAATGATGATATTCACATGGTGGATGCCCACATCTACCATTCACAAATCAAGATGTGTCTGACTGGCACTCTCAAAACCTAAAACTTTTTGAGAGAAACAGAACAAAAGGTAGTTCAGGTCAAACCAGGTCAATCTCACGGATATGTTGTCTAATTTGTTTGACAGATTCACCAACCAATACACCAAACAATTTTGATCAATGGTTGATGATCAAAGTATTAAAAGTGATGCTGAGTGAGCATGTTGTTGATGGTTATGAATAAGGAAGCTGACACTGGAGCATGCTGATGGTACCGATGATGTTTAGTGTGGGGCCGGTCACAAATTTCTTAATCACATCAAAGGCAATGGTGAACTTGACCATGGGGATGGTCATTGAAACAATGTGGCACCCCAAAAAAGACAGTGCAAAACAGACTTAGTTGATTTACATTAGGATGAACATGGCTGCGAACATGCATTTAAATATGAGACACATGACGGTGATCACGGTTGTGATGATGTGTGATGATGAGGGTTTGAGGATGATGATGATGATGATGATAATAAGGATGATGTTGATGATGATGATGGTGATGAGGATGATGATGATGATGATGACGATGAGGATGAGGATGATGAAGATGTTGGTGGTGATGATGATGGTGATGAGGATAATGGTGATGATGGTGGTGGTGATTGTGATGACTCTGGGCAACGGACTGAAGAAGGCTACCAAGTGCCGGAAACCAGGCACTGGTATGAAGGAGGCTCAGGGCTACCAAGTGCCGGAATCCAGGCACTGGTATGTAGTGACCAGCTTGTTGAAACCCGGTGCCGGAAGCCAGGCACGGGTTGGAGTCCCTGAGCCCAGCGCCGGAAGCCAGGCGCTGGGTCTACCTTGGTCCCTTAGTAGTCCCGGAATCCAGGGACATGTGACAACAGGCCGGAGTCCGGGCCTGCAGAACAAACACGGTCGGACACCCAGACCGTTACAAAGCCATGCAGTTTAACAATACAGTTACTAACAAAGTGCCAGGATTTATCTAACAACATGATAAACATATTACTAAAATCATCTATGGATCATCTACAACACACCTGTGAGTCATCTATGAGTCATCTATGAGTCATCCATGAATCCACTATGAGTCATCCATCATTGTGAATTGATAAAAATCAGACTAGAGTCTATGAATCACTTATGATGGTAAACTGCATGGCTTTGCTTGTTCTGCTGTCACCTGACAAGTGTGCAAACTAAAAGGCTGACATGGAAGAAAAAATAAACATGTCTAGTTGCAATAATGATATATTTTGCTACGACTGTGTTTGCCAAACTTGCCAGATTTAAAAAATAGAAATAGAACCATTTTAGCATGTTGAAAATTAACATGCATTGTTCTGAAAATTAGGGTTAAACTTACAGTGCCGGAGTGACATCATGTTGAACTATGATGAAAACAAGTAAGGGCCACACGCCAGAAGCTACCTTAGTGATACCTGGGCCGGTGTCCAGACCCAGATTGTCTTACCTGAGTGACTCCAGGGCCGGTGGCCGGACCCTGGAGTGCAGTCAAAGCTACCTTAATTCAAAGCTACCTTAGTAACTCCAGGGCCGGTGGCCAAACCCTGGAGTGCAGTTGAAGCAAAACCTGATAAGGATGGAAATAGTAATGATTTGTAAGAACACCTGAAAAATGAGACATGCAAGAAACCAATGAAGTTCGGATTTCAATGCAGATAATTTCATGATAATATCAGTTATCTTTGTGGATCACTTGATATGAAATAACATGTTAACTAACAATGATTGCTCTGACTCTATGACTGACGGCTCGACAAAGCGAGGACCAGTGAAGTGTGAGCCTGTGAGGCATGCATTTGCAGTCCGCCCTGCCCCCCTTTAATAATTTCATGAAGATTATTTATACAGATTAATTAGACATGAACCACATTACTTCATAAATTTACTGGTATTAGACATGAAAGATTGCCATCAATTGACTGGTATTAGAAATGGACTGGTCATTGATGGTAAATGCTATCATTATTCGAGTTATCAATTGAACAACTCAAGCTTAAAGAGAAACTCAAGGTTCCGGCCCTTTTGCAAGAAGCAAAACCTGGCACGGACAAGTTTGAACCTGGCACGGAGGGCAGTAGCAAAGTGTGTGTGTGTGTCTTTTGTAAGATTATGGTTATAGTTATGGATGGTTATGGTAACAGTAGGGGGTGAGTGGTCTCATACAATATTCTAATGGGTAGTGACCATGCTCCTAATATGTCACATGTAACCAAGAATGCTGAGGGCCGGTATCCAGACCCCCAACCATGATTTCCCCATGTCCACACCTGGAACCATGATGTGTCTACGAAATTATTATGCTGAAGCCACTTACTTTAGTACATGAAATAATTAAGACCCACTTTTGATAAGCATTAAATGCAACATCACACTTTTATGACTTTTCATTATCTTTACTTGCCTCTTTATGACTCAAACATGAAAAACCCATGTGCAAATGAATGACCCAAATGCAATGGCACTGGCTTAATTGCAGCCTGGTGGGTTGCCGATAACACCACGTGGCCCACCGGCTCAAACTGGGAAAGTTGGTGCTGAGTGTGGACAGCACAACTTCACGGCGAACAGTGTTGAAGGCGTTGCTGAAGTCAAGCTTGAGGGCCACCTTCTGGTTGGAACATTGGTGCCAGTCATACCATGCGCGGGCGGTGTGGATGGCTTGTTCGACTCCACCAGGCACAGCCACCCCCAGCTGTGCAGGATAGAAGTAGGAGCGGGCCTCGTCGCGAACAGTAGTCATCAAACATTTCCCGGTCAGCCGTCGCAGAATCTCACCCACTGCAATCGGCCGGACCCCGCCCTTGGGCTTGGGGAGGGCCACCAACCCGGCCCCTGCCAAGACAGGTGCCACGAAGTCAGGCGCCCGCCCTTGCGCCAACAAAGTGACCACGGCTGCCAAATGCGAGAAGAAAGCTTCCTGGCTCCCGGCAATGCATGCGTCTTTGAGGTGTTGAACACGCAGTCCGCTGGGCCCCGGCGCGGTGTCGGCAGGAAAGGCCCGGAGACAGCGAGCCACAAGGTCAGGAGCAACTTCCGGAGCCAATGGCAAGTCATTGAGCTCTGGCACCATTGGCGGAGGCTGTTGCGGGTGGAGCGCCCGTAGGGCTTCCTTCTCTGGCCAGGCTTGTTGCTAAAACCCGCCGTTGCTCTGCTGAGGGGCGCTGGCCACTCGCTGATCGCCGGGTAGGCCGGGATTCCCAAAGGCCAAGCCGGTCTCCTTCTTGCCATCGGTGCAGCCGGTCCAGAGTGTAGGCCCCAGCTGCTTTGCTATGCCGCCGCCCGCCACGGGTGGGGGCACACAAGACGCACTTCGGGAGCATCAGTAACTCTCGCCAGGCTTTGTCATCATTGCTGTGCACGACTGCGCTCAGAGCCCGGGTGAAAACCTGGTTGCAACTGTGGCGGGCAACGCCAGGAACGTGCCGCAGTGTGGCAGTCTTAGCGGCCTGGATGGCAGTGAGGGAAGGGAGCGGCAAAGCATCCGTATCCATAGGGTCAGCGCCATCGACCGCAGCAGCCCGGGCCGCTGGGCGGCAGGTTGGGTGGACCCCATGCGCCCGAGAGACGCTCAGCCCACACACCAAACAGCGAGTGCGGCTGTGCAAGTCCATCCAGGCAACCGGCACGTCCCCTTGCAAAGACCCGGCGAGATGGGCATCGATGTGATTTCTCATGGTGGACACGCTGGTCCAGCCTCGTGCCCGCCTGGCGTCAGAGCAGGGGCATGACGGCACAGGACAAAAGACTCGCTGTGCCGGGCGCGGTGGGGATCGTTCACGGGCAGGTCGTTCACCGCCAACAGGTGTGCCTGGCACCGGTGGGCCTGGGTGGGCAGCCTCACCGATGCGACAACCGCGTTGTGGCCAACCTCGCCAACGTGTCCGCCGGAGCACCGAAGCCCGACCGCGACGAAGGAGCCGCCCTCGCCGACGTCGGAAGACAGGTGTCAGCGACGGGCGCCATGGAAGCAGCGGGTCCCACACGCAGGCTTCAGGCTCCCGCCAAGCAGCGTGCAACTGCTTCGTCAAGAGGGCGCGGCACCGCCGGCCTATGCAAGGCAGGGCACCAGGCACCGGCTGTGTCTGAGACGGCCGACCCATGTTGTGCGCCCACCATGTCGGGCCAACGGCGGCCCCCTGCAGGAGGACCAGTACCACGGAGTGTAGGAGCCGCTGCAACCACGCCATGCGCACCGAGGCCGCAAAGGAGCAAGGCACCGAGGCCGGAGGAAGGGTCTGCACACCAGAGGTCTTCCGACGTGGGGCGAACCCCCTCCAGCCAAGGTGTCACAGCCCCCGGAGCAACCAAGGGCCAGCACAGGCACCCCCCGCAGTAGTGCTGTAGTAGTCTAGGGGTTAACTGGTGGTTTGGGGCCCGTTACATCATGGACCCAAAACTTCCACACCGGGCGGGCCCCGCACTAGCAGTTGTCTGTCCAAACTCGAATGAAACGAGCCATTTTGGGGGGATGAAACATTTAGCATCATTTAGCATCATTTAGCATCATTTAGCATCATTTAGCATCATTTAGCATCATTTAGCCACAAATTACCTACTAGTAATTGTGGTGGAAACAAGGCTCCATGTTTTCCAGAGCAAAATTCAGCACCCGAAGCCTGCTAAAGCTGCTAAGCATGCTAGGCCCCAAGCCGCCACACGCGGTCGTCCTTGGCTTCGCGATCCGTACCGCCGGGTCGCAGCAGGATGGCCACATGGCGCTTGATATCCTGGAGCCAGTGGTAGACTTGACCAAGGGGGAAAAGACCCTGGAAGTTTGAGTAAGTTTTGGGGAAAAATGACTCCTAAAAGGTCTGCTCGATGTTACTCTCAAACTCTCGTCCAACAAGTTTCAAAAAAACAAAGCCAAAAAAAAATCACGTAAGTTCCAAAAATGTCCGAAAAGTTCCAAAAATGCAAAAAAACTGTTCCAAAAAACAAAAGAAATGAATGAATGAATAAGTAAATACATAAATATGTTTAACTAACAAACAAAAAAACAATAACAAAGTGTTTTAAAAATATTCAAAAAAATGAAAAATAATTATCTGGAATGAAATAGAATTATTTGGGATTATAATGAATTATGTGATATTATATAGAATGTTCATGAATGTTCCATGAGTGTCACTATAATGAGGGTCCCCCTTCATAGACAAGACCTTGATCAAGTGCCCGGAATTGAATTGATTGTGGACCCAGTGACTCAATATTTCAACCCATGGGTTTCGGAAAAAAAACAAAGTGGATAGATTCGGATAGATCGAGGTGTCAGAAAATGTCAGAACAAGGGTTGCCAGATACTTGCATGATGGGTTTTGTAGATCTATCGTACGCTTGCTGTTTCCATACACCGAAGCCACACTTCGAACTGGAAAAGAGAAAAGACGCCGCGACATTCCCAACCCGCAGAGTCAGGAGCTTTTTCCAGCTTCCTTTGGGAAAACTCTACCACCTAGCAAACCGATGCAACTGATGGTGGGAACCTAGAAATTACTGACTCACATTGAAAGGTGTCCTTAACGAGTGCTTGTTGTGCCGCACACGTCTTGAATTTCAAAGGTTCCACACTTTCTGCCCTCAGAAACGGGAGAGCTTCTTGAGAACTTTCCGAAGCCTGCGTCTGTCTGCCGCGTTTGAGATCGCACACTAACAAGACTACAACCTGATGGCGGCTTTGCGGATAATCTCCCAAGACAGGGTGTTCCAGTTATGCTCCAAAATGCTATATACCAACATTGACGAAGGTCCGACCACAAAACTGCAACCTTTTGCTGCCCAGCAGCACACTTCTCGGCCGTGGCCATGTAGCTACACCTCAGGAAGACTCTGTGTCTCTATGGCATCTCCAAATTGGTACAACCCAAAAGCAGGATCAAACACCTCCAGACCCCCCAAGGCCATCAACTCTCGGCTGCCGGGCACACTGGCACATCCTGAGCCAACAAGTTTCTTCTGATATCAACCACCTTCTACTGCCGAGGAGAGAGAGAGAGAGAGAGATATATATATATATATAACATACATATATATATACAGTACAGTATATATATAATATATACAGTACAGTATAATATATATAATCATATACATACATATATAATAGTATATATTATATTATATTATATTATATTATATTATATTATATATATAAGGAAACAAACAAAGAGCTCGGCACCAAAATTCCTGGGCCATCAAATCATTGGATCTTATTGGATCCGAACATCCCAAGATCTCCAGGCCTCCGGTTGCTCCACCCAAAGCTTGTAGGGGATGCCAGCCTGGCCCCACTGAACCCAATAGGGCTGATGGTTCATCCCGGGCTTCCATCGTTGGATCCGAAAAATGATCAAAGAATCAACCACTCTCTGTATCCAACTGCCTGCTCCAAACGATACTCTCCGATATTGTCTCTTGAAATGGGTGGAATATCCCATATCTCATGTCCATCACCCAATATATCTAAGTCTATCACCCAATGGTGTTGGAATGCCAAATTTTAAAGAACCCCCCTCTTGAAGCCCACACCTCTGAAAGACGTTTGGTGGCGTCCTCCAAATCAGCCTGGAGAAGCGAAAGTGGGAAGTCGCCAAATTCTGTCGGCAGATTCAGAATCTTTCTATCTACAAGGCGTATAAAGCAACCTTTAAAAACAAACAAACTTAGAAAAGTTGGAAAAAATGCACACTCATCCACCCTCCATCACTAAATTCAACCTTAACATGCTCTGAATTTGAATCTGTGTCAGCTCAAACTCTTCCATCCAACAGGCAGCACCCTTTGCATCGCGCCTGGCTCTTGGCTCCCATGGTCGATTTCACCATGGTCCCCTCCACACCCTGCAGCTTGACATCAGCTTGACATCAGCTTGGCAGTACATTTGGTATACGCCAAAGGATCCCAAACCCCGAAATCTATAGCAATCCACTGAAACAAGTCTGAAAGCCAGGTGTGATAATTGATCTCCACTGCATAGTTTCCAGTTGTCCTACGTTTTCAGTGTATTTTGGTTTCGCGAGAGGCTACAAATTTCGCTGAACTCTCGTTGAACTCAGAATCCAGTCAGCTAGATTCACCTACACCACTGAATCAATGGGAGTCTTTTCATCCAAACCCGATGGCGAAACTCATCCGCTGGCCGCCTGTGATAAGTATGCCACTGCTTGGTCATCATCTCGGGCCTCCCACGCCTTACAAACCCCCAGCTGCACATGTTCAGTGGCACAGCGGAAGTGGTTGGTGGTTGAGCTGAGTGACATTTCCCAGAATTCCCGGAAAAACTGAAAGCCACTAGGATGGAAATGAGAAACATGTTTAGCACCAACCAAGGAGAGCATTCAAAGGCATCTGAACAGGCACTTCTGTCTCTTGGTGCGTATTCTGCACTTTTGATTTGTTTTTTGGCTCACACTATTTCTCGACAGGTAGAATCAATCAAAGAAAAGCCTTGGCTGTTTCAACACATCACTGAGTCGACAACCATTGCGGTGCAAGCATGACAGGCTTGATTGATCAGAGCCTCAATAACAAGTTGGCAGCAGCTTCAGACAGCTTTAGTAGCTCCACTGCAAAATATTCAAAGACTTACTGGTGCTTAACATGGGTCATTAAATGTCCCCATTGAACATCACCCAACCATTAGGTATATGGTCTTTTTCATGGCTACTTTTTCAGGTGATGTCCAATATTCCCAAAATGGGACAGTTACCAACCCCTGCTTAGTAGGGAATGGATGGGTTGCTGGGGGAAGAACTACTGGTGCCATGATACATCTGTTCGGCCCAAAGAATTTGAATATCTTTAAATATTATAACTTATAACTATATATTATCTATAATTATATGGAGGTGTCCTATAAAATAGTAGGGGTACCCCCAAAACTATGGCTAAAACATGAACATGGTCTAATTTGGGATGATTTGAGGTACCCCCATTTTAGGAAACCCCAGAGGTTGAATCCAAACGAGGTCCCAGACTCCTGTGGGCCAGTCCAGGTCCTGCGGCAACGCAACGCGCCCGGGGAGGACACAAAATCCAGCCTTTCACAACATTTCTGAACGATTCACCTCCCAGATGGATGGTTCAGTACTATATATATATATTATACATATATATATGTATATATATGTATGTATATATATATATGTATATGTATTACCAATGTTGAAACCAATTTTGCAGGTCCATTGGTATACGATTTTTTGGGGGGTCCCACGAAAGTCCAGATCCCTCAACCCTGGATCCTTTCGCAAGACCACAAAAACCGCCAGGGGATCTTCCGGGCTCTGCTTGGCCTAGCGAATTTGGAAATGTCATATCAATCTGTGGCGTGAATCTGGATAGTCGGATAGTCTTCAAATGGTGTCCAAATCTGGTTTCCAGTGAAGAAAGATGATTATAGTGAAACCAGATTAAGATTAACCGTCCAAATCTGGTTTCCAAGGTTAACCGTTGTTTAAAGATGTTTATAGTGAAACCAAAGTATATGAAATGATGGAGATAGACAGCATCGCTTCCTGTACCTAAAACGAACCTGGAACTCCAAAAATTCACCCACGGGAAAATCCCCATGAAATATCTGTGACTACTTCCCATGCGAAGTAGCCTCTGGTAATGACTAACATAGCGAACTGGAAAATCACCATGCTATTCATGGGTAAATCAACTAATTATAAATGGGCCATTTCTATGGGCCATTTTCAATAGCAAACTGTAAACGTTTACCAACCGGTCACCATCGTTCACCTCAGCTTCCCGTGCCGTCTGTGTGGAGGCACTTCGAGAATTGTTGGGCCGCCTGGTGATCCTATTGATGGGGAGCTACGACACATTGATTATGTACTGTTTATATAATAAAATATGGTATATTGATGGTATATTGATGGTATATTGATGGTATATTGATGGTATATTGATGGTATATTGATGGTATATTGATGGTATATTGATGGTATGTTGATGGTACATTGATGGTACATTGATGGTATATTGATGGTATGTTGATGGTATGTTGATGGTATATTGATGGTATATTGATGGTATATTGATGGTATATTGATGGTATATTGATTGTATATTGATGGTATATTGATGGTATATTGATGGTATATTGATGGTATATTGATGGTATATTGATGGTATATTGATGGTATATTGATGGTATATTGATGGTATATTGATGGTATATTGATGGTATATTGATGGTATATTGATGGTATATTGATGGTATGTTGATGGTATGTTGATGGTATATTGATGGTATATTGATGGTATATTGATGGTATATTGATGGTATATTGATGGTATATTGATGGTATATTGATGGTATGTTGATGGTACATTGATGGTACATTGATGGTATATTGATGGTATGTTGATGGTATGTTGATGGTACATTGATGGTACATTGATGGTACATTGATGGTAGATTGATGGTATATTGATGGTATATTGATTGTATATTGATGGTATATTGATGGTATATTGATGGTATATTGATGGTATATTGATGGTATATTGATGGTATATTGATGGTATATTGATGGTATATTGATGGTATGTTGATGGTATGTTGATGGTATATTGATGGTATATTGATGGTATATTGATGGTATATTGATGGTATATTGATGGTATATTGATGGTATATTGATCGTATATTGATGGTATATTGATGGTATAATGATGGTATATTGATGGTATATTGATGGTACATTGATGGTACATGGATGGTATATTGATGGTATATTGATGGTATGTTGATGGTATGTTGATGGTATATTGATGGTACATTGATGGTATATTGATGGTACATTGATGGTACATTGATGGTATATTGATGGTATATTGATGGTATATTGATGGTATATTGATGGTATATTGATGGTATATTGATGGTATATTGATGGTATGTTGATGGTATGTTGATGGTATATTGATGGTATATTGATGGTATATTGATGGTATATTGATGGTATATTGATGGTACATTGATGGTACATTGATGGTACATTGATGGTATATTGATGGTATATTGATGGTATGTTGATGGTATGCTGATGGTATATTGATGGTATATTGATGGTATATTGATGGTATATTGATGGTATATTGATGGTATATTGATGGTATATTGATGGTATATTGATGGTATATTGATGGTATATTGATGGTATATTGATGGTATGTTGATGGTATGCTGATGGTATATTGATGGTATATTGATGGTATATTGATGGTATATTGATGGTATATTGATGGTATATTGATGGTATATTGATGGTATATTGATGGTACATTGATGGTATATTGATGGTACATTGATGGTACATTGATGGTACATTGATGGTACATTGATGGTATATTGATGGTACATTGATGGTACATTGATGGTACATTGATGGTACATTGATGGTACATTGATGGTACATTGATGGTACATTGATGGTATGTTGATGGTATGTTGATGGTACATTGATGGTATATTGATGGTATATTGATGGTATATTGATGGTATATTGATGGTATATTGATGGTATATTGATGGTATATTGATGGTATATTGATGGTATATTGATGGTATATTGATGGTATGTTGATGGTATGTTGATGGTATATTGATGGTATATTGATGGTATATTGATGGTATATTGATGGTATATTGATGGTACATTGATGGTACATTGATGGTATATTGATGGTATATTGATGGTATATTGATGGTATATTGATGGTATATTGATGGTACATTGATGGTACATTGATGGTAGATTGATGGTATATTGATGGTATGTTGATGGTATGTTGA